ACCACCGGCTGGGACTGCGCATTCTGTCTTCATTTAGAAATAGCATCAGCAAGAATTTCATGTGAGCCCTGGCTCTGAGATCTGAGGTGGTGGCTGGCGGGACGCCACAGCAGGGAGCTTTGTTCCAGGTCCCTTCTAGTCCTGCTGCGCCTGGTCCTCTCTGTGTGCATTCCCTTCCTATCAGAAATGGGAAAATGACTATTAGCCTGGGTTACCAGGGGAGACGGGAAGTTTGAGATGCTGCGAAGAGTACTTGAGTACAGCAGCGGGAGCCCAGAATTCCAGACCAGCTCTGCCATGAGTGAGCTGCCTCTCTGGGCGAGTCCCATGGGTTCACTGGGCATCAGTTTACCCCTCTGTAAAATGGACTTGCTGTGCTAGCTGATTGCTAACATCTTTCTACAAAAGTCAAAATTTCTTTGACTCTGAGTCTTTGTAATTTCATATTCCTTTGCCCACTCTTATCTCATGCCCTTTCTGTTCCCAAACTAAGGAACATCTGGCGTCAAGGAGATATGTTGTATATACAGTGTCAACACAGAGTGATTTATATAAAGACCAACGAACTTTATCCAGTGAGTAGTATACGCCTTATTTTCCTTGTCAAGATGAGCAGAGAATCTGGAATCATTTCCATTCTCATTGCGGCAGCACTTTGTACCTGCAGCAACACGGCACGGCGTGGTCCTTTTCTTGAAGGAGTTTCCTTCTTCAAGACTGACTTCTGGGTGTGGGGGAGTTAAGGGGCAGGAAGTCACTTTTCCTCTGTGGCCTCAATTCACACATTTATGGATTGAGAAGTTTGGACTGTCTGGTGTCTGAGGTCTCTTTCAACTTGAAACTTCTAGTCTGAGCTGGGGAGAGGGTCAGGAAGGGGGGCGGTTTTGAGGGAATGTCTGAGGACTTGGGGGCAGTCTGACCCTGTAAGGATCCTTCCTGCGGCACGGCCCACGGGCCAGGACAAGGCCAATGCCCCTGGAGAACGGTAGCACGGCAGGAGCGTCTTGGTGAGCACACGAAGTGTTAGTGAGACGGAGGGTGGGAAGGAAGATCAGGAGTCTGAAACACGGTTTCTGCCCCGAGGGATTCACAGTCGGGCTGGGAACAAGAGTGGCCTTCCAAGGCCAGGAGTTCGGAAGGCGTAAAGACTTTCTTACACGTCTGTTGGTTCCATCAGGCTCTGGGAGCTGGTTCGGAGCTCACGAAGGGGCGAATACCCGTGTGTGGACAGCCCCGTGCAGGAGGAGAGATGCGGGAATGTCTGACAGGTCTTGGCCTCACCATCTTTCGTGGAGCCTCCATTTTTCTCCAAAAGAGTTTTCTCCTTAAACTATCACTTGATTTGGGCTTTTTTACGAGGCACTCTGTCTGCACAGGATGCGTGCAGCTGGGGGGGACGGGTGGGCTCTGCAGACGGGTGTGGGGGGGGAGCAGGATGGCAATGTGGCGAAGGGCATTAGGGCAAGTCTTGGGGTAAGAAAACACAAGATGTATTCCAGAGCCAACTGGTAGACCAGTTGTCTGTCCAGACTTTGGAAGAGGAAGGGGAGCTGAAGGCACCATTGGGAGTCAGATCATAAATGGCGTGATTTAATCGCAGAGAGTCCAAGGATGAATTCTAGCTCTGCTGTCCACGACCTGCGTGCCTCCGGTCAAGTTCTTTAATGTTTCTGAGTTCACATCTCCACGTGGGAAAATGGGAGTGAGGATAGCAGTTTCACAGGATTTTGTGCGAATTAACAGAAACAGTGTCTGGCAAGCTCCTGGCCCAGTAAAAACGATCAATAAATGTGAGTTTTCTGAGTCCCAGGCTCCTGGATCTACATAGTGGCCACTTCTCTCAGGGGGGAGTAGCAACCGGACAGACCTGGCCTGGAGTCAGGCTCAGCCAGTGACGGAGTCTTGGTCTTAGGTCACTTCACCTCCGTGAGCTTCAGTGGACTTACCTACAAAGTGAGATGAGCCATAGTTAACCTTGCAGGATCAGTGTCAAGTTCAGAAATGTGTTGTGTTAAACACACAGCATTACCTGTTCACAGGGGAGAGGCACTAGGCTTCAATAAGTGGTGGTGGTGGAAGAAAGGGAAAGGAAAGGAGGAGTCGATATCATTGAGATCCTTGAATTCTTGACCAAGGAGCTTGGGATTCATCCTGTGGGCAATGGCAGGGATGGTGGTGGTGGGGGGCGGGGTGGGGATCTTTGAAAGTTCTTTCTCAGATGGGGTATCATAAGATGAAATGAAAAATCTCAGCGTGGATGAGAATAGAACAAGAATGATGAAAAGGTGTGCGGGACAAGAAAAGACACGCTGGGGAAAGAGAGAGACCAAGCTACAGAAGATAAAACCCAGCTTTCTTCATGCATGAGCAATACAGTTCTTTTATTACCAAATGGGTTCTTCCTTCTGCAATCCAACAGTTCTGGCTGTAGGAGAGAGGCAGACATGGAAATGGATAGAGAGAAGGGGACAGAGAAGAGAAGGAGACCCAGACAAAGAGAGAGAGGCCTGGAGAGAGGTAGAAAGATACGCAGATACAAGACGAGGGGGAAAGAGACCCGGGGCGTCCCGACCCTCTGTGTGAAGACATCGGGCCCCCATGGGCTGGGTGGATGCAGGTGGCTTAAGAGCACTTGCATCCAGGTGTAAGTCTGGCATCCGCAGGCTCGGTCGGATGTCAGCTGACATGTGGGCTTTTAAAAGCGAAACTGTGGGGAGTTGGTGTGGAGGTGGAGTTATCCCACCTCCACCAGGATGCGCCCGGCTGCCTGCGGACAGCTCCTTCCTGCTGTCTCTGGATCACCTCCCCTCCCCGCACCCCCACCAGCTCCACAGGTCTTCCTCTGCTCAGCAGCTGTCTGCTGAGAACACTGCCCCCAGTCCCTTTCTGTCCTTTCCCTCACCCTTGTTTGCAAGCTGTTTGCTGTTTTGCTTAGAAGAGTGTGAGTTTGCTTTCATGAGAAAGGCTTGCTTATTCTGAAAGCAGAATGTCTTTAAGTTCAGCTTGTTTTCAGTGTTCCCCCCTCCCCCCGCCACCAAGTCGTGCAAACTCGTATCTAATAACCGGTGAGCATCCAGAGCCTATAAAGTCGGTTCTGTTGCCCGTTGCTGCTGCCCTGGAGACCAGAGCCTTGTTTACCTACCCGTTCAGAGCAGGCAGCGGCTTCCCGCTTGCCCAAACCTGCTGGAGGGAGGGGGCGCCGTGGAGCGGGACTCCAGCAGACTGCCACACCCCAGGGCGTGCTTCCTGTGTCCAGCCCGGTCAGGACCGCTGCAGATTAGTAGGTCTAATGGTTGGCAACTGAAGGAAAGTTCGAATCTGACCATTCCTGAAGGCAATGCTCTGTATTGTCTCCTAAGAGTTCTCAGCTCACCTTCCAGTGCTGATGACCCCCATCGTCCTGCTACAGCGAATGGAAATGGTGGGGCCCCAAGATACCGCATGGGACCCCCTTTCCCCGGGGGTGGGAGTGTTTGCTTCAGTAAAATGTCTCCTTTTTATTTTATTTTAAAGAACTTTTAAGGAAAAAAAATAACAAAAATATTAGGTTGACCAAAAAGCCTGTTACTTTTTTTTGGAAAAATAAAATACACATTTTTTTATTTTCACCAATAACTTTATTGATTGGGAGATTTTGAGTGTGTCAGCTGTCTCTCACTATTAGCTTCTAGTGGGTAGAGGTCAGGGGTGCTGCTAAACACCTTCCGATGCCTAAGACAGCCCTACAGAAAAGAATTATTTGGCTGAAATACAAAATGTCAGTAGTACCAAGAAACTTTGCAAACCACTTTTGACACATTCAGTCAGTCACAGCACCTTCTCCGCACACTGCACACTACAGAAAAAAATACTGTTTTGCGTGTCAGTTGTGTTTTTCCCTTTCTTGAAATAATAAAGCATAATGTGCAGAAAATGTTGCTTATTTCCTTCCATCTTCAGTATTAAAATGGCTACACAAAAAAATCACCTGTTTTGATTCGTTTGTTTCAAGTGCACGCTGCTATGACTGCTGTTACAGTACAGTCTAACAAAATCATCGTGAAGGAGTTAGAGACAACTAAGCACACCTAGAGCCACCGTACGGAAAAAGGTGTAATGAACTTTTTGGCTGGCCCATTAAGGTGACCCCCTCACACGCTCCCAGCACCCACCTTAACAAGTAGAATGCTACAGAGACCCTGGAAGGCCCTGTGGCACCTCGTGCACACCCTCCTCCTCTCCCACGGGTATTTTAGTCACTGACTGACTTTTCTTAGTCATTTCAACTACATACATATGCACCCTTAAACAGTATATTAAGTTTCGCTTGCTGTTGACTTTTTAAGTAAATGGCATCCAACTGGGTGTGTTTATTAGCAACTTGCATCGGGGCACGAAGTGGTGTGAGGTTAGGGGCGTGCTGACGCGTTGCTGAATGCTCATTCATTCGGTTCCCTGGCACGTACCGTTCCATCCCATAGACACACTCTCCAATTCCCTTCTCCATCCTCTGTTGGTCGGTGTTTGGGGTGTCACTTGCTATTCTAAATAGCAACTTTGAGATCTTTTTTACTGTCACAAATTCAAGTGCTGTGAACATGCTCTGCGCATCTCCTGGAACATGTTTTTCTAGATGTTGTCATTTAGGGCAAGGCTGCTGGGTCCGAAGGCATGGACAGTTTCTACTTAATAAATATTCCCAAGTGTCTCGCAGAGTGGGTGCGCACCCCTAACATCCGTGTGCACGTGTCCCCATCGACCCCACCCTTGGTGGTATTTTTCGTTGCTGACATTTTTGCTAATCTTGTCGGTATCAAAGGGCAGCCCTTCCTGGGTTCAGCCGGCATCTTCTTGATTACGTCTGGGACGAGCCGTTTTTCCTACTTCCCGGTCGTTGGTGCTTCCTCTCCTGTGTCGAATGATGCATGTGGCCACCCGCCCCAGACTACGGGGCGCAGGGTCCGTGACCGGGTCCGGAGGGTGTGTTCACGGCCGTGTGTTTGCGTCTCTTCCCCGCAAAGGCCCTGAGGAGGCTGGAAGCGGCCACTACGGACCCCGTTATATAACCGGCTCAGGCGTCGGCGAGGACGATGACGAGGACAGCGGCGGCGAAGACGACCTCGACTTGGACATATTCTTTGAGGAGGTAACAGACATCTCTGCTCTTAAAGCCCAGGGTGCTTTGGTTTTCTTGCTGAACAAGGCAATTTGGCCAACAGACTGGGAGCATTTCGCTTAAAACTGACTTAAATTGGCTCATTTGCTTTTAACACATGTATTTTCTCTGACTGTTAGGCTCTGGCTGGTCGTAAATTAGTGGTAACTAAGTGCCAACCAACCGTGCTGGTGTTCTGTGGCCGGCCCCGCCTGCTCCCATCCCAGTCCGGGAAAACATGTTGCTATTTCCCACCCAGCACGGTTTTACAAAGTCAGGTATGATAAGGAAACGAGCAATTCCTTGAAAATTCCATCTTTGTGCTATTGTAATAATCAATCATATAATATCAGGTCTTCTGAGTGACACAAGGTACTCAAGGTACTCAAATCCTTGAGCCTCAAGGTCTTTACCCATAAACAAGGGTCAGTACTACCTGCCCCATCCACACCCGGGTGGTAGGATGCACTGAAAGTGACCGTGCGTTCAAGCATCAGGCGTCCCCCGCAGGAGGGCGGTCTAATACTGGTGCTCTGTGTTCCTCTTCTTCTGGCTTTAGGTCAAACCACTTCCCGCCATCCAAGGGGGGAATGAGAAATTATTGGTGGGACCCAAGATGGCGCCAAGATCAGACCCAAAGACCGTTTCTGAGCCTGTGCCCCCTACCCCGGCATCCCTGCCCACGATGGTGCCGGCTCCCCAGCCCACCCCAGCGAGGAGAGGGGACTCGAACAGCGGGCCCACGATGCCAAGGCTCTTCGACGTGTCTTGCGACGAAACTCTCTGCCCCATCGACAGCTTCTGTGCCAATGACTACACCAGGGGGCGCTCCCGGTGCCACTGCAACCTGGGCAAAGGCGGCGAGAGCTGCTCAGAAGGTGGGTCCTCGGTGTGGGGAAGACCGTGGTGCTGGGTGGGAGCCGGAAGGGCACTTCGCTGCCCACCCGTGGCTCTGAGATAAGCCCCTTCTCCCATGTGAACGTCATTGAATGAGCTGGGCGGGGCGACCCTGAGGCTGCTCCTGTCGTTTCTAGGAGAGCAGCTCTGCTTCTAGGTGTGCCTCGCGTGCGTGCTTTTGGTGCACTTAAGAAGTCGTCCCAATGGCGCCCCAGGAGGTGGGCTTTACCGGAATCACGTCTCTGCTGAAAGAACTGCAGCCGAGACGGGTGCACGGGAGCTGGGAAAGGCCACCATGGAGCCCACTGAAATCACACGGGGGGCACGGCTCACGGCTGGAAAGCGGAGGTCAGGGACCCTGCAGCCGTCCACTTCTCTGTCGGGTAGCACGTGACAGTCTATCTCCAAAGGTCCAGGTTCTCCCTGAGAGCACCAGGAGCCCGGCGTCCCCAGGAATGAGAATTGCAGGGGTGAGAAGCAGAGGGAAGAAGACAGGAAACCGGGGTTCACAGACCAGAGCTTTTCGCCGGACGACCCCCAAGCAGCGGCGTAGGTTGGTTTTTGCGTTTGAAGAAGAGGGGAAACAGCCCGTTTTGTGCTGTCTTCTTCTCTTCCAGATATCGCCATACAGTACCCTCAGTTCTTTGGCTACTCGTACGTAACCTTTGAGCCGTTGAAGAACTCCCATCGGGCATTTCACATCACTCTTGAATTTCGGGTAAGAAACTCGGTTTGATGAGTGCCCACTGGGTATCCTGTCACAACAAGGAGTGGGGAGAGGACGCAGGGAGGTAAATGTCACACAGAGGCCGCCCTGAAACCTGTTCACAGGTAGCAAGGACGATAGGCCCATTCACTCGTTCAAGGGCGCCAGTGCGGGGCGGGCGGGCTCTGTGTGGTGTTGAACAGCGGCGGTGGCTGGCCTGAAGCTTCCCAGAGAGGACGTTTGGGTCCTGGCCACGTTGCTGATAAAAGGGACTCCTCCCTGGCCAGGATGTGAGAAGGCACAATGCATTCTCATTCCCAAAGCCCCGTTCAAGGTGCCCAGACGGCGGCTGTCATTGCCGTGGCCGTAACCGAACAAATCAGAACCGAGACGCACGGCCCTGGCACAGAGCGAGGCCCAGGCGGTGCCCTGTGCGCTGACCCCCTGCAGCTCCGAGCTCAGTCAGTGGCTCCAGCCTACTTACTCGACTCTTTTGGGTCCCTCAGACGACGTGAAAATGTCTGGAGATCTGGAAACAGGTCCCCTTGGAGGTCATGGTCATGACGGTGATTGCCCACAAGACAATCTGTCACAGCCCGGAATAGCCCACATGGGCGAAAACCAAACCAGGGTGTTGGGGGGCTGTTGTTACCACCCTGTTCTGATAGAAGGAAAGAAGCACATTTTCGTGCTTCTCAGAGGGAAGGAAGTAAGAAAAGAAAAGGGAAACTGTAGGATGCTCTCTGGTGAGAACAGAACTGACGGGCCAAGAGCAGCCCTCTGTCGCCCTGGTCTCGGGGCCCTGGTTTTCCCGAGGCTGTGCTGGTGGACCCACAACGCGGGGGTGGAGAGCGCAGGTCGAAACAAGGTGCCTTTCTCCGTCACCTCCCCGCCGTCCCTCCCAGCTCGTACCACGCGCCGTGGGCCGTGCGTGGGGAACGAACTGCGAGCAGGTGCCTGGGGATCCGTTCACTGGAGCCCACGTGCCAGCCCCTCTGCGGATAGGGCCACGGAGGGGAACACTCACGTTCCACCCTCAGGAGCGTGTCCCGCCGTGGCTTTGTGGACCGGGACGTGCCCAGCGTCCCCATGGCTTCTGTTTGTCCCACAGGCGGAGGCGGAGGATGGCTTGCTGCTCTACTGCGGGGAGAGCGAACACGAGAGGGGCGACTTCATGTCCCTGGCCATCATCCGACGCTCCCTCCAGTTCAGGTGACTCCTGCCGAAAGCCCACAGATTTCTTCCTACCACCCTGGGTGACGTTTACCGTATTTTGCTGTGTATAGTGCGCACCCACGTGTTGTGTGCGTTGTCCGTGGGATTATTGTCACCGTTGTTATACCCCTGGCATGTATCCGTTATACCTATGTATAAGGCACATCCTTGTTTTGCCCTAAAAAATTTGGGTGAAATAGTGCACGTTGTGCGTGGCAACACGGTACGTTTTTATAGTGTGACTAGAATAACTGCAGCGCGGGGCTCCTGTAGATGAAGAACGGTGTGTGTGAGGCGCATGGACCAGTTTACCGAACCCCGGAGTTCCAGGGTTGCAGGGGGCCTTTGCCATGTTTGGAGCCTGGTGACTGGGTTCATTCATTCATTCCTTCGCCGGCAAGTGTGTCTGGAGCGCCCGCGGTGCCCCGGGCACGGCTGTAGGCGCTGGGAGCGCAGTCGTGAGCGGCGGCGGGGCGGGGGGCGGGGGGGAGCCCCTTCTCTCCCGGAGCCCTGTGGATGTGATGGGACGAACGAAGGCCACCTCCTGAGGTGGCGGATCAAAGACCCTTTCTTTCCCTTTCCTCCTCCGCAGGTTTAACTGTGGCACCGGGGTCGCCGTCATCGAAAGCGAGACCAGAATCAAACTAGGGGGCTGGCACGTGGTGACGGTCCACCGAGACGGGCCGAACGGGCTGCTGCAGCTGAACAACAACACGCCAGTGACGGGCCAGTCCCAGGTGAGTGTGCGCCTGCCTCTGTGCCCGACCAGCTGGCACCCGCCGGGAGCATCCCGAGAGCTGAGCTGGGGCTGGCCTGGCAGGACCCAAGCTCCGGATGGGCCACTTTCCATGGCGACCCGTGCTGCTGAGCCCGGGAGTGCTCCTGCTGGATCTTGCCACTCGAGGTGGGCCTCGGGGGCACGGGTCCGTCCCAGAGGGAGACCCGAGTTTGCAGACACCGCCGCCACGGTGGGCGCACGGGGACACGAAAGCCAGGGCTGGCGGAAAGAGCCGCGCTGGTACCAGACTGCAAGCTGGCTTTTAAGACAAGGGTGTTGCAATCCCGTGGCTTTGGAATGGGGTTCCGAGAGGTTCACTTGGTTCAGTAACAGGAACAGGCCACTCCTCTGTCCTTTCGGGGGACCGTGATTCTAGGAAGCGGTAAAACAATTTCACTGTCGGGCTGCTCAGCAAACCACCTAGGTATTCGTATATTTGTCGTGCTCCGGGCAATTTTAGGGCTGGGTTTGGAATAAGCAGTTTGGGGCAGCAACCCGCCAAGGAACTGAGCCTGTAATTATCATCGGTTGGGTGTCTGTATTCTCCGAGGGAAAATGTAGCAAGAAAGCCTTGTGTGTGTGTGTGTGTGTGTGTGGATAGCTTCCCCCTGCCTGGGCTCTTGACTGCCAGACGTGCTGGACAAAGGGCCATGCCTTACTGTTTCCCGTTAATTCGGACCCCAGCGGTTCCTAAGGAATAAGAATCCAAATATAAGCCCTGGCTGGCGTAGCTCAGTGGATTGAGCTCGGGCTGAGAACCAAAGTGTCGCAGGTTCGATTCCCAGCCAGGGTACATGCCTGGGTTGCAGGCCATGACCCCCAGCAACCACACATTGATGTTTCTCTCTGTCTCTCTCTCTCCCTTCCCTCTATAAAAATAAATAAATAAAATCTTTAAAAAAAGAGTCCAAATATAGCACAAAAGTGTGAATCCAGTGAGATCACTTGTTTATAAAGAAGGAAAAGACAGTAAATGAAATAGAGTCACATCTGCGCCAGAACAATAGGGACAATATGCCTAAAGTTCAGTTCGATAGGAATAAAGAAGCTTTGAACCTGGGTCCCGAATACTAACGTGAACGCAGGTCGAAGAACCTACAATAGAAGCAGCACCCGTGAAAAGGTCTTAAAGTTTAAAGCAAGGAACTTCCATGCAGGTCAATAAACTGAGCCATGTGGTAACAACAAGCTAGAGAAATTACAGGTTGCATTAATAGAGTCATGCCATCTAGGAAAAGGGAGGAGATAATCCTGTTTTGTCCTGGTGATCGTGTGTGTGTGTGTGTGTGTAGCTTCCAGAGCTCCAGTGGCGACACTGGTCCTCTGAGAGGCTAGTGTTCAGACCTGCGACCGCAGTCTGAGACGGCTACGGACAAACCGAAGCACGGCCGAAGAGCAGCCAGTGAAGCAAGAAGATGACTGGGAATCCCTGGAAAGGTGGATTGAAGGAGCGTTGCTTAGATTGGAGAAGAGAAGAGGAAGGTGTGGGCGGTGGCTTTTCATCAGAGTCACAGGGAGAGTGTCGGGGGGGAGGGACTCCCTCTGTGGACCCCAAGGCTGGAGCTGAACGGGGGGAGGGGAGGGGGGAGCCGCTTTTGGCTTTGCCCGACCACGCGCAGGTGTGCAGAGCTCCAGCCGGCTGCCTCAGGGGTGGCCCCCCGTCCTTGCGGGTGTTCGGAAAGCAACTCACCCAGACCTTTTGGCAGCAATGTTCCAGGAATCCAGCATTAAATGAGAGCTTGGGCTAAACAGGTTTTCATTTTTTTTCTAATTCTAAGAGTCGGTGATGTTCATGAAAATAAAAATTAATCGTAAGAAGCGTATAATTTTATGGATACTCAGGGCAACGTTTGTCTCCCTACTCCCAGGACTTGCTAAGCAAGTTCTGTCAGCAGGACCTCGGATGTGGGGCATGTGATTAGCTGTCTGAGGAGAAAAGGACTCTGTCATTTCCCCAGAGTTCGGAGTTCCCCAGAAGCAGACCGGATGAGATGAGGAGTCTTGTGCAAAGGATACGTAGGGAAACACCATCCCAGCAGACCTGTAGGGGAGGGGAGCGATGGACAGAGCGGGAGTCAAGTCAGTGTGAGTGAGATCCCGGGCAGAGTTCTTGGGGTCTGGCCTCTGCCTGAGCCCACGGGGGAGCCTGAGTACACGTTACACCTCCGAGGAATTGCAACCCAAAGCAAGTGAGCCGGATGTTCGTACTTCCGCCCTCGTGAAAAACTGCTAAGGGCTGTGCTGGGGGGATGCAAACTCTGGGGCAGGTCCAGTTCTCTGCGTGAGCAGGCAAAGCGGGCTCCAGGGACCCGAAGGCGACCCTCATCAGAGGCAGGTACGGGCCAGGCTCCTCCGAGGCTGTGGCCTGGATTGTGGTGCAGGGGGCCTCAGAGGGACCAGACGCCCACAGGGCGTGTGGTGCTCCAGAACAGGAGGAAAGGGCTGAGCGGTGGGGCCCCTGCCCTGGTCCGGGGTCAGAGAGCAGGGCCAGTGAATTCCGAGGATGCTGGTGAAACACGCCAATGGGGCACACCAGTAGTGTCACAACTACAGGATGCCAGTGGCTGGCAGACTGTCCGTCAGATTCACTGTACACACCTGACACCTGCCGGCTCACAGCCACTGTGCTGTCTGCGCAGGAGTCCCGCCCGGGCATTAGCCAGATGGAGCGATGACAGGACGCTCTACGTTTCGGTAACAGGAGCGTAAAGGATAAAGATCCCATTTCGGAGGCTTGACTTGTGGACATTTTATAAGTCTGGCCGCGTGCCTTTTCCCAGCCTCCTTCTTTGTAGCCCTGAACCCAAATGAATGCGATGTTTCCATAACCAAAACCCAGATGACGGAGGGTGGCTTAGTTTTATTGCACCTACGGTTCAGCTCTGTGTGTGCTAGCCTCAAGACCTGCAGTCCAGGTTGCAGTTTGCTCTCTGACGGGAAGTGTCTCCAACCTAACTATAATAACACTTTAAAAAAAAGCTGTGTCTATAAGCATGTTTCGAAATATTTTGCAATAACGTCTGTTTGGCAATCTTCCCCCACCAGCCCAAATGTTTCTTGCAGGATGCCGTGTGAAGGTGACTGGGACGGAGAGAGGGTGAATGTTAGCTCGCATGTACACTGGATTGGGATGATCACCTTTGGAAGCACAGCGTAGCTCTGTGGCCCGTCCCAGGGGCACAGTGAACTGGCGTGAGGGCTGGGAAAGGAAAGTTTGTTTTGGATGCTCGGCGTGGTCCACTGCCCGTCGGGTCGCTCTCGGCCCTGCCCTTCCCTCCCTGCCCTTCCAGGCTTTCCAAAGTCACCCTTTCTCCAAACGGCCCTCCAAGAAGCTCCCTGAGTTTCCTGTGGTGACCATGGATTGAATGTCGCTGCAGGGCGAAGTCTTAAAGATCAATACGGATGGCCGTCAGTTGCATCCTAATCACGTCAGTCAGTTGCATTTCTGACTTTTGATTTTGTTTCGTGAATCACCGCTTTTGTCTCTCCTAAAGGGCCACTACAGTAAAATCACCTTCCGGACGCCTCTGTACCTCGGCGGGGCTCCCAGCACTTACTGGTTGGTCCGAGCCACCGGCACCAGCCGCGGCTTCCAGGGCTGCGTGCAGACGCTGTCGGTGAACGGGGAGAGAATGGACCTGAGGCCCTGGCCGGTGGGGAAGGCGCTCAGCGGGGCCGACGTGGGTGAGTGGTGGCCTGGCGGGCTGGGGTGCTCCCGGGGGGACGGCCTTTTCTGTGTGGGCCTGGGAGGGGGGCAGCTCATGTGCAGCCACCCTCCACGGCTAGTTCTGCAGAAGTGAAGGAAGGAGGGGGGGACCTGGGGTGATGGTGGTGGTGCTCTGCAGACCCCGCGTCTGAACCCCAAGACGTGTTAGCAACACACTGCGCAGCCCTGGCCCGCATGCCGCCGCCCCCTCGGCCCTCTTCGGGAGGGCGGCGCGGGCTCATGGGACGGCGCAGCGCACGGCTCGCCCGCCCCGTGGAGCAGCCAGCACAGCGATGCGCGGACAGGGCCCCCCTGCTCTCTGGTGCTGAGGGCAGTGGTCAGCACCGATCCCTGACCACCACGCCCAGCACTTTCTCGTGGGCTCGCTCACTCACGCCTCACCCTGAAGCCTAGGAGGCAAAAACTATCGTTACACCTGTGTTGTCCATGAAGCAAGCTCGTAGAAGTTAATAATGTATCCTAAATAGTGGGCTAGGATTGTTTTTTTTTTCCCTTTTCTCCTATTTTTCTTTTGTTTTAAATGAAGATGTTATTTTTTTGAGAAGTGTAAGGGTCACAGCATAATTGAGGGAAGGTATGTGGATTTCTCACATACCCCCCCACCCCACCCACGCACAGCCTCCCCCATTGTCAACACCCCCCACCAGAGTGCCACACCTGTCACAGCGGACGGGCCTGATTGACACGCCATCGTCACCCAAAGTCCATCGTTGACACTAGGGTTCACTCGTGGAGGTGTGCATTCTGTGGGGTGGACAGATGTATGACAATATATATTCAATATTATGGTGTCATCTAGAGTATTTTTTAAAGATTTTATTTATTTATTTTTAGAGAGGGAAGGGAGGGAGAAAGTGAGAGAGAGAGAGAGAGAGAGAGAGAGAGAGACATCAATGTGAGGTTGCTGGGGGCCGTGGCCTGCAACCCAGGCATGTGCCCTGGCTGGGAATCGAACCTGCGATGCTTTGGTTCGCAGCCCGCACACAATCCACTGAGCTACGCCAGCCAGGGCCATATAGAGTATTTTTAGTTTCCTGAAAGTCCCCTGTGCTCTGCCTGTTCATCTCTCTCCTCCCCCTCCCTCCAACCCCCGACAACCACTGATCTTTTTATATTCTCCAGAGCGTCGCCTTTCTCAGAACGCCACATAATTGGAATCATACAGTATGTAGCCTTCCCAGACCGGCCTCTCTCAGTGAGTCATGGCTTGAGAGCTCACAGCTTTTTAGTGCTGAATAGAATCCCATAGTTTGAATAGACCACAGTTTATCCATTCACTGACTGAAGGACATCTTGGTTGCTTCCAAATTCTGGAAATCATGAATAAAGCTGCTAGAAACATCTACTTTTCGGAGGTGGACACAGTTTTGAACTCGTTTGGGTAAATACCACAGGGAGTGACTGTTTGATCACGGTAGAGAGTGTTTAGTTTTGCGAGAAGCAGTCAGACCGTCTCCGAGAGCGGCCGCCCCATTTTGCACACCTGCCGGGAATGAGGGAGAGCCCCTGCCGTCCCAGGTCCTTGTCAGCACTTGGTGGTGTCGGGTTGCAGATTCTGGCCTTCGTAATGGTCGTGCGGGGGTGTCTCGCTGGAAGTTGCATTTCCCTGAGGACATGGGTCGTGGAGCATCTCTTCATATGTTGATTTGCCATCTGCTTGTCTTCTTTGTTGAGCTGTCTGTTAAGGTCTTCAGTCCATTTTTCAGCTGCGTTTTTTCGTTGTTGAGTTTCAAGAGTTCTTCGAAGGTGTTGAGAAATAGTCCTCCATCAGACGTCTCTTTTGCAAATACTCTCTCCCAGTCTCCGTGGCTTGTCTTCTCATTCTCTTGACCCTGTTTTTGCAGATTAGAGATGTTTCATTGTAGTGAAGTCCAGTTATCGATTATTTGTTTCATGGGTTGTGCCACTGGTGGTGTATCTAAAAAGTTACCTGCAGACCCAAGGTCACCTACGTTTGTGCCTAGTTTTATCTTCCAGGAGTTTATAGTTTTACATTTTATGTTTAAGTCTGTGATTCATTTTGAGTTAATTTCTGTGAAGGGCGTAAGATTTATATGTGTTTTCTTTCTTTCTTTTTTTTTTTCTCTTTCATGTGGCTGTCCAGTGGTTCCAGCATTATTTGTTGAAGAGATTAGGATTATTTTTAAAACAATGAGCACATTTATTCTATCACAGAAGGCAGTAGATAGAGAATTCTGAGGTTGGTTAATTAAGTGACTGTGCTCAGCTTCTACGATTGCCTTAGCAAAACACCACCAACTGGGTGGTTTAAACAATGGAAAAATTTATTTTCTCCCAGTCCTGGAGGCTGGAAGGCCAAGCTCAAGGTGCCGGAGGTTTGGTTTCCCCTGGGCCTGCAGGTGGCGTCTTCTCACCGCGTCTGCCCGTGGCCGTGTGTCTGAGCTCCCATCCCTGCTGTCTCACCCTGTTTCTATAAGACACACTCAGGTTGCATTCGGGCCCACCTGTGTGACTTCATTTAACCTTGACTCCTCCAAAGGTCCCATCTCCAAATCCGGGCACACTGGGTGTCCGAGCTCCATGCTCTGGATTACGGGGAGACAGTTCAGAACCGCAACTCGGTGGCATCGGAACTCGGGGCTGGTGTCTCTGTGACTCCCTTCCTCTGACTCATCCTCCCACGATGGTGCCGCGTCTCTGGGCACCACGTCCTCCCACCACGTTGCCCTTGGCAAGAAATGGCGAGTCCTTTTCCTGGGTCTCTTTTCCATTCTTTTCCCTCCACCAGCAAGGTGCTGTTTGGAGAGAGTGCCCGGCGAACACCGTGTCCCCCTGCCCAGATTCCACCGTCCACATGCGGGCACCGCTCCTCCGTCTCCGGGCACAGTGCGTTCTGTTTATTTTGTAGCCAATGTCAGCCGAGCGGTTACTAGGTGTAGCCACCATTCTCAACTCCTTGGGTCTTTCCCAGATGCCTGTGCGTGAGGTGCTGGGACTAGCCCTGGCTAGTGAGAGCCAGCGGCACAGAACAGTCAGGTCACTGGTCCAGAGGCACACAGCTGGTGGGTGGTAGAGCCGGAGCGGGGCCTTGGCCGTTCTGGCTCCAGGGCCCGCCCTCTTACCCACACCCGCCACACCGAGGGGCCCCAGACAGGCTTCCAAGGGCTTCCCTCCACCCTGCTCACCCCCAGAGACCCTACCATTGTCAAAACTACAAAAGGTGATGTTTACTTTGAAGGGAAGAATTGCTGTGCACAGGTCATTTTTACATCCCTTGTTATGCCCTATGGTAGTTTTCCCCAGCCAATCGCTGCAACTGGACAACAGACAGCGATCACCAAAACAGTGAGGAGGTGCCCGCTGGGGCGGGACGGCGTCTTCCAAGTCCCTCTTCCTGGGAATCTGGGGTGACGCAGAACATGAGAAGCAGCTCCGGCCAGTGTGGCTCAGTTAGTCGGAGCATCATCCTGTACACTGAAAGATCGTCGGTTCGATTCCCGGTCAGGGCACATGCCTGGGTGGCAGGTTGGGACCCCGGTCAGGGTGTATGAGGCAACCAGTCGATGTGTCTCTCTCACATCGAAGTTTCTCTCCCTCTCTCTCTGCCTCCCTCTCCTGCTCTCTAAAACCAGTAAGTGTGTCCTCTGTGAGGATAAAATGGGTAACGTGAGAAGCAGCAGGTCCATCAGAAGTCTCTCGTGCTGTTTAAGAGCCTGGGCTCTGAGGCAGATGGCCTGGGTCTGGCCAGTCAGTTAACCTCTCCGGGACTCAGTTTCCCCATCTGTGGACGGTAGCTGCCTCATGAGAGGATTCTGTCCAGGTGCATTGTGCTGCGCGCATGTAAAGTACTAGAATAATGCCTTGCATGTAGTGAGCATGTTACAAATATTGCCTGTCACTGATATGCTCGGTCCACCCGTCAAGCAGGGGGTCACGTTTCATCTCCCTTCGTGACCCCACGGGAACAGTCTGGCGGCCTTGAGCCCATGTGGCAACCTCCGGCAGGCAGTGCAGAAGTGGCCGAGCTAAGCACGGACCCGTTTCTGACAGCGTTTCAGATTCTCACACGGGGTGGCTCCGGCCTCCCCGCTGAGCAGGTGCACCTGGTGGGCCCACCTGGCTGGCCCACCTGGCTGGCTCTGGGCTCCTCGGAACTGGGCTATCTGACTTCTCTCTCTGAACCCAAACGGCGGGCATGGGTCACATTGCCTGCTTTCACTTCTTCCCCCTGTCCCCGCCAGGGCATAGGAACGGGGCTGGTTGTCTTTCTGCCTCCTCCGTACTTGCTTGACTTTGAGTTAGTTCCGAAGTTCACGTCCTTGGGAGCTCCATGCAGCCCCCACAGGGGGAGGACTGAGCTCACGCAGCAGCAGTGAGCTTCTGGTGGAGACACCATACGCGCTTCCGGCAGAGGTGACAGCAGCCGCGGGGTCGCGGTCTTCCACCTGATGCCTCCAACTGGACAGTGTCCCCGGCAGCTGCAGCTGTTCCTCCGGCCCACCTCCCCGTCCTCACAGACCAGCTCCCACCCCTCACAGGGGCTTTTCCTTGTCCCCCCCACCCTGCTTCCTCTCCTCCGTGAGTCTGTCCCCCGCTATGCACTTTCTCTGCACGCACATTCTACAGGAGTCGGCGATCCCAGCCAAACTTTACATTCTCTGGCCCAGCCTTTTTTTTTTCTCATTTCCACCCAAATTCTCAAACCTGAACCGCCAGCACTCATTTTTTCCACTCCTGTCCAGGCTCGCCGCCCCCTCCAGAGCCACGTCACAGAGCCAGCTTCCCACGTTGTGTGGGACTCCAGGGGTCTGTGGTGGCCCTGCGTCTCATGGTGGTGTGTCACACTTACTCAAGTCTGCTTACGTTATCGCGTGTTTGTTGGTGCACCTGCTCAGTGCTGGGCACAATGCTGAGCGCGGGGGGTAAAGGGAAGAACAATAGGAGGGTCCCAGGGCGGCAGCCCTGGAGTGGCAGCCACGAGGACGGAACAGATGGATCAGGCAGCTGTAGCAGTAAACATGACTCCGGGGTGAGGGATGCTCAGGAGAAAGGACGGTGCAGCCAGGGGGAGGGTGCATGGCCTGCGGGTCAGGGAGTGCCCTTCTGGGGATGCGGTGGGACCTCCGTGTCTGGAGCAGGAGCGGGAGTTCAAAAGTAGGCGAGCGAGGGAGGTGCGTTCCAGGCAGAGGCAAGGGCTTGTCCCTGGGGGAGTGGCGGGTACCACGGTCTTGCTTGTGTTCTGAGAGGGCCCTCCGGCTGCAGACAGCTTATGGGAAGGTGTAGTCAGTGGGCACCGGTGGGGGCTGTTGCAGTAGTCCAGACTGGAGCTAGTGGTGGGGTGCCCCAGGGCAGTAGTGCTGGCAGATTCGGCAGATCTTTGGGGGAAGGAACAGGCAAACCTCAGCTACTGGCTGGACTGGGGGCTCGGGGCAGGGAGCGGCTCACTGTCCATGTTGCCTGAATGCACGCCCCCACGATGTCTCACCTTCTGTCCCCTCCTCGGGGGCCTGGTGCCTCCTCTGACCTGGTGTCTCACCCCGTGGTCTTGCACAAACCTCCACAGCGGCCGGTCCGTGGTAGGTGCCACTGCCGATGGAGTCATTTGTACGTTGATGGTGAGCTCCTGCCAACTCTCCACATGCAAGACCTTGCACCTCCTCCCTCCCACTCTCAGGTTTGAGTTTTTCTCCCGACTGAAGCTAACCTATTCATCTACACTCCGCACCCAAACTACCCCAAGTGCCTGGGACCTTCTGCCAGGACCCTCTCTTCTCGATGGCCAGGGGTTCTTAGCCCTGATGTGCCAGGGACCCCATTGGCCATCGGGGGAGGGCTGTGGGCCTCTTCTCAGAATGGTGCTTTTGAAGTGCAAAGAATAATATACGTGATAGGAAACGATGATATTGCACTAAAGCTACACGATATTTTAAATTTTTGATATTAATAATCATGCATGGGCTTCTCTATAAAATATTGAAGAAGAAGAGTACTTCGTGGTCGTGGCAGTAACGACACAATTTCAAGATAGTCGGCAGCACAAATGATATTTTGAGACCTCTGCAGTAAATGGAACATGAAGTATGAAACGATGATAACTCAGGTCCGTGGTTCCGAGTCGCAAGGACTGGTGGTACTGGGGTTTGTTGTCTGCCTCTGTCACTGACGGAAAACCCCAAGTCCAGCCGGAAGGGCGGGAAAACAGAGGTGACTGCTTTTCCCGTCTGGGTTCACAGACCCTGCTCTCGCGTGCTCACCCTAGCTCACGTCCCGGCAGCTGAGACCAGCACCACGCCCGCACCGCCCTGCCCTGCCCTGCCGCCCTTCTGGCTGGGGAACCCTGGGAACTGCGCTCCTTTCTTTCAAAGCCTGACTCCAGCAGCCCTCCCCCGCCCCGTCTGACCTCCTGTCCTGGGGGCTTCTGCCTCCCACTGCCCAGCAAAGCTTAGCCCCCTGAGCTCTGTGAACTGGCCCTGTCTCCCCCTGTCGTCTCCCCCTCTGCGGTTCCCCGGGAGCTCCACGGACCCTTTCATCCCGTCCTCTCTCCCCATTGGTTCTCGGTGTCAGGGTCCCCCCGGGGGTTGCTGCCCTTCCCTCCCCCAGCTGTGTGCAGACCCCCTCCGTCACCTGAGGTGCCAGCTGAGCAAGAGCCCCGTCCCCCTCTGCTCCCCAGGTCCCTCGCTCAGGCCTTTCCCCTTGCTGAGTTCCTCTGCAAACTCTAGTGTCATCTCTGGTTTCATCTGCAAACTAGAAACCCTGAGGTCACTCTGATCCTGGGAGGAGCCGGCTGTGTCTTCCTTCCCTGTGGCCCTAGGACTCTGCCCTTTCTCTCCATTTGCTCTGCCACCAGCCACCCAGCCCTCTTTCCTTCCCGGAGGATTTCTTTCCTCTCTCCTGCCCCATGGCTCACGGTCACCCTGCTTGCAGGCCACGGCCAGAGTAATGTGGCTGCCACGCTGCTTTCGCCCTCGACACCTCTGGGTGCTGCTTCCCCCTCCCCCGCCCCCCACTCACCCCACCTCTTAAAAATAGCTCCAGTGCCGATGTGTAAAAACACACTTTCCACGTGTATCTAAGAGAACCCAAGGGCCCCACTTCTCCCTGTGGGGCCAGCCCTCCTCTGAGAAAGACTCTCAGCCCACAGAAATGAGAGTGTGGGCAGAGTTTGGTTCTCAAGGTCAAAGTCAGCCGCCTGCCTGGCACCTGGGGATTGTGCGGCTGAACAGGGGCCAGTGGTCACTTCTGCCTGAATGTCCAGCGGCCCCCAGCTGGAATCCCCAGAGGCCGGCCCGCCCTGCTGGAGGGGCACGCCCTCCGGAAGGGCTCTCATTAAGTGACCAGTCCCTGATGCCCGTCTGCTCTCCCGGGTGCCCGGTGTCCCCCGCCGCCCAGCGAGGCTGCACAACAGGGAAGAACCGCATCCATCCAGTGCACACGGGTGACCGGTGAGGAGGGACAAGAGCCTCGCCCTGCAGAGGTGATGCAGTCAGGCCAAGGGGGGCGCGTCCTCTCCCAGGGTGGCCCCGCCTCTCGTGGGTGCAGCATTGGACCCTGGGAGGCCGCCAGGCACAGAGCTGGGTTCTCACGGCTCCATCAGGAGGCACCCCTTCCCGCCATTCCCCCCAAAAGTGTTCTGTGGCCACCTATGTAGTCTGGTCCGTCCGTTTTATTTATTTCCTACACACAAGGAGAAAAGGAAGATCAAAGAAGCGGAAGAAAGCCCAGGAAAAGTCCGTTTGTTTTCGCGTCATCTGGTGACCTGCCCTTGAACATGACCAAGGGCACCCGCAGGGGCCTCCCTGACGTGTGTGTGTTCAGTTCACAGAACCAACCCCCTCCCCGCGCCGAGGTTGGACCGGCAGCCTCTCTGCTTGCGGCGACCCCTCTCTCCCCCGTGAGCTCACATCTGTGAGGTGGAAATAGGGGTCCTGCGGTCACTCGCTGAGTGACCTCCCCCCACTCACCTCCCCGCCCCAGACCCATGGTGCCCGACTCAGCCAATCAGTGAGCTTAGATGCGGCCGCTTAACCCCTTCAGTGCTGGTCTCTGTTGCCTCGATTTTCCACCCACAGGAGCCATTGGGGCCACACGAGTTAGAACTTCCACCTGCACATCCTGTGGACATCGGAGGCATCAAAACACACTCTTTTGGGCACACCAGAGGGGTGAATTAAAGCAGAAATGACTCAGACATCCCCGTCAGCGGTCATAAAATCGCCCCCAAATCTGTCATGTGACTCATGGTGTCCGCCATGTCTTAGAGGGTCCCAGGGGCTGTTCAGAAGGAACAGGCCAGTGTTGGGGAGCTTTGTCCGCTGAGACCCCCCTGTCCGCCACGGATGAGAGTAAGTCCACCAAGACATGATCTGCTGGGGGACGGAAAGTGGCCGATCTCTCACAGGAGAAGGGCCAAGAGCTTTTTCCTCGATGGCTTTTAATTGGGTTCGTTTACACAGGAATTCAGGTAAAGCTCATTATTCATTGCCGGGAAGTAAGGATCAAATAACAAGGAACTCTGAGGGCCTATTTTGAGTCAGGGTCAGATAGCTAAAGAGCTGTAAAGAAGTTTAAGGACAAACTTACTTCTTGCTTGGACCCTTATCATTTCATTGAGAGCATTCTAAACAAAGCAGGTTTCACAGGATCTTACATATTCTTTGTTAGGCCTGATCACCCGGGGAATCTGCCCTTTCTAGCACAGGGCTGCACCACCATCTGTCATTGTTTCAGGCTTAGGTGGAGCAAGAGAAGTAAGGCAGCCAAGAGATTAGGAGATTTTCTCAAAGACAATGAGGACTCAGGCTGTGTCAAAGCTGAGGGGCCCTCCATCACTCCCTTTTGCTGTAGCCCCCAAAGTCCTTCCTTGGGGGCCTCCCATGTGATCCTGCCTGTCTTAGGTCATTCCCCGCTTGGGGAATCTTACCCGTCATTGGCTAACTGACCAAGCATTGGGGGCCAGGCAGGGTAAGGTATGAAGGAGCAGAAGCGGTGCTCCTGCCAGGGAGATAAGCTTTTGTCTCCTTGGTGGCTTACGGTCCAAGGTCATTCCCTCAGCCTTAGCCTTGGTGGGGGTTACAGCTTCTGATACCAGGCAGGGCGGTTCCCAACAAGCCAGACTCAAATGGAAAGGAAGGGCCGGCTCCACTTATCCCGCAGGCGGGTGTGCGGTGGTACCGACCGAGGTGCCCGTCGTCAGCAGGAGTGGGGGCCGGAGTGTGTGTATTCCGAGCCGCGAGCTCTCTGCACGGTCAGCCCCGGGGTCTGGGACCGGCTCGTGACGGGTCTCTGTGCACCTCCGTTCCGTCCCAGGCGAGTGCAGCAGCGGGATCTGCGACGAGACCTCGTGCGTCAACGGCGGCACCTGCGCGGCCGTCAAGGCTGACTCCTACATCTGCCTCTGCCCCCTCGGATTTAAAGGTCGACACTGCGAAGAGGGTGAGGAAGACGCGAGTGGATGGCATTTCTCTCCGCCTGTTCACGCACAGGCCCGTGCATGTTTGCGGGGTCGACATTGCTTTCTTGGGCGGCTGGGGAGGAACTTTATTTCACTAGGTCGATGTGTCCTCAGGTGTAAGTGTCAAACCAGACCTTTCTGGCCAGGCTTTGAGGGGCTCCTCTTGGCCCCCAGATGCCTCAAGGAGCCTGTCATTGTGTGGCCCGTGTCAGGCTGCCCCAAAGCAGTGATGGTCCCAGAGCAAGGCCGGGAAGGCATGCAGACACATTAGCAGTGTGATGGGCAGGAGTGGTCTCCTTTCCCTTTCCTTGTACTGTTCTGCTGAATTTCCCCACTGCTCCATACCGCACATATTGATCATACACACGTAATCAGTCACACCTACACACCTGTGCACGCATACGTGGAAACACGTGCACACCCTGACACACAGGATATGGGAACTTTTGGAAAACCATGCGGGGTTGCGTGTGCTTTAACTTGTCCACCAGTGATTCAGATTTGGACCTGAGACGCCCCCTGGGGACAGTTTTTACTATAGAATGTAAAGTCTCACGGCTCGTAGAGGCGGGCCCGTGTGGCAGAGCGAGCCGGAGCTGTCCCGTGCCGTCCCATGTTGTCATAGCCTGACGTGACAAAGGTAGATCCCTGCTCATGTCGCACACGCTGCAGGTCAGGGGAGGTGCTGGTGCCGGTCCCCGGGGTGGCCTCTTCAGGGACAGGGGCCGCTGACCCCTAGGGGCTCCAAGGGGCTTCAGAGGCCCCCACGGACCGCTGCATCCGCCAGCAGGCGAGGGAGGCGAGAACACGGGAGACGGAGGGGGTCCTAAGGACCAGGCCTGGGGTGCCGTCCCGCCCTCCCCGCCGCGTCCCACTGGCCAGGACTCCGTCAGGCCCCCACAGCACTGCAGGGCAGCTGAGAGACGGAGTCGAACTCCGTGCCCAGGAAGAAGCTTGAGCGTGGCTCGTTCTGCCCCATGACTAGGGACTCCTAACGCCGTGCTTGTCTCTCCAGCGTTCACCTTGACCGTCCCTCAGTTCCGAGAGTCCCTGCGCTCCTACGCTGCCACGCCCTGGCCCCTGGAGCCCCGCTACTACCTTTCCTTCATGGAGTTTGAGGTCACGTTCCGGCCGGACTCAGGCGACGGTGTCCTCCTGTACAGCTATGACACGGGCAGCAAGGACTTCCTGTCGCTGAACATGGCAGGCGGCCACGTGGAGTTCCGCTTTGACTGCGGCTCGGGGACCGCTGTTCTCAGGTAAGGGCTGAGGCCTTTAGCAACACCTCCATGCCCCCACCCCCCGCAAAAAAAGAAGCCAAACAGCAGCCACTCTGGGACAAGGTGACTTTGTCATTCAACGGCTTGGGATCTGCCTGTCTTCCCCACAGTTCCCTTCTCTGAAACCTGCCCCGACTCATGCCGATGACCTGCCTCCCGTGGGTCATGCCGTGCTGGGGCCGAGGTTCCCTTCTCCAAATAACTGCCCAGCGGACAGCGACCCTGCGCCTCAGGCCAGGGAACACAGGTTCGCTTCCGCCGGGGGCGGGCTGCCTCCCTCCCTGTCCACACGGGGTCACTCCAGCCCCTCCACAGAGGCTGGATGAGCCGCAGTGAATCAGCGCCGTGCCCACAGCGTCTGTTGGTGGGTGCTGGGCAAATACACGATGAGCAGTAAAACAGTACGAGCAGGAATGCGATGGCCAGCAGAGTGCTCGGCGGCCTCACTGGAGATGGTGACTGCCCTCCCGGGCGGTGTAGACGGCGACGCGTCCCCTGGCAAGTCTCCGGCGGGCCGCGCTCGGACCCTGAACCAGCAGCAGTTGCGAAGACCCACCTCGGACCGATATGTGCTCCAGGACCAGCTGTGTGCTGAGGGCGCTCGGCAAGAGCAGGGCAGTGAATGGGCGCCTCCGGCACTTGCTGGGGTCTGCAGAGCGGGTTCCGAGTCCCCCACACCTCCCTCCGTCGTCTCCCTGCCTCTGGTGTTCTCTTGCTCTGCAGACCGACTGCCCTCCGCACAGGGCGTCTGTCGGCGCCGCTGCGTGCCCCTCGGGGCCTGGTTTCTGCGTGTTTTCCCCACTTGTTGGTGTCTTGCTCTTCTTGACTGCCCGCCTCCCGTGGTGGTTTGTACCTTCGAGCCAGAGGCCCGCCGACCAACAGCGACGTGCTTCCGTTCTCGTGTTTGTCTGAGCCTTCTGTTTGGCCACGGCCCGGGGCGTTCCGTGTCGGTGGTGCCCTGCGGCAGGAAGTCGGCGGGCTTGCTGTTGTCTTGAAGGCGGTCTCTCGGGTCACGGTCAAGCTCCGTCCGTATGGCTGGACTGTCATGTTTAGGAAGAACGTGGGGCTGAGGTGTTACCGCCGAGTGTTGCCCTTAGTGACTAGTCACTTTTCATGGCCGACGGGAAAGGCTTGGCTGCATTGGAGTTTTCCTAGTTCTTCAAAAGGACAGTTCGTTTCTGTCCTCACGGCTGGATCCCTGCACATCGGGGACACCTCCCACCTCGGGGAGCGGGCAAATGTTTTTGTGCCTCTGGTTCTGCAGAAGCGTCGTGGGTGGGCATTCCACTGACTCAATGTGCGTATGATTATGCATATCGGTCTAAGCAACTCACCAAGGACTGTCTGTCAGGTTGAGGGAGGAGGACACTGTGGGTATCGCCTTGCACATGGAAATGGCTTCATCCTGGGTGAGGAACGGCCAGCAAGGGCCAGGCAGGGCCAGCCCACGAGCCCTCCTGACCAACAGATGGCTGCCTGCACCTCACGTGGCAGCCACAGCGATGGGGGGTCACAGGCACACGGGGCCTCAGAAGTCCAGCCTTTTTCTCTTCCTGATTCTCTGCCTACTGTTGACAAGGGGAGTTTTTGATTCTATTTTAAAAAAATAAGTTATTGTTTCCCTGCCTGTCCGGACAGGCACCTGGAAACAGAGTTCGTGCGTGTTAGGCATGAAGAAAAGGAGGCAAACACTCAGAGTGCACGAGGAACAAGGACCGACCCCCCCCCCCAGCCCTTGTCCCCTCCCCCCGGCCCAGGGTCACCTGACAGCTGGGATCACTGTCATGTCCCAGACGCCCCTGGGGAAGACATTTATTTAGGTCACAAACCATTTCGAAGACTTCCTGCTCAGTTAAGAAAATCCCGGGAAAGCCTGGACGGCACGAGGCTGTGGAATGGGCCAGAGCCTTTTAACTTTGGGGAAAGGGTATGGTGGTCAAATTGACCATGAACTTGATTCAAAAATCAGGACAATTGTAATGAGCCGGTGGCGGCCGCGATCAGTGTAGCTGGGCCGGGGGAGCGGCGCATCAGCGGGCTACCGCCGCTGCAGGACGGAGCGTGACTAAGGCGCTTGTTGCTTGTGGTGGACCCGGGGCCACGTGAAAAGTGACCCTGGTGTCTCTACTGCGTATTGATTTAGCCAACGTGATTAAATCCTAATTGCTAGGACAAATCACAAAAGCATTTGCCAGAGCAAAAAAATAAAATCAAGTAAGAAGGTGAAGACCTTTCAGTAACGGTGCCCACTGGCATTCCCGATGGTTTTCCGGGTCCGCAGAATAATGAGGAGGCGCAGCGAGGGCCGGGAACCACGTCGTTAGAAACGCAAATGCAAGAATCGCCCTCATTTTGCTCTCCTTGCTGTGAAAAGGAATGTGTAGAACTTACCACTGTCGTTTAAATTCACGTGCTTCCACCTTGAATTAAACACTGAATTTGTAAAATACTTGGAATCCTTTTTCACAATATCAGATAGCATGGAGCCTGTCCTTGCCCTAATACTTCATTATGAAAAATTTCTGACATAGGAACGTTTCAAGAATAGTCCAGCAAACATCCTTATACTCACCTCCTGTAGTCTGCAGTTAAGGCTTTGCTGTATTTGCTTTCATCCCATGTCTAGCCTCCCACCCATCCAGCTATCCTTCCTCCCTCCCTCCCTTCCTCCCTTCCTTCCTTCCTCTCTCCTTCATTCTCTCCCCCCTCCTTCCCTCCTGCTCTCCCTCTCTCCTTCCCTTCCTCCCTCCCTCCCTCCCTTCCTTCCTTCCTTCCTAATTCCTTCCCTCTATCCATCCATCCATGCATCTTACTTTTCTGTTCATTTCAACACATGCCGCAGACGTCAGTACACCAAAGAATCCCTGTTTTCCACTGTGGTCCATATAATCTTCTCTTCTTCTAAGCTTGTGTGCAACAACGATCATGTTTTACCCTCCTGTCACCCCTCATCTAGAAAACGAAGCGCCTCCCCCCACATTTCAGGCCCGTTGCAAGGAATAAGGAAGATAACAAACGCACCACCCCTCCCACGAAGGGGTCTGATCCAGGGAGCTAGCGCTGCTGTGTGTGCTGGGCAGCAATGGTCGTCATCTCTTGCTGGACGGAGTGGGGTGCCCGAGGTTGGCATCGGCGTCGTCAGAGCTGCATCGATGAGCATTACCCGTGACCAAGGATGCTCACCCACACTCAGTGTCCTTCCTCTGACAGGAGCGAAGAGCCCCTCGCCCTGGGCCACTGGCACGAGCTGCGTGTGTCCCGCACGGCGAGGAACGGCCTCCTACAGGTGGATAAGCAGAAGGTGGTGGAAGGCATGGCGGCGGTAAGGACTCAGCTGTGCCCCCTGCTGGTGGGGGATGTGGGGATGGGGCTGCCATTTGCTTTCTGTCCCAGAGACAAGAGCAGCAGCATGGCGGTTAAGTGCACGCACGGATGCCAGAGCCAGACGGCCTGGGCTGACCCCCAAGCTGTGCTCCCCTCCAGGCAAGGTACTTAGCTTTTGTGTTCCTCAGCGTGAGTGTGGAGAAGAGCCGCAGGCGCCTCAAGCCGTGGTTCCACTCAGTGCCAGGTCGGGCTGGACGGCGCCCCAGGCAGTCCCACACGAGCCCCAACATCAGCAGCCATAATAGAGTTCGTTCTCACTCATGCTACGTGCCCCCCAACGGCCAGCTGCAGCCTTAACCTGAGACCCAGGCGGAAGGAGCAGGGGGGTCAGGAAGACGGCCTGGTGGACCGCTCCCCCGGCCCTGAAAGCTTCTGCCCAGAGGTGGTTTGCTTCTCTTCCGCTCGTGTTTTGCTGGAAAAACGCCAGTGACACGGCCTCCAACCTGAGGCCGGAGGTCGCCTTCCTGCACGGAGAGGGCACTGCCGACGAGCAGTCCACCGCCTTTGTTGTGACACATCGTGAGGTGGCTGTTGGGACCTGAGTCTCAGAGAGGCTGGGAAATCTGCAGTCGCCCAAAGGGGGGCCGGCAGCAAAGCAGAGCAGTGTGCGAGTCAAGCCACGGAGAAGGCAGACTGTCGTGACGGGTCTTGGAGGGGCCGGGTGACGAGGACCCAAAGGCACACACGGGTGGTCGTCTTAACCGTCCTGTCCTAGAGCTTTACATACTGTGCTTTGGTTTTGATCTGCTCGCAGGGCGGCTTCACGCAGATCAATTGCAACACGGATATTTTTATTGGCGGAGTCCCCAGTTACGACGAGGTGAAGGACAAGTCGGGCGTCCGCCAGCCGTTCAGTGGCAGCATCCAGAAGGTACGGGCTTCGCGTCCTCGTGCTTCTTGTTTGACCTTGACCGCAGACGGTGGAGCTGAGCACCGTGGCCAGCGTGCAACCCACGGCACCCAGAGAAATTCTGATCGAGTTTAAACATTTTTAAGATTTCATTTTTTTAATGCTCCCAGCATAGCTTTCCAGCCCCATTTCTTATACCGTCCGCTCCTGGGTCTCTGCCTGGCAGACGTAGCGTGAGCGCAAGTCGATGAAGATGAGTTTTTGCAGCGGGTCCACAGAAAGACCCCTTGACAGTTGAGGGAGGGGCCGCCGGCCTGGGGTCGCTTCAGAAACGTGTGCAAGAGGGAAGGCGGTGCACGGAGTCTAACAGCAACTCCGTGCCTCTCCGTAGGGGTGCTCTGCTCTGCAGTTTGCTGAGGGCAAGAGCTGACACTCACCTCTGCCTCTCCCCCCACCCCACCCCCACAGTGCAGCAGCTGTTCCTCAATCATGTTACACGCTCCTGAGAGCAGAGGTTGAAGGGTCCCCCCACAGAAGGCCCAGGAAAAAGGCCACTCAGCAAGTGAAGACCCAGGGCACGGGCCCCAGCCTGCTCACCTCTTTTCCTCCTCCGGGGGTGGCCTGGGTCTCTCCAGTTGTGAGGACAGGGAGTTCCGTCTGCAGCAGACCTGCAAGCTGCAGGCTCACCCTCCCAGGGTGCCAGGACCACTGAACCCGGGAGGAAGAGGGTTTGGAGAAAAGTGTGTCGGACGAGAGTATTGTCCAGTTTCCCTTTAGCCACAGGGCGGGTGTGGGCTGCTGACCCTTCCAAAGCCGGGGCGGAGGAGGGCCGTGGACGCAGGGCCCCGCGCTGGCCTGCTCACTCACTGGGGCTGCTGTCCCGGTGTGGGGCCCAGGCAGGATCCGCTGACTCCGATGTGTCCGCCTTTGCTGCTAAACTGTGGTGACAACGACACCTCAGTGCAGACCGCTGTCTGCCCCCACCCATCGCCCATGAGTGGGCTTGGCCGTGTTTCCTCCCATGTTCGCAATTCTCACTCGGGCAGCAAGCCCAGGGGTGAAGGGGCTTGACCCCTGCCCCTCCCCGGCCACCCTGGTCAGGCGCAGCCCCTCCCTCCTGACTTCTGGGAAAGGCACCGGCCCCTCGCAGGGTTCAGACCGTCGCCTGGGCTGCACCCTCGGTGAATGCTGCCACCCTTGGCTTGTCTCAGCCACAGGGGCTGTTTCTCGGTCCTTCACTTGCAGCACGAGCAGCGGGGACTGTGGAAAGACTCTGGCTGCTTCGTAGCAGCTGCTGAGACTCAGGGCTGAGGAAAAGCTGCCTCCCGGCCCTCGGCCCTCTCCAAGGGCTGGGCAAGCCTGGAAACATGGGTCAGAGGCAGAAAGTGCCCTTGCTAACCGGTTAGGACCCCCTGCAGCATGGGAGATCCCCCAGGGGTTCCCTTCTCCTTGAGCTCTGAGCAGCGCTGGAGACACTGAAACACCGGCCGCCCGAGTCTGGTGCCCAGTCTGAGTCAAGGGTGGAAAACAATGGCTCTATTCATCTGGGGTCGGGAGCCCTGTAACCTCTTCCCAAAGTCGTGGGTCTCTGCAGAGCCCCCTTGCAGGGACAGATGGGGGCGGTCCCAGCGCGTGTGCCCGGCAGTGAGGGGAACGTGAGCTGAGTTGCAGTGTTTCCTTTAATGTTGGGGAAGGATGTGGAGCGTGGAAGGAATTCGAGAGTGTCGGGGAAGGAGGAGGGCAGGGGAAGGCCCAGCAGGGGGAGCTGGAGGGGCTCACGGGCGGACCTTCTCCAGAATCACAAAGCAGCCCCGGGAGAAGCTTCTCCTCCGCCATCCCCCGAAACCCCCACTCCCTCTTGGGTTCTTTCGTTTCGGGTCCTTCCCTGCTCAGCTTTGGGGCACACATCCCAACCTCGGCTGCTGCACCGCAGAACCACCCGGGCGGCTGTCCGAGGTTACTGCTAACTGGACGCCGCCCTCAGGGATTCTGACGGGACCGAGCTGGGTGGGACCTGGGCGTTAGGTGTTTCCTAACCACCTCCCCCCCTCCCCGGGGGTTCCAGTGGGCAGCCAGGCTGAGACTTCCCACTTGTGTGTTGAGTTATCGGGGCTTCTCTTTGACCTCTCGTGGGACCGGGTCTTCCAGAACCAGGAGGGCCTTTGCTCTGCAGGTTGTCCGGGTGCCGGACATAATCACGTCGGCTCCTGCCTCGTTAGGGCTACAGAGGCAGCCACCGCACCTGCTCTCTTCTGTTTAAGGCTCTCGCTGCATGCAGTTGGGGTTGGTGGGCGCGGGACGAGTCACTCACTGCAGAGCTGTTTTCTGACGTCCTGCGCTCTTTGCGTGTCCTCTCCCCCAGATCACCCTGAACGACCGCGCCGTCCACGTGGAGCACGACCGGAGCTGGGGCGTGAACGTGGAGAACGCGGCGCACCCCTGCGTGGTGGGCCCCTGTGCCCACGGGGGCAGCTGCCGGCCCCAGAAGGAGGGCTATGAGTGCGACTGCCCCTTGGGCTTTGAGGGTCTGCACTGCCAGAAAGGTACGTGGGGGCTCGGCCGGCAGCAGGGGCGGGGGAGTGGACAGACTGTGGGCGGGGCAGCGGACAGACTGTGGGCGGGGCTACAGTGCGGCCGGTGCCAGCGTGGTAATACTCGTTTTTATCAGCGATTTCAGTGGCATCGTAGGTGGCCAATCCCATAGAAACCACTGTGATTCTTTAGTAATTAAAATGCAGAAATCCTTCTGTAATGGTAGGTAAATAGCTTCCCGGCGCCCCTGCCCTGGCTCCTTGCCTGGGAATCCTGCCCCCACTCCCCACCCCCAACCGGCCCAGCAATCAGAAGGTGAGCTCGTAACACCGGTCGTTTGCAGGACCCCCTCCACCTGGGGCACTCTCAGAGCCTGTCCTGATAGGCTGGTAAATGTTTTACCTACATTTTGACCCCTACTTGAGAATTTTATAAAGAAATATTGCCAAGTACAGAAAAATAGGAATTGTACTTCTCCAAACCGAAGTATAAATAAGCCTCTGTAGAGAGCTACTTTCCGTGTGCCTCAGTTTCCTCGTTGTAAAATGAGAATAAAAACAGCAACAGTAGAGGGTGTGGTATGGGTACAACGGACAGTGCATATTCCTCGGACAGAGGCCTGGCGAACTCCCAGAGAACGCCAGCCGTTATAGGTATCGACGAGGAACATAAAACCCGTTAGCAGGTGCCGTGAGCGACTCGGCACCGCCCTTGTCTGAGAGCTGCTGGAGCAGGGCACAGGGCACAGGCCCCTGCGGGATGAGCCGCCCGCCCCTGCGTGTGGGCGGCGGGCGTGGCCTGGTGTCCAGAAGAGGCCTGTCCGCATGTGGCCGTCATGGTGTTGGGATGTGTAGAACGTCTTGTTCAGGTGTCAGGACAGCCTCACCTGCTCAGGGACTAATAAAGGAAAGGTAGCCAGGCCTGGAGGGGCATCAAGCAGCCAGGCTAAGGGACGGAATATGCTGTCTTTCTTATTTTGTTTCCAGGTTCCTAACTTCTTTTAAATCCTCACCTGAGGGCATCCTTATTGATTTTGGAGAGAGGGGAAGGGAGGGAGGAAGACAGGGAGAGAAACATCCATGTGAAAGAGAAACATCAATTGGTTGCCTCTCATGTGCCCCGACAGGGGACCAAACCAGCAACCTAGGCCTGTGCCCTGACCAGGCATCGAACTTGGAACCTTTCAGTGTATGGGAGGATGCCCCAACCAACTGAGCCACCCTGGCCAGGGCTCCAGGTTCCCGATTTTTATCGGAGGTAGCGCTTAGAGGGGAACTGTGAATTACTGGCAGATATTTGGTACATGGGATGATAGGAGAAGTTGTTTTGCAGAGGTTTTGGAAAACCCGAAAGATGCCAGTTTGCCAGGTGGAAGATTAAGTGGCGTTATTCTTAAATGAGTTTTGAAACCTGCATGGCCAATCATATGAAATGTATTTATTCACATAGCTCAGCCCATGGTAACCCCCCAAGGAAGAGCAGTTGACCCATCTGTGAAGGAGGCAGTCCCTGTTCAGCTCTGAGTGAGCACTTGCAGAGATTTAGTCCGAGTGGCCCCTCATTCAGAAAACCGGGACTGGATTTCACAGGGCAAGGTCTGCATATCCTAAGGCTGCATTCCACCACCGGCAGTGCAAGCTTGCTCCTGCCTTAGACGCCAGCCCTAATGGTCGTCATGCAGAGTCCGGGCTTAAACAGTTGGCAGCTTTGGGAATTACAGGGGGAAGGGCTGGCTCGTGTGCAGTCTCGTTGACCCAAGTTTCCTGCTGCAGAACATCAGCCATAACAGATACGAAAAGCTTGTGTTCACAGCCCCCGTAACTATGGGTTCAGGTTCACGAAAAATAAATTTCACCAGAATGAAGGGGCAGATCCCGGATGAGGCTCTGGGCTTCCTGGCAGAATCCAGAAAGCAATGGACAGTGACAGGGGGACCGGGGGACATTTGGGCCTCTTTCTGCGAAATACTGGGCTGGACTATCAGCTGCCCGTGTTGTGCCACTGTCTCCTTGTGCTTTGAAAAACAGGCGGTCCTTCTGGAGCCAGGGCAGCTGTTGCCGGTGCTCTGGGGAGGCGCACGGGGTGGGGCGCACGGGGCGGGGCGGGGCTCGGCCCTCCTCCCCCTTTACGTGGCTTGGGAGGGGTAACAGGGCTCTGGGCACCGGTGAGGACCCTCGAGGACAGTTGTCCCAGGCCCCAGCGGGCACACGGCGGAACACAGCCTGCTTTCACACAGGGGAGGGCACTTAGTCCCAGATCAGGGTCGGAAAGAAATGGGAAGTGGGCAACCCCAATGGTGCCATAGAGGTGCGAAAGGACACTCGAAACGTTTGGGTGAAGTCTTATCTGACAGGCCAAGCGGGGCTGGAAGCCCTCCGCGGGCGTCGGGGAGAATCCGGTCTAACCCAACACGCTGACTCAGAGCCTCGTAGGGTGGACACTCAAAGCGCTGGGGCTTCTCCTCTGCCTCAAAACCAGGTCTTGCTCTTGCTTCGAAAGCAAGACCCTGTCCCCAGGGAAGGCCGACTCATCCCTGTACGTTGAGCGGCCGCTGTGGCCGTCACCAGCACCAGGCCCCATTCCATCCGTGCCGGGGGGCACCTCCTCCGTCAGGGGGTTTGTTTGGGGCTCCTCAGTGAGTGGTTTTCTCTGACCTCCTCCTGGGGTTTGTGGCAGGCGGGTGAACTCCACTAGGGACCTGGTCAGGAAAGTGGACACTTATCTGGATGGCCGGGGCCCCAAGCTCAAACAAGATCTCTCCTGGAGAGGGTCTGGCACCCAGACCACCACGGGGGGTTCGGGAGCCCCCTCGGTCCCTGCAGGGGCTGGGGCTGGGGCAGGGGCGCCCTCTGAGCTCCGGACCGTCCCCAGGGCTCTGCGGGCCGGCCTCTGAGAGCGGCAGATGCAGAACACGCAGCCCCCGTCCCGACCCGGGAACCACCGAGGCCGGAGGAGCACGGGTTCTCCTGGGTCCCAGCCACGACTCTGGTGCCGATGACAGGACAGTCACAAGGCTTGACTTCGGTGACTGCCCGCTCACCTGCTTCGGGGGCTCTCCCTGCTCGGTGCCTCCCTCCTCGCGGCCTCACACCCCAGCACCCCAATCCCGAGGCCCCTTCTCATCTCACCAGGGGGCTGTCGGCCAGCCCTCCGTCCTCAAAACAACACTCCCCACCCTTAGGTGCTTTTGTCCTCTTTCTACTCCCATCCCGACTTACCCCCCTTGTGTTCCAGCTCCACACAGACCTTCCATCCCAGTAAGTTACTCGTGGTTGAAGCCAGACCTCACAGGTTAAGTCTGGAGGAGGATTCCTGGCTGGCTGGGCCACGCACAGGGCTGCTTGGGGCAGAGATGGGAGCCAGGCCTCCTTCCGGTCCCATGGCGTCGGTGCGGGCGGCAGTCTGGACTCAGACCGTGCAGGACCCTGCCGGCCACTAGGTGGCGGTGTTTCTCTGCGGCCGGCGAGCTGACGCCTGATCAGTCCCGATACCCATAGCCATGCCCACATTAGGGTTATGCCCACATAGGGTTCATGGGACAAGGTCCTAAAGGTGCGGTCCGCTGCTCTCTACTGATGCACCACATGCACAACATCGAGGACATTTTGCGTTGTGTTTAGTAGATTCCTATCATGTTGCTGGGTCTGGTCTGGGTGCATGTTTCTTGGTCCCTGTGTAAGAAAACTAGCTCCAGTGAGTAGAGGCCATCCATCCTCTAAGACAACCCAGGACATGGAAGCTCAAATTAGTAAAATATGCATGCTACCAGGAGTTTCCTTTCTTGGGGTGGTGTAGGATTAAACAGTGAGAAATTGGGGGTGTTCAGCTGCTCTTTAGACAGCCAAGGGCTGGTAGTGTGGAGAGGGATGTTTGTTTGTTTACCTGGTGGCTACAGAACCTACTTTGTAACAAGAGTTCTGCACCAGGTAGCCCGGTCCCCCAAGGGCAGGAGGGTGAGCGAGCTGCCCGCTGGGAAAGCATTCCCAGGGCTGGACTGCGTCCGCCAGGATGTCCGCGAGCGGAGCCCTGGTTGTTGGGAAAGCTGGGTCACCACCCCGCCCCCTGCGCCCCCCTGCCCACCCCTGGGTCCTTCCGGTGCCACGCCCTGTGACGGCAGGAGAGAGCCCGCCCTCCCTTCAGCTCTGCAGAGCCTGCTGGGAATTCAGGTCCCTCAAGTGGAAAGTGGACTTTGCCCGGCTTGGAGGCTCCTGGTCACTGGGGTATTCTCGTCCGCGTGTCATCGGATGGCGCCAGCTTTGAGGTGTCAGTGTGAGGAAGTGACAGAAACACGTTTCAACCAATGCATTTCAAAGACCATGTAAAAAAAAAATAGCTATAAAGGGTTAGGTTCACTAGAGCCGCGTCTGTGCTGCGTATTCAAACCAACCGCGAAGGGCCCGGGAGGGCTGGCTGGTGACTTCCAGCCCCGACGGCTTAGAACCACCATGCGTCCGCATATACTGACCCCAGTGAGCGTGTGTTCACCGTATTGTGCGCAGCAGTGTCATTTCTGGAAGGTTCCCCCGCCCTTTGTTAATCGCAGGAGAACCAGAGCTGGGGTGGGGGGGGGGGGGCTGGGGGGGGAGGTAGGGTGGTCTTTTCCACTCCACGGAAGAGGCCGCTGGCAGGCTTATCACTCCTTGTGCACACACAGCCCAGAGCCAAGAAAAGTAATAATCATTGACGAGGTAAGTAACTCTTTAGCAAGGAACCGTTTCTCCGGGGTTAGAATAAACGAGGGACTGTCGGTTCAAAGTCGGGGGAGCCGCAGAGGTGCCAGACAACGTATTCCACACGTCTCTCTCGGTTCGCCACCACCTGCCCCTCCCCCCCACCGCGACGGAGGCTGGGAGGCCCCGGGCCCTCCGCAGGGTTTTACGAGGAAACGGGGCTGCTTTCCCGTGATCCGCCACCGGTGTAATTGGGGTTTTTACAAGGGCGGTGAAATCCTGACTTTCCCTGTTCTGTTTCACGCTCGCACACGGCAGAGTGTGGGAACTACTGTCTCAACAGTAAGTACAGTGCGCCCTGGGAGGGGCTGTGCACGTGCGGGGGGCTCCTGCCAGGGCAGGTTCCGGCCGGGCGGGGGCGCAGTGCAGGCAGCCGTAGGCACGCAGAGGGTGGCCCCGGGCGAGCGGCTTGGGCCTCGGACACGCCCACCGGGGTGGTGGGGATCCTCCCTCCAAAGGCGCCAGCTGCCCGGAGAACGTGCTCGAGTCCCCGCTGGACTTCGGGAAGCGCGGAGCTCCTGAGCTGGGGGCTTGGCCGGCAGCGGGACCCGGCTCACACAGACCCCTTAGGCCCCTGTGCAGAGCCCATGCCTGACCAGCACTTCCTGACCCCTTCAAGGAGCCCAGTGGGGCTGTGGTTGTCTGCCACGGGCCCAGGTCCACGGTGGGTAACAGCAAGGACAGGCCCCGCCTATGCCTCTCTCCTGGGGGCAGAGTCAAACCCAGGAGGCGCCTTGGCGGTGTGCACCTCCTGGGTAGCCTCTCTTCTCCCTTCTCGGCTCTAGACCCTGAAATTCAAGGCCCCCCTGCCCCGTCCCCAGCTAGGAGCCCCCTGGTAGCTCCGCAGTTTGGCACCCTTGTTTCTCCTCTGGGCCTCCCTGCCGGACCTCTCCCCTCCGCCCCACCCCTCTGGGCCATTCTCCCTGCACTGTGCCTTTTCCGTCCCCCCTTTCCCTGCTCCAGGGGCTGCCCATCCACCTGCCTCCTCCTCCTCTTCTTTCTTGGCATTTTCTTCTCTTCCCTCCTCACTCTAGCTTGCCCCCTGCTGCCCCTGCTCTCCACTGTCTTTCTCTTTTGCATCCTACTCTTTTCTCCTCTCTCTCCTCCCGACCTTCGCCAGAAGGGAGAGAGGCCAGCAGTGCGGCCCAGGAGTTCACATGCAACAGCCTTTGCTCGCTCTGCCCCGGACAGGCCCTCTGGGCCCTGGGCGCTGGTCCAGCTGGGCCCGTGAGGCTTCAGAGAGCAAGAGAGCAGTTTCTCAGGACTTGCTTTGAACATTTTCCTCTTCCTTTGCTTTTCTTGTTTTCCTTCCTTTCTAAAATTCTTACTTTTTATGAAAATATTTTGGGATGTGTCAACACAGGAACTTACGCTTGGGAGCCCAACGTTACTGGGTTATAGGGTTTGCTGTTATCTCCGTCTTTTTTAAAAAAAATGGTTAGAAGTTATGTTTAAATTCTCCTGGGTGTTCATCATGTCAAATAATGATATTTGCTCTTTCCTGAGTGCAAAATCCTTAGGTTTTTTTTTTTTTTGCAGAGAAATCCAATATCTTTTTTGCACCAACCACATATTTTTGTGAAACTTGAACTGCTTTCATAAGCTGGCTTATTCCGTCGTATTTTGCACATTTCTTTGAAAATGAGATTCACTCCACCTTAATTCTTTAAGGTGTCATTTCTGTATGTTGCTAAACATGAAAGAGATATGGCTGTTATCTCTTTGGCAGAAATCTCCTAAGTTATCCCCACTGCTTGACGCCAAACCCGACGACAGAACCTAACTGGGCGCAGACGGGGTGGGAGTGGAGGGTTTCTCAGGGGTGCAAAGCAAAGGCAAATCGAGAGGAAGGAAACCCACTTCCGAAGTCCCGGGAAGCAGGCAGTGGGCTGAGGACCCGACCCACGGGAGCCCGGCTGGTCCCTGTCCCCTTGGCGGCCTCATCGCGGGCAGGTCCTTGGTGACCTCTGGGCATCCTTTTCCCCTCCTGTGAAATGGGACTGGCCACCCCTCCCCTGTCTGCAGACTCCCCACCGCTTCCCGAGATCGTGGGGAAGGCCCTGTGGGATGTGACACTGGGCGGGGCTTGGTAGAAAGGCGTCCGCGCCTCGTTTCTTGTTCTCTGCCAGACTCTTGCCGCTGTGGCCGGAAGCGTGCTGGGGCGGGTCGGCTTCGAACACAGGCATCCTGGAGGGCTTTGCTGGGGGTTCTTTCCTCTGCCTCCCTTGGAGGGACATCTAGGGTTGCCCCCCCGCGGCTCCCCACACGGCCCACAGCCTGCTCTTAGGCTTACACGGATAGCTGGGCCCGGGCCAAGTTTCAGCACCTTGCAGACCCTTCTCAGAAGTGCTGAGGCCGTTTCCAGCGGCAGCCAGCCCCAGGGAGGGGTCAACGGGGAGACGCAAACTCCGGGCCCTCAGGCCAGGCAGCCCCAAACCTGGCCGAGAGGAGGGAGCTGACAAGTTAGCTGGTTAAATGTCCTAATTCGAGGAGCTGGCCTTCTCGATATTTGCTGGCCACGAGGTTGAGTGCCGGGGTCCACAGGGACCCGTAACCCCCGTCTCTGCTCTGTCTCAGCCATCACGGAAACCATCGAGACTCCGCAGTTCATCGGCCGCAGCTACCTGACCTACGACAACCCGGACATCCTCAAGAGGTGAGCGGCTCCCCAGGTTTGCATCTTCAGCAGCAAAGGTCCCCTGTCCTCCTCAGGCTCTGCCCAGTTCAGTGGGGGCTCTCGGCCCTCTTCATGTGGATACAGGCAGATGCCACGTTGCCACGGTGGCTGTCAGCCCCCGGTGGCCGAGCCTCCAGTCAGTCCCTTGCTGGAGTCCAGGCTGCCGGTTTGCAGGAGTCTGTGCATGTGACCAGGGAATGGCCCTTGGCTGGTCCTCAACCCGGGGTCCTCGTCTTTGCTGCTTTCATTTTGGCTCTTCTCTCTTGTTTCCCCTCCCCTCGTTCTTTGTAGTTTGTAGTCTGCCATCCCCCTCAACACCGCCAGCACCACCGTTCTAGAATTTTCCTTCCTCTTTAGGTTGACTGTTTCCTAAGGCAAAGCTTTAAGCTAAAAGCACCCAGTTCTTAGGGTGGAGGCTGGTGGTTTTTCAAGGAACAGGGGTGGTTGAGAGACGTTTTCCTGGGGCACCAGACGAACACTTCCCTGGTACCTCTCAACACGCACCAGACGGACAGACAGACACTGCTTCATCTCTCTAATCCCACGCACTGTGTTTATCTTGGTGGCCTTGGCATACGGCTGTAGGCAAAATGGATTTCCAGCCAGGAGAGACCCTCTTCTTCCTTCAGTCCTTTTCTCCAAAGATGGAGGGGCATTCAGTCCCCAGGGAGCCGGGACGGCGTGAAAGGGGCCCCGGTCCTCAGCCCCCCGGACGCTCAGTGAGCGGCACCGGGTAGTTCGGTGGGAATCGGAGGCACGGGGCCCCCGCCCAGAGCAACTCGGGTGGCCCTTGTGTGCGTGTCAGGGTGTGCACACATGCACACATGTGTGCACGTTCAGAGTCTGTTTCAGTTAGATGTCTTTGGCTACAAGTGACAGAAAACTCAACTTGAAGTGTCTTCAACGTGAAGGGTCTTTCTTATTTCATACAATAAACCGTCCAGACGTAGACTGCACCTTGGCTCGATTGATGCAGAGAACCATCAGCAACATCAAAGACCCAGGTCTGGCTTTTTGCCTTATTATCCCCAGAGCATTGTGCAGTGGCCACGCCCTTCACGGCCAGGAGACAGCTCTGCCTGAGACGCTCATTAGATGGACCTCCATCCGGGCAACGTCCGGTGGAAGTACAAACTGTGTCCTCGTGTAACTCTTTCTAAAAGGAAAGGGATCTTTCCCAGAATCTTCCTGATATCTTTCCTCTAGCTCATTGGGTAATAATGGGTCACATGGCCATCCCCAGCCACTCACTGCAAGAGAAACAGAGCCATCGTGATTGGCTTCTACCAATCCGCATATCCCAGGCAGCGGGGGGAGGAGGGAAAGAGCCTGACACAGAAGACTGGGGAGAGCAGGTCTCTCAGGCAAGGGCCATCGCTGGGTTGCTCTGCACCTGGCTCAGGGGAGGGCTCGCCACCGTGGACCCTGCTGCCCCCTCACCACTCTGAGGCCCTGCACCGGGAGGGCAGGGCAGCCTTGGTCTCTTCCTGCCTGGGCCGGGCTCTGGGAAGCCTAGACAGAAGTCCCCTCCACGTTCGCTACTAAAGGCTCTACAGCTTTGTGGGACAGACAGAGGGACGGTACAAGTGACAGGGCATAGAGAGAGACTTTCCCAATAGTGCCCTGTCAGTAGCAGGACTAAAGTCCCGTTTCCTCTTGCTACCTTTTACGTAAGGACCTTGTGCTTGCTCTTCGCCCGGGGACAGGGGACACTGGCCACCTCAGTGAGACCGGGTTTCTGAGCGAGGCTCCGCCTGAGAACCGATGAGAACTCGGAGCCGCGGCGGGAGTGCCGGGGCCCCCACCGGCTCCGGCTCCTCCCCTTTGCTCTCGGCTTCCCGTCCCTCTCCGCCTGGCCTTTGCCTCCACGCCCCTCACTCTGCCTCCTGCCCAGTCTCCCCTCTGTCCTCCGGGACAGTCGCCACCAGAGCTGGCCACCCACAGCACAATCACAGTCCAGAGAAGCTGCCAACTTCAGCCTCTTGGAAACGAAGAAGGCCACTGCTCGTTGGGGGATGGGGAACCCTTTCCCAAGGACCCTTCAGCCGTAGGACAAGAAAGGAGGGCTGGGGTGTGTGTTGGGGTGCAGCCGGGGCTGTGGACTTGACCAGAGCCTGGTTAATCTGTGGCTCGTCGAGTGCTCTCAGGGGGCTGCACCCCACCTGGGGCGGGACACGCTGCTGCCACGAGAACAGCCCAGGCCTTGCGCCCGCGATGGTGTGACTTGGGGTGAGGACGCCAACGCTAGCCTCCTGGTGGTAAGTGCCAGGAATGCCAGCTCGTCCGTGCGCCCGGCTTCCCCCGGCCGGCGGACAAAACTCAGGCACGGATGCTGGCGGGCAGCGGTTAATTTGGTGCGATCGCTGGTGTGTTTCCCCCAGGGTGTCCGGATCCAGGTCGAACGTGTTCATGAGGTTTAAGACGACTGCCAAAGACGGCCTGTTGTTGTGGCGGGGAGACAGCCTCCTGTCCAACAGTGACTTCGTTTCCTTGGGCCTCCGAGACGGAGCCCTGACGTTCAGGTAAGGCCCCCCCACTGCCAGCTGCCTTCAGCAGCACCTTGCCGCCCCCGCCACCGGAGGGTTGCCACAGCGAACCAGCACGCAGTCCGCTGGAGTGCCCGTTGCCTGGAGCTCTGGACTTATCTGAGGCTCCTGGTCTTTCTTTCCCAGCGCCCGTCTACCAGGGCGGCAGTCAGCCGGCACAGTCCGGGGGCCGGGTCTGGCCCCCCACCCCTTTCTGTAAACCAAGTATTATTGGAACCCTGCCTGACGCGTTCATTTGCATATTGTCAGTGACAGCTTTCTTGCCGCAGTGGCACACTCGAGGGGTGTGAATAGGGACTGTGTGGCAAAGCCTGAAATGTCGATTAGCTGACTCCGTGCAGGACAGGTTTTTGACCCCCCAGCTGCGCACGCTGGGTTTCTGCCACGTGCCCCGCACTGGCACATCGGGAGGCCGGAGGCAGAGGACTTGGGAGAGCTGAGCTTGGCCGTGGGTGTGGTGCGCTCCGTCTCGGGCTGAGCTGGAGGCCGCACGTCGAAGGCCCGGCTCCAAGCGCTCACCGTGCTGCCCCCCCGCCCCCCCACCCCGTGGCTGTGCAGCCGTGGGGAGCAGGCGCCTGCTTCCCAGCCTCCCGCCGCGGACAAGGAAGCACAGATTTGTATCTCGATCGCTCGGCCCAGCGTTGGGGTTTTTGTAAATGCTTCTTGGGTGATACTGGCAAGGCAGCGCCTGGGCCTCTCAGCCTTTTAAACTGAGTTTGGACTGCTCTCACATTTTTCAAAGGGGTCGCTAGGAAATAGCAAAAGGGTCCCCTGACAGCTTCTGCTCAGCAGAGTAGTGGAGGAGGGGGTTGCGGGGTTCCCACCCGGCAGGGCCCGGCTGCTCGTGTAATGTGAAACCGCTTCAGTTGGAGATTGGGGCTGGTGCCTCCCCGCTGGAGGTTGGAAACGACTCCTCCTCTGGACCAGTGGCTCTCCACGTGCGGTCCCCGGGGCCGGCAGCGATCACGTCGCTTGGGAACGCCAGAAATGCCGATTCCCAGGCCCCACCCCACGCCAGAGGGAGCAGGGGAGGGGCCAGCCATCTGTTGTCGCCACTTCTCTCGGCAACTCGGGTGCTCGTCAAGGTTCGAGGCCTCTGCTCGGTCTCCAGGGGCAGGGGCTCCCCTGGCTTTCCCTCCTGTGACCACCGCCCCCCACCCCCCGGCCCGGGGCCTGGGAGGGGGAATTCACTGGGACTGAAGTAGACAAAGCCACGGGAACCGAACCGCAGAGCGGACGAGGACTGAATTCCGGGCGTCTGTGGGCCGTGCCCCGGGGCTCCTGAGCAGCCAGCACAGGGTCACGGACGTCTGTTCGGTCTGAGTAAAAAGCACTTGGGAGGAAATGCCACTTAGCCAACATCGCGCTCGCCCCTAAATAGCGGAGCACGCTGAGCGGTGCGATCCCCGTGACTCTTGGGGCTTGGAGAGACCTGTGTGGTTGGAGGCCAGAGGCTGGCCTCTGAGAGCCATGCTCCCCATCCCCGCCCCCTGCCCCAAGGTCAGACGCCGAGCTGTTCACACCCCAGTTGCAGGCTGGCTGCCGCGGAGCCATTTTCCTGTGGTTTTCCTGTGGTTAACCTCACCGAGGCCTCGAGTGCTTGATTGTGCCCAGAAAAGGGAACTGAAACAGTAGCGCAGCCAGGGGTGGGAGGCCAAGGTCGCCCTAAACCGCCAACCAAAACGTGTTCGTCCCCACCGGCCCCGCAGAGCGGGGAAACTCGACCAGCGCGGGGCTGCCGCACAGCTCCCAGGGGCCTCCCACCAGCCCGGCCGGCCTCCCACACCCCCTGGGCGCCTTCTGGCAACGCCGCTCCATCCAGACACAGCTCTGCGGCCACTGTGTCTGTCTCGGCTTTCTGACGATTGGCCCCAGGTTTCTTTTGGGAGCCTGGAGCTCGGGGCAGGCTCTGGACGCACAGTGAGCGGAGTCCTGCCGTGCCTGCCCCCGGGCCTGGGCCCACAGCTGCTGCCGCCGCTGCCTGCTGCTGTGCTCCTTCCTCGGGCACGCGGGCGTGCAGGTGCTCTGCGGGAGGCCGGGCACAGGGAGGGCTCAGGGCGCAGGCCGGGGGTGGTCGGAGAGCGGCCGCCTTCAGCCAGCCATCCAGCGGGGAGCTTGCTCCAGGGGGAGAGCCCTCCTGGGCCTACACGCAGAGACCCGACAGAGCAGGTCTCCTCGGGCACGAGCAGCTGGTGGGAACCCCTCCGGGACCGCGCCCTGGGCAACAGGGTCTGACGCGGTCGAACGAGGGCTTCCGTGTCGGGCAGGCGGGGTTCCCACGGCCACGGGACCTGCGGCGCGGTACCCGAGCTCCCGTGAAAGCACAGGGCTGGCCGGGAGGGCTGAGGGAGTTCCTTCGCCTAAGGGGCTCCGTGCAGGGCCTGGCACCTCTGGTTGCTGGCGGTAACGACGGCCACCATTGCTTCCCTCGACCGAGTGTGTTTTCTACCCTCGATACGTGCTAGAAGCTCCTACCTCGGATCGGTAACATAGGTAGGGAAGTCAGCATGATCTACCTGCTTCATAAAGTGCGGCTGCTGTTGTCGTCGTTATTTTTACGAGAAGCGGCCCCCGCCTTCCAGCAGCTTCCATCGGCGGGGCCCGGCGCAGGCACTGGTCTCGTTGGGCAGAGAAACCACTTTTGGGGTTTTGGCGTTTGACCCCGATCCCAAGTAAACAACAGAAACCCTAAAGTGACAAAACACAGTCTCGACTTCACCTTGACTTTTCCGCTTCCCTGGAACGCTGGTCCTTGTGCTGCCTCAGTGCTCGGAGCCCCTCTGCAGAGCATGAGGAGCAGCCGTGGAGCTCTGGACAAGATGGAGTGTTTGTGGCGGTCGTGCACGATTAAGGGAAGGAAAAGGAATCCAAGTGCTCAGACACGAGTGTGGTTTCCGCTTTCACTTTGTTCCACGGAGTTGTAGGATGACACGTGGGGCGTGACACCCGGTGAGCCGGTTTTGTGGAGACCACTCGACCGACACGCTCTTTCCCACTCGTTTTCCACGTGACCTTGATGACATGTCTGTGCAGCAGGGAAAGGACGGGGAGAGATCTGAGTGGGCAGGGGGCCCCGCGCTACAACCTGGCCGACGGTCTCCCCCAGGCTGCACCCGGTGGCGCGTCCTGGGGTGTCACCTCGGCGCTCGGCCCTGCAGCCCCCCGTGGGCGCCGGCCTGAGCAGGCGACTGGCATCGGGAGGACCGACTCGTGCCGACCGGGTTCACGGGGCCCCGAGAGTGAAATCAGACGTGCACCGGTGTGTTCAGTTGTTCATTCATTCTTGGTTTTTGCGTTTAAAAAAAAATGAGCCCTGGCTGCGTAGCTCAGTGGATTGAGCGCGGGCTGTGAACCAAAGCACCGCAGGTTCGATTCCCAATCAGGGCACATGCCTGGGTTGCAGGCCATGAGCCCCAGCAACCACACATTGATGTTTCTCTCTCTCTCTCTTTCTCCCTCCCTTCCCTCTCTAAAAATAAATAAATAAATAAATCTTTAAAAAATTAGTTATAATTTACATGAAGTGCACCAATGTTAGGTGCACAGTTGGATAGATTTTTAAACGTGTGAAGACCCGGGGAGCCCCCACCCGGAGTAAGATGCAGAACATTTCTCCTACCCCGGGAAGCTTCCGCATGCCCTCGGACAACAAAGACAACCACTGTTCCTGGTCCTTCACTGTTCTGTAAAAGAGAGCCCTTTCGTATGCTGATAAGGAGGGCTGCTGGGTGGCTCAGTCGGGCGCACCGTCGTCCGTGCACCAGAAGGTTGTGGATTGGATTCCTGGTCCAGGCACACATGCAAGATCAGTGTTCCTTCTCTCTCATCTCTCTCTCTCTCCCTTTCTCTCTCTCTAAAGTCAATACACACATCCTCCCGTGAGGATGAAAGGAGAGAGGGAAAGAGAGAGAGAGAGATGCCAGGGGGAAGCACCGAGCGTCTGGGAAGCAGGAGGTCATGGAGGGTCTGCAGTCAGACGGGGGTGGGGGGGGCTGGAGAGTTGGGCCGTGGAGGTGCCAGCCGGTGCCCTGTGCCCACGTTGTGCCAATGGCCAGACTCCAGGCTGACTCCCCAAGCACCGTCTGGCTTTGGCATAAACAGGAGCACGAGGGGACTGGAGGGCAGGAGAGGAGAGGCCCTCCTTTGTCCACACACACCTGCGAGGGTTTCCTTTCACTGGGTCCCACCCCGTTCCAGTCCAGCGTCCCTGCAGGTGCGCCCGGGCCACCTCTGCCCTGGACTCTGGGTGCTCCTGAGCTTCTCGGTGACACATGTATAGCCTGGTGGGTTACGCTCGCACCCGGCTACCCTCCCAGGAGAGGCCCACCGCGTTGAACTCTCTCGGCGGCAACCGTCTCCTCCCCGCTGGTTCCTCCGGACCTGTGGTCCCCCGTGTGGGAGCCGCCTGGGGTGCGGCAGATGCTCACCATTCCCTCCGATCCTCTGGGGGAGGTGCAGTCACCCCACCGCACGGACGAGGGACCCTGGGCTCAGAGAGATGAATGAGCCTGTGACCCACGGTTCGATTCCCAGTCAGGACACATGCCTGGGGTGCACAGTCACGGGCTCATAACTGGCAGAGTGGGAATGCAGGCGGGTGAGTCTAATCCACACACAGTCACTCAGCTGTGGGTCAGCCAGCCAGCTCTCGGCCTGCTTCACAGTCATTCCTTTCATCTTTGACAAGCACTTGTCCACTAGGAATGACATCTGAAAAATCCCACCTGCAGGCTGCTCCCTGCAAGGAGCCCCTGGCTGTGGGAAAACTCACGAGGAAACAGCAGGTGTCTCAGGGGTCAGAGTCACCCACATTCTGTTCTCGGCGAGATGCCGACGGGCCATGTGCATGCTCTGAGCTCTGCTATGACAGAGAGGGCCGGGCCGGGCCGGGGCGCGGTCCCTGGGGAGAGCCGGGCGTGCTCTCTGCCCCTCTTTTCTCAGGCTGCCCGCCCGCCCGCCCGCCCGCAGGGGCGCGGAGTGAGCCCGGGCTTCCTCCTCGTCGCTGTGTCTTGGCCGGTGGGCTGAAAGGGGAAGACGGGTCCGCTTACCAGACGAGGGGAGGGTCGTCCCGGGGGGGCACACTGTCCTTCCAAAGCACAATTACATACATTTTATGCTGTTGGTTACCAGGGGGCAGTCCAGGCAGCCGGCCCGATGCCTGGCCTAGGGGCGTCACTCACTAAATAGTTGCTGAATTGAGTTAAATTAGAATAAAGGAGGCGCATGCTCACGCTTCCCTCGCGATTTAGTCCTGCACTGGACTAAAAGGGATGTTTCTCTCTGGTAAACGGCGTGTGCGTGTCTGCTGACACCCTTAAGGCGTCGGGCCGTCTGCAGCCTGAAACAGGAAACAGAACTGCCGAGTAGACCAGATGTCCGAGTGAAGTGGCGGGGTGGGGGTGGGGGGGCTCAGACAAGACACCACGTCCACCCTACACACAGCTCTGGGATTTCAGGCAAATTCTTTCCATCTCTTTGGAGTTCAGCCTCCTCTGCAGTGTTCTGTTCTGTTTCATTTTGCTTTTAAAACGTAAAAGCACGTGTATCCTTCGCCAAGGGCTGCCGTGACAAATGATCACAAACTGGGTGGCTTAGAACCGTAGAGATTTATTCCCGCACAGGTCTGGGGGTTCCAAGTCTGACGCGCAGGTGTTGGCAGGGCTGGTTCCTCCGGGGGGGTCTCGGAGGGGGGGTGGTCCGTGCCTTCTCCCAGGCTCTGGAGGTTGCCCGCAGTCCTGGGCACACCTTGGCTTGTAGCCACATCGCCGCAGTCTCTGTCTTCACCTTCGTATGGCTTTCTTCCCCATGCGTCTTCTGTGTCCCAAGTGCCTTTTCTTACGGGGACCCGGGTCACCTAGGGGTTAGGGCTGCCCCGATCCAGCGTGACTCCATTTTGATTTATTACATCGGCGAAGACCCCGCGTCCAACGAAGGGCACACGCCGAGGTCCTGGCTGGACGTGACCGTTGGCGGGACTCTGTTGAGCGGGGTGTAGCACGTCACACGTGATAAAGCCATTCTTGTTCCCGGTGCTGGGCGGATGCTTCTGTACCTGGCCGTGAGCACGTGATGCCGAGGGAGACAAGCCAGGCGCCGAGGGACAAACGCTGCACGGTCCCCCTTCTCTGAGGTCCCCAACGTGGTCCAGTGCGTGAGACACGACGTGGAATGGCGGTTGCGGGGAGCAGGAGGGAGGGGGACTGAGGAGTTCTCCTACGAGGGGCGCAGAGTTGCAGTTGGGCGAGACAAAGAGTTCTGGAGATTGCTCGTACGGCGCTGCGAGTGCGTTTCATACCACTGAACCGGACACATGAGGATGTTCTGTAGATGTTGCCATGATTAAAAAAAAAACCATTTTTTTGACCATTCCTGGCCTCGCTCGGAAACCTAACTTATGGCACCGTTTTGTGCTGTGTTAAGGAGAGTCTGTTCTGAGTTCCGTAGCCCTTGTGTGATGAGAGTTGCTTGCGGAGGAATGCGCGTCTGCCTGGGCTTCAGCGCCTCACTCTCTGTTCTGTCTGCTTTCCTCTGACGCCGTAGCTACAACCTGGGCAGCGGCGCGGCATCCATCGTGGTGAACGGCTCCTTCCACGACGGGCGGTGGCATCGGGTCAAGGCTGTTCGGTGAGTACCCGCCACAGCGCTAGCCCCCAGCCGGAGCCCAGCAGAGGTGGGAGGTGCTCTTGAGTCCCCCCAGCCCCACTGCCCTCCCCACACCTTGCCCTGCACCCCGTACTCCTGACCCGGTCGGCCGTCCAGGGCCTTCTGCCGCTGACTCCCACCCGGGCCCCTCGTCGACACTGACAGGCCCCAGAGGCTGAACTCCCAGACCTTCCCTCAGCATGACCTTCTGGAGCAATGGCGTTCTGATGGCTCAGCTGGAAGTCAGTGAGACCTCGCTGTTTACTGAGATCTGGGTGTCTCTGTTGGGAAGAGACTCCGGGGCACGTGGACCTTGAGGAATGTTAGGAATGCTCCGCGTTTCATCACGTAGCAGTTTCCCATGTTTCCTCTGACCTCACGCTGCCTTAACAGCTGCGCGTGTCCTGCCCCAGCTGTGTCTCTCCCCTCCGTGGAGTCGCTGCCCGGACCTCTGATTAACTGCGGGTGGATCGCTCCCTAGAAATGACAGTTTCGCTGCCTGTGTCCGCATGTCTAACTGTGTGTTTTGAGAGCCACGGGAGCAGGCCCAAGCTCGGCTGTCTGAGGACAGCTCAGGCCCGCCATGGCAGATGAAGGTTCCAGGCGATGAGCTGGGCGGAGTCTTTGGTCTGGGTTCCCTGAGCGTTTACCTCGACCCCTTCTGGGGAGGGCAGTGGGAGGAGTCAAAAGCAAGGCCTGGGAAACACAGACCCATCCACGCCAGTTTCCTACTCTGCCCACATCCAGGCTACGGTGGGAGGAGCCTCTTGTCCCCTGGGCCCGCCGTGGACTCCCCAGAGGGAGTGTAAGGGTGCGGGGACAGGTCTGCGCCCACCAGCTGCCCACGTAGCCTGGAAGTCCTCGAGACAGAGGTTTAGATGAAGCCCCAACTCTGACATATTGAAAAAAGAAATGTCTTTCCATAGTGAGTATGTATAGGCTTGATCTAAAGTGTATTCTAGAATATCAGTTAAAAAGCCCATCGTCCAAACCAGCTCTCAGGTACATGAAACTCTGCAGACTCTGAGCTGCTTATTTCTCTCTGCTGCTCATTGTGCAAAGGGCTGGCTCAGAAACACCCAGAGAAAGGAAATACTGGACCACACTTGGTCTCCGTAGCCCCCATCCTGCGAGCTCCCTGCTCTCAATTTTCTTAAGTAGAGAAGGTTGGTAGGACCCTCAGACCTTGTGAGAAGACTTTTTTTTTTTAGATTTTATTTATTTATTTTTAGAGAGGGAAAGGAGGGGGAGAGAGAGAGAGAGAGAGAAACATCAATGTGCGGTTGCTGGGGGCCGTGGCCTGCAACCCAGGCATGTGCCCTGACTGGGGATCGAACCTGCGACACTTTGGTTTGCAGCCCAAGCTCAATCCACTGAGCTACGCCAGCCAGGGCTGTGAGAAGACTTTTAAATGCTCCAAACTGTGGCTTGATTGTGTGCATCAAGGGGCACTGGGTGGGGGTTCTGGGCACTTCCTGGGCATCGAGGGAACCGGAGGTTAAGTGACTTTCCCGAGGCTACGCAACCGTTTGTGGGCGGATCCAAGAGCAGGAGCTTAGACCCAAGCTCTCCCCTTCGCACCCCACGGAGGAGCCCGCCCCAGCTAAGGTGTCGGCTCTTCTGGAGGGATAACTGGGAACGCTCCACCAGAAGAAACTTAGATGTTAGAGCATCGCCCTTGGCACCCTGAGAGCGGGCTGCAGAGCTGGTTCTTGCTGTTGTAATCACCGACATCTCCCTGGTGGGCCTGAGGTCGCAGTGAGGGTGGCACCGAAGGAAGGGACACAAGGACCTGGACGGAGGGGGGAACTCGAGCAGCTGCTGTGAGCCGCGCTCCCCGGGGACAGGCAGGCCTGGAAGGGATGGTCCCACGGGTGTAAGCAGGAGCTGGGGCCTGGCTGTGGGTATCATGAGCAGGGCCGGATGGAGACCTTAGTTCTCCACGGCAGCTCGGAGGCAGGGCCGGGGAGCCGGTGCAGACGTCACCCAGGGGAGCCCTGCTCTGCACTCTGCACACTGTCTCGCCCTGAGCCATCCTGGTCTCACGGGCATTAATCCTCCAAGAAAAGAGAAACCAAATTCTCGCTGGTAGAGCATCCTCAGGATGCCGGGTACTGTCCGCCCCAAACCTTAGTCGATACTCACAGTGACACAAGCTGACGTGCCTTTGTGGAGAAGGGCCACGTGCTGAGTGGTTTGCCTAACCTGCAAAGAAAGCCCTCGCCACAGGCGCGCACCTCCGCGCCGCCGCCCTCAGAGCCACTTGGGGGCGACTCTTGGGGTCCTTTGGAAGCGGCTAGGCCATTCTTCGTCCTTCCCCAGAGTCATCCTCCCCCTGCAGAAGCGGCTCCATGCCCACCGTGCTCGGAACACCATCCAAAGCCACTACACGTGGCCAGGCCGGCTGCCCTGGTGTCGCTGTCCTCCCGCTCCCTCTCGCCTGCAGGGCCCGCGCCGACTGAGCTCCCCGTGCCCCCCCCCCACCTGCTGCTGGCTTCCTTTCCCTCCACGCTGCTCCCACCTGCAGAGGTCTCTGGGCTCGGTCTGCACCAGCCCCCCCCCCTTCTCCTTCTTTCCGCAGCGACTTCCTGTTGGCATTACCCTCCCCCTCACTCGACCCACCCAGCCTGCAAAACTGGTCTCGGACAGGCTGTCCTTGGAGAAGCTTTCCGTGCCCCTCTGTCCGCCTCCTGTGTGACCCCACGGTGCCCCGGCCTCCTTCCTCCACAGAGCGGGGACACCGGGTTGTCCTTTGTCCTTGCACCGCTGTGTGTTCCTCCGTAGACCGCACACTCCCCCGGGGGGGGCGGGGGGGGGCGGGAATGGGGGTGTGTGTGTTCCATTCTTGCAGCTCTGCCATTCGGCCTAGTGCCTGGTGCACAGTCGGCACCTGAATACATTTCTGTGGCAATGAACTGGACGGTGGCACGAGGCTCCAAACCTGGGGGTGGCTTTTCCAGGGACGGCCCGTCGGGAAAGATCACGGTGGACGACTACGGGGCCAGGACCGGCAAGTCGCCCGGCACCATGAGACAGCTCAACATCAACGGGCCTCTCTACGTGGGTGAGTGACCTGGGGCCGGACCCCAGTGCCGCCCCAAGCCTTCTCGGGGTCGCTCTGTTGGCCGCGCGGGCGCCCCTCCAGGTCGGGCTCCCCTGGGTCAGACACAGACTCGGAAGTAGGAAGGTCTCCGGGCAGTTCATTCTCCCAGGTTCTGAGCTTCTGACGCACGGCCAGGGGCAGGGGAGTGGGGGGGAGGAGGGCAGGAAGCACTTAGATGCTCCTGTGCTTTGGACCCGCCCACCAGGAAAACCCTGCTTCTCTTGTTTGTAGAACAGGAACCTGCTAAATATAGCTCCCTCTGGGCAGGAGGGGCTGGCTTTCTGGCCCCTTTCAGAATTAGCGTGAGCGGTGTTTCTGTGAGTAGCTCGGAACCCGCTGGTGCAGACACGTAAGTATGAGAAGTTGTCTCCATCCATGTCTTTTCTGAATGGGAACCTAACTGAAAGCATTCAACATCAGTGTTTTTCTTCCAGTTTAAGGGGACATTACCTCTAACTACATACTACATTTTATGGACATTATACAGCGTTTGCAAGGTTTACCAGATACTTTGGTTTGAAGTGGCCAACTGGGTCAGAAGTCTCACATGAGTTAGCTATTTATAGCCTCTGGTTGTGTATCACACCGAGTCCAGTCAGCCGGTTCCTTCAAGGATAGTTACACAGCAGATGCTGTGTACGGATCAGCTCGAGGGGCCCAGGGCCCTGGCTTACCTGTCAGCCAAGGGACGCCTTGATCGGCGGGCGCACGCGCGTGTCTTAAGGAGACAGGGCCCCCCTGGCTCACCCCGTCTCCCTCTGGCTTCCCGGCAGGTGGCATGAGGGAGATCGCCCTGCACACTAACAGGCAGTACGTGCGAGGACTCGTGGGCTGCGTCTCTCACCTCACCCTGTCCACCGACTACCACGTCTCCCTGGTGGGGGACGCCGCGGACGGGAAGAACATCAACACCTGTGGAGCCGAGTAACGCCAGCTGGCCTTGCCCAAGGGGCGGAGCCTTCTGTCCTGAGAACCCCCGAGGGGGCCCCGGCCCCTGCCGACACCGTATATATATACGCTGAGACACGGGGGCCGGCTGCGTTTGTTCTCCTCGAGGGGAAAGTCACCCGACTAGAACCCAGGCAGGAGTCCCTGGGAGGCCTTCCCTGCTGACACTCCATGGGCCAAACCCGACGGGATCTTCCGTGTAGGAGGCGGCGGGCTCTGTCCGTTCAACACGCAGCGGCTGCCGGAGACCACACGCCAGGCCACCCCGGGGCCGTCAGCTGTGGCTCAGTGACTGTGCAGTGACTCATGGCGCGTTAGACAAAGAGAGAAAAGAGAGACCCAAAGGGCAGTATTAAAATACTCCTCTCCCTCCCTGACTCATGATGCTTACTGACAGCAGGATGACTGTGTGACCTTGAACCTGGAATTTCTCACCTTGGCCCATAAATTATTGGGATTAACCCCTTCCACTCCTCACGGGCCGTTTCAACGTGCTCTGACTCTCCCAAGGAAGTCAGGGGGAGGGGAGACTACTTGTAGACTCGTAACCGTAATGCTGCCCCCTGACATTTACCCTTAGTGAGAAGCCCCTACTTTTTATGATGTTAATCTAAGACAGTGGGCACCCTGATTTTGTAGTGTCCTTTTGTATGTGTATATTTTTATAGCTGCAGAGTGTCCACACAGCGTAATTTTGCAAGTTTGGGTGGCCAGCCCTGAATTCTTTGCACAGTTCCCAAAAATGTTCTCCCAGAGGAGGCCCGTTGGGGCCCTTAGTGGTATACGTGGAGTGGGGCAGGCCACTCAGGGTGGCCATTGTCTTGGGGAGCTGACCATTGTCCTTTGGTAAATGTCGACGGCTGGAGGAAATGAACGGGAAGCTTCCCAAACAAGCAGATTAAAAGGTACATGTGTTCTCGGGGGTGGGGGACAAGGGCACTTTCATTTTTGTTTCCAGCGGGGAGGACTGTCTGTGGGTGGACTTGGATAAAGGAGATGATGAAGGCTCACGGTCATTCATTCGGTCCTTCGTTCCCCGGCGGAGGTGCCGGTGGCCCCTGCAGAGACCACACCCAGAAGCGGAGGCTGAGACCATTCTCGTGTCCAAGGCTGTGCAGGGGGTGGACAGCAGGGCCACCAGCGGTCCCTTTGCTATGCACTCATGTGATGCTGGTGACCGCTGGCTCGCCAGCAGACCCCCACGGCAGGGCTCGCGGGGGGAAAGGTCAGATGAACACTGACCCAAGGAGCGGGGAAACGAACGTGACCCAGCACACGCAGAAGCCTGGGTCTGGTCCCAGTCCCGGCTCGACTCCGGTCCATGCCGCATTCCCGTGGCGAGGGCGTGGGGCCTCGTGCAGGGCGCAGCTGCGCACACAGTGAGAACTCGGCAAAATGAGGAAATAAACGAGAGGCGCTCACGTTGTGCTTCCAGCCTCTGGCTCCTCTCTGGGGGACCCTTTGATGAGCAGGACCCTTCTTCCCGGAGGAATAATGGTGGCGAAAACAGTAATAGTAACAATAATTCATCCCCTCCTGCATAGGTCTCCTTGCAGCGCGTGCAGTGTGGGAAAGGCCACAAGGTAGCAAGCGGGTTGTACCGCCTCCCAAACACCCTCACCTCGTTCCCTCTCCGTGGAGGGAGGCTGCTCGGGCCAGTCCCCCCCAAGATGCAGCAGAGAAGCTTTCACAGCACGTTTTGAATCAGTTGCCTTCAGCCAAAAAATCTCTGTGACTGTACCACAATGTCCTGCTAGCCCAAGCCAGCAGAGCTGCGTTACAGATGAGCTGTCGTTCCGTGCGAGCGTCGTCCAGAGGAGCATGCAGTGACCCAGGGCTGGGGGCTTGGCCATGTGTGAGGCGGAGGAGGGCTCTGAACCAGCGACTTGGGTGGGATGCGGGGGGGAGGGGCTGAAAGGGGAGGGGCCCCACACGGTGACGGGTTCAGGGCAGCGCAGATCCTGCTGGGGGGAGTGAGGGCTGCAGGGTGCGGGGCCCTGGGAGATGCTGATCACATGGGTGGTGGCTCTGGTTAGGAGAACGGGGTCAGGAACCACCTGCCCCCCAAGCTAGGAGGAAGGCTCTCTGACCCCGGCAGCGGACGAAACCCGGGAGATGTGGGGTGACTTTGTACGGCAGAGAAGGTTGTGAGGACAAAAGTGTGTCCTGAAGCTGAGGGGTCAGCCCTGGGTTCAGAAGGCGGGAGGGCCGAGATGGCCGGAGCCGGGCCTGAGGGTGCCCCCGTTTTCCCTCTGAGTGCATCTGCTTCCTACAGTGATGCTCGTGACGAACAGCCACACAGCCCCCGAGGCACCCCAGAACACGTGTGTGTGCCGCTTGCATGCCTTGAGGGGCCAGCTGGGCAGCTCTGCTGACCTGGGCTGGACCCTTCCCTCGCGAGGCAGTCGGCCGGCTGATCTGGGACGGCCTGGCCTGAGGCGGCGAGGTGACTTGAGTCAGTTCCAGGTGGCGCTCGTGCGTGCCCCCTTGGGGGACCCGCGGGAGCCTGCGCGCCCTCGGCAGGAGGAGGGCGGAGGTGAAGAGCACTGGAGGAAAGGTGGGAAGCCTCGTGCAGCCGGGGGTTTGGAGCCACCTCTTCGTAGTCACAGTCCGCGGGTGCGAGAGATGAGAGGACAGACCCCGTCCGTCACCCCCTGGCCAGGGGCACGGATGCCTGGGGGGGGGCGAGACCTCAGCGCCCTGAGTGCTGCGAACCCAAGGCGCGTGCTGCTGGGAGAAGTGGTGTCACCGTCCTTCTGGGGGACCGCTGGGCTTGGGGACGGGGGTCTGTGAAGCCCTCAGTGACTGGCCCAGCATTCGGCCCTCCGCCACCTCCTGGGCCACCTCCTGGGCCACCTCCCTGTGCTCCCTGTTCCTCCACCGGTTGTCTGCCCCTAGGCCATGTGGTTGATCCCAGGAGGGGGACTGGCAGAAGGGAGGGGTGGGGGAGGGAGGGGGAGGGGTGGGGGAGGGGTGGGGGAGGGTGGGGCAGCCAGAGCACTGGGAGGCCCACACGTCCTCCTCCTGCCCAGGAAGAGCACGGAGGAGAGGCAGGGGTTCGAGAAGAGCTCCGGCCCGCCATCAGGGTCTGGGACCACCGCCCCCAGCACTGCCCATGTGTTCCACGCAAGGATGGCTGGAGGGCAGGGTGCGGGAAGGGGCTGTTCCCGCGTTTCCTATTACAACCGACCTTCACAAGCCCTGCGTCCTCTAAGCCCGGCCCTGGGGTCGCCCTAGTCCCCACGCCCCCCTGCCCACCCCCTCAGGAGCGATCAGGCACCGGGCAGAATGCGGCCTGGCTCCCCGCCCCCCGCTGTGTGCCTTGGCTTCCGGAGCCGGCCGGGCTCCAGCCCGCGGGGCGGCTCCAACACAAACAGGCTCCGCTTCCCCTGCCCCTTTCCTCCCGGCTTCCCTCCCGCCGCCCCGCCGCCCCGCCCCCGCCCCGCGTGGGAGGAAGGGGCTCGGAAACGTGCCCGGAGCTGGCAGGCCGGCGCTTTCCACTTGGAGGAAACACTGCATTTTTCACCTTTAACCTAGAAAAAGACGGTTCTCAGAAAGCTTGTTTTTAGCACTGAGAGTTCCCAGAGGAAGAAGAATGGGGAGTTGGGGGGGCGAGGCGGGGCGGGGGGGCTTGGCAGCCCCTCTCAGGCTCTGACAGCCAACCCTTGGCCTCAGAGGCTGCTGTTCCCGGGGAGGGGGGCCCTGGGGGGGCAGGGCAGGCAGCCTGTGGAGCACAGGGGACAAGGCAGGCGGAGAATCCCAGCTCTGGTGGAAGGCGGTGGAGACCTCGGGACCGGGCTCACACACAGCAGGAGCCCCTCCGCTCCCTTCCTGCCCCTTCTGCGGCCCCGTCCAGCAGCACCCTGGGAGGGGGCGGGGCGCAGCCCCCACCCCAGGTGGGGCAGGGTGTGCCTGCCCTGAGTACTCCCTCTGGGACGAACCGCCCCCCCCAAAGGAGCCTACAGAGGAGAGGGCTGCCAGCACAGGGTCAGAACCAGAACCCCAACTCCAGGCTTGGGGCCGCTCCGGCCCTCCCCCGCGGAGGCATTGCCCAAGACGCAGAGCGGGGTCATTCAAGGACACGTCCACCCCGGATCTGCAGAGCACGCCCTGCCCGCAGCAGGGAGAGGCCAGCCTTCCTGAGGCCGTGAGGTAAAGGCTCTGAGGTTGACAGGGGGCCCGTGGGAGGCTGCAGCTTACAGGTGGCGGTGTTCCGGCGGCCAAGCGACTGAGCAGCTCAGCGCAGGGCCTGGCTTCTGGGACGGCCCTGCGAGTAACCGCACTTGAACCTCACGTTCAAAGAATGTTCTGAGTAACAACCTTCCCGTGAAGAGGGCCAGAGCAGATGGGCATGGCCCGTCTGACTCGGGAAGACAGAGGCTGGCCAGGAAGACAGAGTCCCACTGCGAGGACACAGCCATGACCCTTGGTGGGGAGCTCGCCTCCCCCTGCCCCTCACCTTCAGATGCAGCTGCCCAAGGACTTGGGGGCGCTCGGCAGAGCTCCGGGGCTCCCTCGGGTGCCCTGTCCTTGGCAGCATGGTCTGGTGGGGGAGGGGGTTGGGCATGGGCCAGCTCCTAGTCACAGCTCCAGCTCCTCCTTCCAAAGTGCTCTCACGGCAAGGACTGGGGCTGAACAAACCTGCCAGCAGGCCAGAGCTACTCCATCAGAATGGGGCTCAGGGTTCCAAGTCTCGGCCCTTCTCTCCTGTGCCTTCTTCTCCACAAATAACCTCCAGGGCTCAGGGGAGCTTGTTGCAAGCCATTTCCAAGCAGCAGGCAGCTCCCCGGGGCCCTGCCTAGCCCGAGGGAGGCCGAGGGCTGGAGGAGCAGGGCGGGCCGCGGAGAGAGCTCCCCTCCTCGCCTGCCCTTCCTGCCCGCCTTGCTGAGGCTTCTCTGTCCTAGAAAGTGCGCGGCTCCTGGAGCGCTGGTCTTTTCCTGGAAAGACGTGAAAGGAACGCTCTGTCTCGGCTTTTTGGGATGAGGTTCCTGCTTTCCTACTGGCCTGTGTCTGTCTCTCCGACTCGCAAAGGCACAGGAATCCCCGAACATGTGGTACGGCCTCCCCCAGGGCTCCACGTCCCCGCCAGGGCCCAACCGCGAGGCCGTGGCCTCGCTGGACAGCCTCGCACCGAGGGGCTGCAGCTCCCACTTGGCTAAAAGATGACTGGGATTGCAATGTCTCTGAGGAGGAAGGCCAGGGAAGCTCAAGACATTTGTTCATATAATCAACCCATTTAGGAGCAAAAGTAACAGGCACCACGCCAGGGCATTAGCTGCGGAAGGCCTTGTGAGAAACCAGCCGCAGACAAGCAGAGGCAAAGTAAGGGGCTCTCGGGCCCAGAGCTGTGGGCCATGTGGTGCGTGGTGGTAAGGCCTGCTGCAACGTCTCAATTACACACAATGCATTCACGAGATGTATGGATGAAAATGCACACATTCCCATAGGAAAGTGTCCCACAGGATAAAATAAAACTTTCGTTAAAAATAGCTAATGCAGCCCTGGCTGCTGTGACTCAGTGGATTGAGCGTGGCCTGTGAACCAAAGAGTGACCAGTTCAATTCCCGGTCAGGGCACATGCCTGGGTGGCAGGCCAGGTCCCCAGTAGGGGGTGTGGGAGAGGCAATCACACACTGATGTTCCTCTCCCTTTCTCCCTCCCTTCCCCTCTCTCTAAATATAAATAAAATCTTTTAAAAAAAGAAACAGCTAATGCTGAGTAAGAAGATGGTGTGATTTTTCCTTTTTCCTTGTGTCTGTTTTCCAGTTCTTCTTCAGTGAGCCTGTAGTGAGTATCTATTGTTTTGCCCACTCAGAATGTCGCCTTCCTTGTTTTAGGGGACTGGCTGTCCTCCAACGCGAGTGCGTGGTTCTTGTGAAAGCGGCCCTTGGGGAGGTGTGGCCGGAGAGAAGGAAGTGTGGACACAGAGAAGAGACACGTGCTGCCTCTGGGAGGAGCGTGGGCCCCAGGGCTCGCCCATCAGAAGGAGAGGCCTGGAGTCGAGCATGGGTGGTCCGCCTCCCGGAGAAGCAGGCAACAACCGAGGGAAGGGCGGTGGGGACGGGAGTGGATCCCTCGGTCACGCAGAACGTCCGCCGGCAGGACACAGAGGACCTTCCCCAGGAGAATGAAAGGAATTCTGGAGTGGGGAGGAGTGGGGGAGGGGGTGGTGGCCGGTTTCGGGGCAGGGGCAGGAGAAGGGATCTAACCTGTCCTCACTTCAGACGCAGCCCATTGGTCCAGGAGACAGAGGGAGAAGCACTCTCCCCGAGGGAGGACAAAGGGTGACGGGCTCTGGCCCCCACGTGGGGCTCCCCCCGCCCCCCCCCCACAGTGAGCCTGCCAGCTTTTTGACGGGACCCCAGCGTTCCACAGCTGGAGACCATTCCACAGGAGGACAGCCTCTGCGAAGTAACGCATCTCCAAGACCCCGGGAAACTCGGGAAGCCACTCCCCTCCCCCACCCCCGGGCATAATGATTGAAACAACGTTTATCAAGCGCGTGTGACGCAGCAGTGGCTGCGCCACGCTCTGTGGACGCGGCGGTGGCTGAGGCTTTGCGCCCTTCCTATGGGGAGCTCAGCGTCAGGCTTGCGCTCGGGGCGGGGGAGAGGGGCCCGCACTGTGGGGGCCAATGCCTGGGGCCCCGGGGCCCCGGGGAAGGCTTTGGTGGGCCAGCAAGGCTTCCCCTGGGGCTGAGGACGGGCGGGGGCCGTGAGCGCCGCGTTCGGCCACGCGGGATCCAGCCCCGCGGCGCATCCGGGAGGCCTTCTGGGTAACGGATGTGGATTTGGTCACCTTCTGGAGCCCCTCACACCCCCTGCACTCACCGTCCACAGCAAAGCCTGACACGTGAATCGAATGGCGCCCTTACTCCGCCGGACGGGCACTGCCGACAGCCCTGGCGCGTGACCCATGAGGACAGAAACAGAGCATCTGCCCCGGCTGGAAGGCGTGCGCACCTGGAAGGTGCTGACCGGAAGTCGGGTGTTGCCGAGCTTTGTCTAGGGGGCGACGCGCACACTCCCTGGAGCCCTCACCGCTCAGGGAAAGGACCTCACTGCTGGGAGCGGAGGAGAACGAGAGGTCCAGGATCTCCTCTCTGGCCACCCCGGCAGTGAGTGGTGTGACCTTGGCCCTGACCCGGTTCTGAGCAGCTCAGGTGGGGCAGCGGTGGCCCTGGCCCCGAAACCTGTGTTCGCCCCCGTGGGAAAGGACAGGAGCTACCCCCCCCACCCGCCGTGGCGGTTGAGAAAATCAGACTTCAGGCCCATTTCTGAACCGTGTGGATCGTCTGTGCTTGCCTACGCTTGCAGCTGGGCGGTTCAGAGCCAGGGGGGCCCAGTCGTTACTGCGCTGCCTCTTCAAGGTCCCCCCGGCTGGCCCGGCAGCCCCGGAGGAACGAGGCACGTGGGAGCCAGGGCTGTGTGGGCGGCACTCACTGATGGGGGCGGGGACAGACCGTCCGGCTCGGCTCTCTCTCGGAGCCTAGCCTCGGCCTGGGCTGGAGACCCTCCTGCAGCAGTGAGGACGCTGGCTGCGGGCGTGAGGGGAGAGACTAGGTCTGAGCCGAGACCTGACGTTCTTCCTCACCTGTCGGGTTGGGAGGCAGGAGACAGGTGGGCGGCTCTGCACTCCAGGTAACGTGATCCCGGCTCAAGGGTTTGGGAGATCCGTCCTCCTCAAAAGCTTTTCTTGTCTCTTTAATCTGACACTAATCGCTCTGGGATAAAATTAGCTCCAGTTTAATCCCCAATCAGTTCAAGACGTCTCTTGTTGCTTCGACTTCTCTGTCCTTTTAATTCAATGTCACCGTCTCTCCCAGGGAGGGGGTGGTGGATCGAATTGTCAGGCCATCCAAAGAGAATTCTCACACAGCTCCTTTGTACAGAATTTGAGTTTGTAAGCTGACCTTTCGGTGTCCTGTAGCATACCATACATTAAAAAGATGATTCATACATCACTAATTCTCTTTCCCCTGGAATGAATCGGGACTCCAATTCCTCTTGGAGTTGTTGATGGTGCTATTTTGGCTCAGGAATTCACCATCCGGGAGACAAGTGATGCATCGAGACCTCCCTGAAGGGCAGACCGTAAGCATGAGCTCTGCTAGTGCTTACATATGAGCATGCGTCACAGTGAGTTTGAAATCCGCCTACAGGTTCTTCGGGTTGCGTCCAGGTCCACTCAGAGTTCAGCTGTTCCTCTAAGGAAGCCACATACGAAGAATTAATTCCTCCCCTTATCTTAAATAACTTCTAGTTAAGGTCAACTCATACTTGAACACTTTTTGAGGTTTTGCTGAATGACTGTATTTCCAAATTCAACAACTTGCAATGAACTTTTGATACATTCCTCGAATCTCCAGAAATGTGGTTATCTTTATGGGAAACAAATGAAAAGCAATGGTTGAAGGACCAGTATTTATTTTATAAAGTTACATTCCAGCCCCAGCTGGCATAGCTCAGGGGACTGAGCTCGGGCTGCGAACCAAAGTGTCGCAGGTTCGATTCCCAGTCAAGGGCACATGCCTGGGTTGTAGGCCATGACCCCTAGCAACCGCACACGGATGTTTCTCTCTCTCTTTCTCCCTCCCTTCCCTCTCTAAAAATAAATAAATAAAATCTTTAAAAAAAAGTTACATTCCCACTCTTTGATTATTTTTGTGCTAACTTCCCTGGTAACTAGGAGAGAGATTTAAGGGAACATATGAAAGGCCATGCCAATGGCATAGCAGTAAAAGCATTAAAAGTTTAGTTTAATTTTTACATGTCTGACCACTGCTGCTCTTGGGTGATGGGACCAAGAGTATTAACAACAAAGCAGATGCCCCTTTTTCTGAGTGCGAACACTGGAAGGAAAAAAACAAACAACAACGCCCGTGTTTATCAGTGTAAGTTGTAAGAAAATATATTTATTTTTTTCCATGACAATACTACGATAAAACTGTTAAATACATGCATGTTTTAAAAACAGACATAAGTAACATCTTTAGGAGTTAACAGCCAAGCATACTAGTTTTACATTTAAGGTCTCTTAGTGATAGGTTACTTATATTCTATGTTCTCGCTATAAACATGTTTTTCAAAAGATACTGAAATTAAAGTCTGAAATTATACAATGATATAAAATGACCAAATTTTCCATTCGAATGCAACATACTCTCCAAATTTTCACCAGGCAGAAAATACTTGTCATCTGTGTAAATTGAGTTGTTTTATTCCATATATTAAACTCAGATTTCTGCGAATCAGACTGAATCACACAAATACTCTACAACCTATTATGGTTTGCTTCCTATATATGTGTTTAAATGTTTCCTTATATGACTAAGCATGATCTTTAGATACAGAACATCACGACTGATCACTCGGGTCAAACCCGAGGTCTGCAGTGGTAATGTTGCAAGAAATGAGAAAGGGGGCAGTTTTAGGTCTGCAGTTTCTCCCTGTCTTTCAGCTACATTTGCACACGCCTGACCAAACAAAAACACTAGTAAACAGTTGCTAGTATTTATTAAAAAAAATTGAAAGTATTCAACATATACCATCCCTTTTGAAAAAAAAAAACATTCTACAGACAACCTCATAAAAAAACAAAAACTTGTATCTGTTCACAGTATGTGTATTTTGTAAACAGGAATTCACTATAATGCGATTTTGAAAGTAAAAATGTGATTTCCTAGCATTGGAAGAACTTATGGCCAGCTAAAAAGTAATAACATTCCTACTAAAAAAAAGTTATGTTATTTCAAAATGATCTGACCTATGGACATACTTCCTTCAGGCGGCACCATCTCAACTTCAGGATGTCTTTCTTTCCAGGCCGGGCTTTTCAAGCAATACTGAACTGAAATGTTTTTTTTGTTTGTTTTTAAAGGCCGTGTCCACACTTTCCCTAAACATGGTGTTGGAAGACAAAAATGAAATGGGAGTATATATCATAAATAATGGGGAGAAAAGTATTTGGAATCAAATGGGGGGGCACAATATTTGAAAAAAATACATGAAAATGATTGTTCGGTATTGGTTTTTTTTTGATCAAAATGCAAAAACACCAACGTCAAACCCAACAGCTAACTTGCCCATGTTTTAGTAATAACGGTGTTACCACCAGGAGATCTTCTGATGTTTTATGATACGCCACAGGAATGCTTAGAGAAAACAGTAAGTTCAGAAATTGAAAGTTACTCATTTGAAGTGGAATAACTCTAGAGGGAAGCACATTTTCAGTGTGTATCAGGGGACTCAATACTCCTCAGTGAGCCATCCAATCAGAGGCACAGAGTATTTCTGGCTTAAGTGCTGCATGGGGTCTACGCTGCTATCGCTTTATTTTTAGAAGTTCTGACTGGCTACCGCAAAGGCAATCTTGGCAGAGATATGCAAATATCACATAATCAACTTCCTTTTTAATTAGATTATTAATTTTTTACCCATTCACATCTCTTAGTTTTGGGGGCGAGTTACTGCAACCAAAAAGTAATGTAAATCGCTGCTTGTTTGTATCTGGTTAACATTTAATCGGTCATCACTTAAGAGGTTCTGAATTTTTTGTTTCTATGGTTCTTCAGCTAGGCACTTACACACAAAAACATCCAGAGAGGGTTTTCTTCTCAAAATTCTACTTTGGATTTTCATGAAAGTGTTGCGCAGTTAGCATGTGTCTTGCATAGGTAAACTGTGTAACCAGGACACTTGTAATCCAAAATATTAACATTCTTAAGGGAGGGACGAACAAGCACGACTTGTGGTTACAAATAACCCTGACGTAATGCAGCAATTACACAGATTCGGATGTATTCTCGATCAAATCACACCCCCCAAACGCCGCCCCCCACCATATGCTGCCCTGCGTACCGTCTGGACACGGCTCAGCCGACAAAAAACTACGCATGGAACCTGCACCATGTGCCTAAGCTTTGGAATCAGCCGATGACCCCACGTTAGTCTTGAGATGCCCAATTTTACCCTTCCAAACTAAAAAAGATTTCATCAAGGATACACAGATTTTAACAGAAAACAGCAAAAACTGCATTAAAGAAACAAGCAAAAAGCCTTCTCAGATTATGTGCTGGAGCACCAGAAGATTTTGAGATAAACCTTTCCTGCATATGGACATGTTAGGGAGTCCTTGAATTCCGAAACACCCTAAGATCGACTTCACATTTCTTCTGGGAGAAAGTAGGCCTCGGTCCCCTTGACTACACACTACATCCGTTCGAATCCAGAAAGGACAGCAACGCCCTTTACGTGCGGGTGGTATGAAGACGACTAAGAAGCTGTGGGACTCATCACCCACAAGAACACAAGGTGCACGGAAGGGCTGAGAATGTGACTTTGGCCACGGTGTTTAGGACGCGCCGTTCTCAGTGCCACTCCTCAAATCCACGCGCCGTGACGGCGAGGCTGGCGGGACTGCGAGGCTGGTGCTCCCGCCCTGGGACTTGCCCGTGAACGGCTGCTTCTGGGCCAGAGCTGCAGGAACAGAGCTCCTCCACCCCGAGCCCCGAGACACACCTGGCTCTGCTGCCCAGGCCTCAGGGCTGCAGCCTCAAACCCAGGCTCCACGCACCGAAGGCTCTGGTCGTACACGGGCCCACACCATGCAACACATAACATAAAGGGTCTACCTGGTGTCAGAAGCCTACCCGAGTCTTCTCCGATATTTGCGTACCCGGCAGTGTCTGTTTCGGAGGGCCACTCACGAGAGAAACAGGTGGAGGGGCCGCCAGGACCTGCCCTCCTCACAAGGGAGGCCTGACGTGGCGCTGGCCGTGAGAGGCGTGAAAATGTGTTCTGTTTGTAACACTGCGCAACACATGCAGTGGGCGTAATTCTTGGGCAGGGAGGAAGGGCTCCAGGGCCGAAGGGAGGTCACCGTGAGCCAGACAGATGGACCATTACGCAGAAGGGCGCTGGATGCAGACGGTCACGGCGGAACGCGCCAACGCCGAGGGCAGAGACCGCGCAGTCACCTCCGGTCTTTCCCATGACCGCAGTTCAGTGGCGCTCGGACCCAGGAACTCCCACCTTCGCCAGCTCTCAACCTGCCTTTGAGAGACGGACCTATTTGTTTCAGTGGCGCCTGAGGCACGAGCTGGGGACAAGAGGCATCCTGATGACCAGCTTCAACAGGGACAGGAGGCAGCCCCAGGTCTCGGGGTCTCCGGTGGTGACAGCCACGGGAAGGAGCCCAAGGGAAGAGGTAAGATGGGGGAGCGAACTCCGTTGTGGGGTGGGGGGGGGCTCTGGTTTGATGCCTGTTTCATTGTTGAAAATCTCTATGAGCTATGACGTGGTTTTAATACGCTGTGTGGGTAGGTAATTAATTCTATTTTATGTCACGAAGCTCAGGAATTTAGCTGACTCCTAGCAGTGAAAATTCAGGATTCGTAACAGAGTACCTACACAGACTTTGTCCTTTGTCACCCTGTGGCTTTTTTCCACGACATGGTTTTTATAAAGACAGACACATTGTCAAGTGCGGGGAGGGGAACTGATCCGTTACGTAGAGATACATTAGAGAACCTCGGGTAATTTAAAAAGGAAAAGAGAAAGAACAGGCATATCTAGACTTACTCAGCTATTTCAGAATTGTAAGGACTCTTCCCTTAAGTATCCAGAGACAGAACGCGTAGATGACCTGAGGGCAGGCACACTGTCAGACACACTCTGTAGCTCTCCGTCTGCCTTTCTAAGGACCACGACCCGTCCAGACATCCCTGGCCAACACCAAGGGCCGCCGAGGATGCTGGGAAGATGCCCAGCTCTGGACAGTCTGCCCGTCCACTTGAATGGGGGGGGGCTCTCTGACATCTCATGCAAAATAGCCCTTGAGAAGCATTTTTCTTTCTAGTTTATATTTAAAAAAAAAAAATAGCTGAGGTCTGGACCGAATCGTCTGGACTGATGATCATGTGAGAGAGAGGAGCAGCCGAGAGGCACAGTCCAGGAGGGACACCTGCCAGGAGGCGTCCCAGCCCCCGCCCAGGGGACCCGGCTCCGGGGCTGGTCGTCCCAGGAGGAAGGGAAGCCAGTCAGAACTACGCAGACAGCAGACAGCGGAGGCCGCCCGATATTGCTTAGTCGTCTCAAATGGTAAGTCGCTAGAACTGAATGTTTATGAGTGATATTGGTTTTGCTCACATGTTTATGTAGCTGACACTGTGGAACAACGACAACAAAAGACCCAAATTAAAAAAAAAAAAAAAAAAGCAACACCCTAGCTCTGTAGTCTCAGGAATTTAAGTTTGAACTATTAGGGCAGTCACCTGCGATCCGGGAAGCGCGCGCGGGAGTCACAAAACGAACGGCGAGGTCTGGGAGGGCCGACCGAGGGCGGACAGCGCGATTGGGGGAGGGGGGGGCTGCCCAGAGCCGCGCTCGTGTTCCGAGTTTGTACCCCTGAGAAGACGGACCGCCTGACCGCCACTGTACAGTAGGCACAGAAGTCGGCGCACGCCAGCGAACAGAACCGCAAGGAGCTGTCGCTACACCAAACACCGCATCACTTGTTGCCAATGCTGCGGGGAGAGGAGAAGGACGCTACAAGGTTTCACATCTGTGCTTGGTTTTCGTCCGCAGAGGAGCGATGTCAGGCGGACCCGCGCCGGCCCCTGCGCGCCCACGCTTCTCGCCCTCGCCTGCCGATCCGCTGGCGAAGTGCGCGCACGGGAGAAAACCACGCCCACGGAACGGGACGCGGCGGCTGCAAATCCGCGCATCTGCACGCGTGGGCCAGACGGTGTCAGGGCCAGACGGTGTGTCAGGGCCCGAAGTGCTTCTCGGAGGCGGAGGACGTGGGACTTCTTTGGCTCGAATGACAGAAAGCTCCAAGTCTTGAGTTGCGTGGACTGGTGTCTGCGTCACCGTGGTTCGGCTTCTGGGCCACGCGGCAAAGCACGGGAACACCCTCGGCGTCGCCTGCACACGGTGGGGTGGAGTCCACCGCACCGACCACGTGTCGCAGGACCCCGCCCCCCGCCCCCCAGGACGCCCGGCGCCCGCCCACGCGGCAGGGCCGCCGGCCGCGGCAACGACAGCTAACTGAGACGGCAGACGGGGAGGGACGCCGTTAATCGTTGGGCTTGTTCTGAAAGAAGTTTGTGAAGGACCACCCGCCCCCGCCGGACTTCGGAGAGTCCTCGTCCCTCGGGGGGATCAGGAACTGCCGGGAGTTGATGGAGCACGGGCTGCCGAAGGACACGGCCTCGCTGTTGCTGTCCGTGGACCGGGGCGAGTCTGGGGACGCCAGGTTCCACGCGCGCACGCTGGCCTGCGGCCGGTAGCCCGCGGTCTTGTCCGCGCCGTCCTCCGCGGCCGCGTCCTCCGCGGCCGGCGTGACGGGCAGGTGCATCTGGGGCTTGTAGCCGGCGGCCGCCGCTGCCGCGGGGTCGGTCTCCAGCTCTTCCTCCGGCCTTGCCTGGGGCTGGTACATGGACTGCACGTCGATGTAGATGACCTGGGACGCGCCCCCGCCTTCGTCCGCCCCGGGGTTCGGCACCTCCTCCTCGACGACGGGCGGGCAGTAGGACACCACCACCTGGCCCTCGGGGTCCGCCTCGGGGCTCTCCTCTGGGCGCTCGGCCACGGGAGAGACGATCTCCGTGTCTTCTATCTTAGGAACCGCCGCGCGCGTCTCCAGCACCTCCACGTTGTTTGGGGTGCAAGGGTTCATTTCCAAGGTCTTAAGAGCGCTGTTTCCCTGGAAGTAAAGCAGTTTGAAGGCAGAGATTAGAGAGCGCACCAAGGCCGCCGTGACGCCCCTCCTACACCAGGGGGCGTCATTCTATCTATTCTTTCCCATCTGCGTGGGAACATTTGTCTCACTGTTCTGCAGGGCACACTCGAGCAAAGCTACTTTTTCCCCTTACACGTCAATATTATCCTTGCTATGAACAGGAGTGGGGAAAAGAGCATGACACCAACAATTAAAATTAATAATTTTAGAAATTTAGATATTAGAGCACTTTTACTTTTTCAACATGGGTAACATTTTGCATGTTAAAAACTTTTCACAGAAGACAAAAACAAAAACAAAAAGAAAAAGGAAAGCCAGTACTTCAAAGATAAATGGAAACAACATAAAGGATTACCTCACAGACACCCTTCTGAAACTGTAATGCTTTACAATTTTCTGGGTTTGGAATATCAGGGTAGAAGGTTTCTTTTATCCTTTGAATAAAGAATAATTACGTACATTTAGTAACGATAAGACTAGCAGGTAGACAACAAATAGTCAACAAACCACGAGGCTTGCTTTGACATTTCATAAGAATGCTGAAGTTTCAGAGCCTGAGATAAAAATGCAAGGTCGTTTTTAGGGTGGTCGTTAACTAGGACATTCCACACAACGTGCCGAGAGGTTCCAATTTTGAAACTATAAACACTGCTCTTACTTCCAGGGCTACATGGATCTTATGTAAATGGAAAGCGAGGATTAGGACGGGGGTTGTCCTGTCAGGTTAAAAATGAAACACAGGCCCCGCTCGTGTAAACGAGACGTCGGCGCTGCGCACCGCAGAAGCCTGGCGGGGGCCGAGGGGGCGTATCTGCGTGAGGCGGTTCTCCGCTGCTCACGGCGGGCGCCGGGCTGTCAGAAAAAGAAAGGCTTTGCGTCTTCAGCAAAAACGAAACACAAACAAAAACGAGACTTGTTCCGGGCCGCACCACCCTTACAGCTTCTCAGAAGAAGAACGTTATTCAAAATTCCCGCAGGAAAAAAGCTTTGTTAATAATGTAGGTCTGAAATGCTCTAACGTCAAACTCCCTCCTTACTTACATATATATATATATTTTTATACTAAAATCAGTTTTAACCTGTGATTTTGGGTAGTGAGAATATGGTTACCGGGACAGGGAATTCTGCAGTTTCAACCATTACTGTGTTGATGGATAAGCCGGGATCGCAAGAACACGTCCTTGTCGTAAACGGTGGTGTTTTCGAGGCTGGGAGGACAGTCTGCAGGAACACGGCCCTGTGCTCCAGCCCCGCCCACGGCGGACCCTGCCAGTGGACCGCGGGGCCCTCCCTCCAGCTGACCCTCGACCCTCGCTCGGACACACAGTGCTTCCCACTTCCTCTGGAAGATCAGCCTCTTTCCAATTTCTGGGTCCTCACAAAAGTCGCCTTCTTCTCTGCCTGGAACTTTCTCTGCCCTCTCCTTATCCCTTGGGACCCAGCTCGACTGGACTGCCCCAGGGAGGCCTCTCGGGCTGCCCTCACTGCTCACGGCGCCCGGGGCCCTGCCCACTGTGTGCGTACATGCCTACCAGGTGGTTGTGGGTTTACGGCCCAGCTGCCCGCTGCGCTGTGAGCCCCTACGGACCAGGCTCCCTTAGTCACCACTGTAGATACCCCCCTTCTCCTGAGAGGGGCCCCTCATCTCTGCTGACCGAATGAATAAATGACCAGACTGTCTAAACAGGGCGCCAAAAGAAGTGGCACTTTAATCGTTAAACTGCACTTAATCCTGCATACAGCTGTGGTCCTGTTTATACCTGCCAATATCTTTTAAGTACAAATGCTGTTACTTTAAATGATTAGGAAATAGAGTAAGAAAAACATTGATACTTTTTTCCTTTATTAATTTCTAAACCTTTAAATAATATGCAATCTTCTTGCCTAACATTAAATCCAACTTTAATTCTAAAACAAATATTTTTTTTTTTTACTAACTAGCTTCAACCAAAAAAAATGTACTTATTTGTTAAATGTAAACGACATAACCATTCCCGAATGAACGAAACACAGCGAGAGTAAACGCAGGCACCATTACCATTCCCGTTTGCGGTAACAAAGGATGCTGGTCACCACGCCGACCAGGACAGCCACTGCCACGGGGATGAGGATGGCGATGATGAGCCCCACGGCTGCAACGAGAACAGCGCCGAGATGAAACCACCAGTCAGTACAGAGGGCAGCACGGACAGATACTGGACAATATTTCAGTGGGCAAGTGAGAAGAAAAAAATCCTAACTTCAGGTCCGGGGCACTGAAACACTATTAAAACGAAACCTTCGAATGTTTCAAGAAAGTTAGCACGAGCACGGAAGCCGCCAGAGCAGGTCTCTCAGGCTCCGCACCGCTGACCCTGCGGGCCAGACGGCTCTGCGGGGCCCGTGGGTGTGTCGGGGGAGGTGTCGTGCGCACTGTGGGAGGTCGGGCAGCGTCCCCGGGGTCCTGACCACTCGATCCCAGCAGCACCTGCCAGTTACGACAACCCAGAGGTCCCCCGACACTGCCAAGCACCCACAAGGGGGCAACGTCACCCCCGGTCGGGAACCCCACCGTCTCGGTCATTCGTGCGAGGGTGGGCGTGAGCTCCAGCTACGAGGTGACGCACCGAAGTTCCTTTTGCTGCTGACGGGAGAGTCAAGTTCATCGCTCTTCCCGACTTTCCGTCTCAAGTTTGTAAGTTGTGCTTAACACTTTTTTTTTTTTGAATATTTCTTTTACTCTTCCCTGGCTATGTTAAAAGCCACAGAATAATTAGGGCAAAAAAAACCCAATAAACTGGGTGGCCCTTAATGTACACTCAACATGAATCTAGATCTCCAGACCTCAGATGTGTGCTTAATGCGTTCCTTTCTCAGGGACCCACTAGGAAATGGCTTCGAATAACAAGAATACACGGCCCTTTAACACCGCCTTGTACGCACTGTAGAAACGCAACAAAACATGAAATTTAGAGAAGGGGATGCCCGCGCAAACAGAAGTTGCCGCAAACAAACACCGTGCGCCTCGGCGCGGGGAGCATCCCCGGGGGAGCGCGACTCACAGTTCTCCTTCGTCACCACGAACATGCTCTTCCCCGGGCCCAGGCCCCCGTTCGTGTAGGCACGCAGGACCAGGTGGTAGCTCGTCCGGCCCTGAAGGTCAGCGATTCTCAGGGTCTTCTGGGAGGTGTCGGTGATGTTCTTAACTTTCACGTCGGGACGGCCTGGTTTAAGGTGGGGAGCATCATGGTTACTGGTGGCCTCGGCGATTTCAACGCATGGGCACACGCAGCTGCCACCCCATGCACGCCCCTGAGGCCCGCAGGGCCGGCCGGTACCAGCTCTGCCAGTCGGGGGGAGCCAGGTGAGCTCTATTTCAACCTCCCTGAACCTGGGCGTCTCCAACTAATATGCAACAGGATATCAGGACCTTATCTCATGGGGACTTTCGGCGTTTTTTTTTTGTTTGTTTTTTCCTAAACTCTAATTTTAGTGACCTATCCACCATGTCTCGCTGGAAGTCTAGGTGCTAGAATTTTAACTGGGTCAAGTGCAACATCCCCGAGCATTTGAGGACAATGACACCAGGCTCTGGGTGGCTGTGGAGTTGGATCTGCAGGGCTTCGCTCCTCCCCAGGCCACGGGGAAGGTTCAGGAAATGCAGACGCATGGATCTGGGGGAGCAGTGCATGGGTAAAGCGGCCACGTTCGGAAAAGGGCTGAGCTGGTGCCCCTCGGGCTCCCCACGCAGGGACGCACTCTCTGCCCATCAGACTGGTGTTCCATCGTCACCAGCAGTTTTGTTCCGAGGGGAGGTGGTCAAGGGAACTGAAAGCTCTCACACTGATAGATAAGGTGATTCGCTGGTGTTTATGTGGCCACGGGGAAGACACTTCTGACTCCGACAGAAATATAACTTAGGGAAAAGCCACAAGTCTGCACACACGTTTCTGTATCTCCTCGAACTGGAGAACTCTCTCAAGACCTTGGGGCGTCCACGTACCAGTCGAGGACCGGCCGTACTTGCTAAGATCTAGTGGACACACTCGTCCCCAGTTGAGTCAATCAAGTTTCTCGGCTCCTTAAGGCCGTGGCTGACTGTGTGGGAGTGGCGTTTGCCAGGCAACGGGGGAGGCTCCGGGGCCGTTCTCCGGGCCCCTGAGCTTTTCTCCTCCGTTACGGAAAGTCCGGGGAGACTCTGTTTCTGAAGTAACCTTCCTGAGATGCTGCGCTACGGTTCACGCCAGACTCGCAAGAGGTGGTCCCTGTGCTGCGGGCTTGGAGTCAGAGGCTTCAGAGTAAACAGTTCACGTGGCTTCTGAGAGACTGCCCTGCACTGACCATGGACTTAAAACCTTAAAATGCTCGTTTTCATACAACGACTACGCTTCCATTCCCTTCTTTTCCAGACAGTTGTGGAAACCAGTATTAAAGCCAGGAGCGGCACTTTCTTTATTTTTTCCGGGGCCGGGGGGAGTGGGTTCATCGAGAGCCTCTAAGTCAGTCGCTTACCTGATTCCAAACCCCGCATCTTCGACGTGTCTCTCTCTCCTTTTTCAAAGTAAAACAAGTAGCCTCTCAAGAAGCCCCTGAGCTCCTCCACAGGGATGTCTTCCCATTTCACCAAGATCGAGTCGGCAGAGGTGTCCTCCACGGTAAAATTTGGAGCGACGATCGGAGCTGTGGGGGTGGGGGGAGCCCACAGTGAGGATGAGTGTGCTGACCCAGAGCGAGACACCCACGGCTGGTGGGGGGCCCAGCCTCGGGAGACACACACCTGCGCTCAGGGTTGCAGCTCTATTTTCCATTCACTCCACCACAAACCTGCCCAGATACTGCCGTGCACTCTGTTGCGGCAAAGCTAGTCACCAGACACACAGAGGCAGGGCTTACCATCCAGGGAAGCAACCTATGCGAAACCTTTAAGCGGCTAACTCATCTGTACTTCCCTTTTCTATGGATAGGCTGGAGTAAGTGCAAATTCCATATTTCTGACATCCGAATCGAGATTTTGTTAATGACCACACATTTGTGAAATATAAACACCGAACGAATGAAGAGTAAGTAATCAAATAATTTTAAATTTATCATACAAATTATTTTTCCTTCCTTGAACTGAATATCCCAATTTAATCTATTCTTAGACTCCAACGCTGCCAATCTATAATTTTCCGGTTACCCTGAACCCTAGGGAAACTTATCCACGGAACTCACCCAGTTCCTCTATGTATCCGATCACAGAACGTAACAGTTGATATCCTTGATTTCTGCACCCGTACAGGAAGAAGTGGTATCTCACACCCGGTCGAAACTGATCTATAGGAGGGACACAATCAGTAAACTGTCATAAGTGCACAGTATTATGCATATCTATTTCAGAAACATCGACTTTAGAGTCACTGACTCAGAAACAGTCGAAGCTAATTTTAAACACATGCTTTCCTCTAAAAACACACCAGTATTTTCAAAATTGGTAAATAGTCTCAGTGGAAAACTGATGAAACCAAATTCATGTTTTACCGTAATAAAAAGTTTAGTGTCATAATATAGTGTCACCCTGAAGAGGGGAGGAGCGGTGACTGAAGCCTTGATTTTGTTCCTTAAACCAGCAGTGATGCCTCTATCCTGGTCCTGGCCCAGGCCGAGGGCTGTGTCACCACGCTCCAAAAAGCCCTCCCCCCCAACCAGCGTTAGTTCTGGGTGCGGGAGCCGCCGCGGCGGCTCTCCTCCTGCGCCAACAAGCAAACGCTACAGTCGCCACTCCCTCCTGACGCTTTGCGTGAGAGGAGCCAGGCTGTTCCCTAGCGTCTGCTCCTCTGTGCCGCGCCCCCACTCGGGGCCCGCGAGTCCACTCCACACGAGAGTGCACCCCTCCACCCCACTGCGGAGCCCCTGGCAGCACGGTGCCAGGTGGGACAGATGGGGAACCCCGAGGGGGACAGGACCAGGGCCCAGGCCCGGACGGGCTGGAGACAGGTGGGGGACAGACAAAGGGGGGAATCACAGCACACTGTGCGAGACGAGAGGGACCTGCCGTGGGCTGTGGCGCCTTCCAGGAGGGAAAACGCCACCAAGAAATGATGCTGACGGACGACCGGGAGCTTGCCAGCCGTGGGCCAGGAAGAAGGCTCCGCCTGGGGGAGGCGGCCAGTGCGCGTACGCGGGCTCGCACTGAGTGTGTGGAGTGCCCCTCTTCCCCGGCGGGTGGCGCGCCATCCGCCTGCCCTGCACCCAGAGCACCGGGGGCCGCGGGCCCCACAGCCGGACAGTCGCCCTCTACTGCCCCCTTGCTGAGTGTTTTCTCTAGGAACAGGACACTCGGAAGTTACTTTTTAACTGTGTTTTTTAGTTTTATTTTTTATCCTCACCTGAGCATGTTTATCGATTTGAGAGAGGAAGAGGGGTGTGGAGAGAGAGGGAGGGAGAGGGAAAGAGACATTGATGTGAGACAGAAACATCAATTCTGTGTGCCCCGACGGGGGGTCGAGCCAGCAACCAGCAACCTTTGGCGTATGGGACGCCGCTCCATATTTTTAGACAGAAGGGAAGGGAGGGAGAGAGACAGGAAGAGAAACATCACCTGCCCCCTACTGGAGACCTGGCCCACAACCCAGGCACGTGCCCTGACTGGGAATCGAACCGGCGACCCTATGGTTCGCAGGCCAGTGATCAATCCACCGAGCCACACCAGCCAGGGCGCAAGGTCATGACTTTAAACTGCACATACGTTAGTAAACGTGTACCTAGTTTGATGTTCCGATTACGTATACCAATCGTGTTTAGGATTCTGATGCCTAAAAAAAAAGCAGCACCTGAGTTGGTTAGAGCACTAGGCGTGTGTTTTGAGGTCACAAGGAGAGAAGAGCAGGTGACTGGGTGGGAAAAGAGGAGGAGAAACAACTACCACGGCCACACACTGTTCCAGCGGCAGGAAACAGAAAACAAAACTCCCAGCTCCTTGACACTTTGAACTTGACGCCTGGTGATGGCACACCCTGACCAGCTTTGTGGCCGTGAGCGAGTTCCCTAACTTCTCTCAGCGCTGCAGGGCCTGGGCTCACCTGCCTCCCCTTCTCACCCCACGGCTGCCAGCTTCCACTCCCATGCAGACACTGCACCTCAGGCAGTGCCCTCCGCTCCGCATGGCTGCCCCCCGCCCCAGCCCATCCCCACGGTGCTCCCAGCCCAGAGAGGAGGGAGGAGGGAGGAGGGAGGGAGGAGGCGGGGCCAGAGTGTGTAGAGGGAGCACCAGGCCAGTGTGAGGCCCCAGGAGCTGCCGTGGGGGTGGAGAGGGGGGAAAGGCAAGGGCAGGTGCAGGGAGGAGCGGGGAGGGGTGCAGCTGGGCATGCTGGGAAGTGCAGTGTGGGGGGGGAAGGATCAAGGGAACTGTCCTCTCTCTGGGCCGATTCTGCAGGGAGCAGCCTGGCTGAATTCCAAGCAGAACGGACACATAATCGGGGCCCACACACACGGCCATCTAATGAAGGGGACTCATCCTCACCATCTGACAGTGAAAAGGGAAACACTGCCTGCTCTGCCAAACCCCACTGACACGGGAGGGACAGCCACGGGAGCGGAAGGACGTCACCAGCACAGGCCGCCAGCTCCAGAGCCCCGCGGGGAGAGACACAGAAGCCCGGTGCTCAGAGGGAGCAGCGGCTGTCGGAAGAGGCACTGAACTCCTCCGAAGCACCAGGCTGGTTCAGCCTGCAGGTTGCCAAGTGCCCCTGGGGCTGCCTTCAGGCTGCATGGGGTCAAGGCGGCTTGCCAAGGAAGCTCAGGGCTTCCTCAGCCACCAGGGAGCGGGCCCCACCCACTGCGCCCGCCTCGGGCCACGTGGGGATGTGGGTGCAGGGCCCCTGTGCACGGCCTCTCCTGACCTCCGTCCCTGGGCCCTGGGCCAGCACAGGCTGCAGCGCTCTGCGGGGGACCACGCTGCTCACCGGTCCGCAGCCTTCCTCCCGAGCACGGCCCCCCGCGGTCCCACCTTCCGCACAAGCGCTGCCTCACCCTCCGTCCGTTCCAGGGAGGTGCCCCCATCGACTGGCCCTCCCGTGTGCTGCGGTGGCCGCTCTCTACCACGACAGCAGTGCGCGATGCCGTGGCGACCGTGCTCAGACGGGAACCTGGGGTGCTCCCTCCTGGTTTCCTGGATCAAGGGGGTCGGAGCCCCCTCACGCACACACTGCCCCGGCCACCTTCAGGAGGGCTACACCGGCCAGCACCCGGCCCCGCGGCCAGCACCTGGCCCTGCGGCCAGGGAGAATGGCCGCTCCCTTGCGCCCGGCCAGCCCGCACGCTGCTGCTCGTGTGACGAGCCCGCCGGCGGCGCCCCGAGGGACACTCACCGGACTCGATGACGGCCTCGGTGCTGTTGGCGGGGACCTTCCTCCAGTCCATGAGGCAGGGCTCTGCCTGCGAGGCGTCGCACCACTTCACCACGTAGTCGCAGGTGGCATTGGGGTCGTGGCCCCACGCGAGCAGGATCCCTCTTCCCGTCCCGACGGCCTGCTCCGTTCTGAGGTCGTCTGCGCCAGGAGAGAGGGGGGCACTTTGATGTGAGAACTAGCGAGGTAAGGTAAGGCACGCCCCGTGGAAACGGGCAAGAGCCGCACAAGTTACGTCACCGTACGGAAACGTGCAAGATAGCGCTCAAGCTAGACACACCTTCGGGGAAGTCCGGAAGTGCAGCGGTGACCATGGCAACCACCGGGGCCTACAGATCAACTCAGCTACTGAGACCAAGTGGTAAGAAAGCACGTGGGATCGGGTGGTGGTGACGCAGTGGGGCCAGGAGGGCTCTGGCAGCGCAGGGCGTAAGGGCCCCGGAGGGGGGCATCAAGGCCCAGAGGATGGGCAGAGCGCTGGTGGGCAGTCTGCGTCCCTCCTCTGGTCACCACCGTCTGGGGTGTGAGCCTCGTGGCCGCAGGGGCCCTGCCGGCAGCCCCAGCCCCAGCCGGGCAGAGCAGGAGCACCACGGCAGGAGGCGGGTGGGAGGGGCTTCCTCCATTGCTGGAACACCGCCCCCTCCCCCGTGGGCTGCGGGGACCCGGGAGACAGGGCAGGGAGAGGAGGAATCTGTGGGAACAGTTTGGGAAGGAAGGAGAGCTGAGGGGACTGACGGGCGGTGGGTGTGGGCCCACAGGGAAGAGCCCGTGCAGGGCCCGTGGGGAACAGAGGCGGGAGGTGCCGAGGCTGGTGGGAAGGGGGCCAGCGTGGGCGTGGGGTCACGTCAGGTGTTGGCCTAGGCGACAGGGAGGCCCCAGGTGGGGGGCGAGGCACAAGCATGGACTAGGGCGGCGTGGCCGAAAGGGAGAGGGGAGCCCGGATCAGTCTGCCCTGCAGAAGCGGCTGGGAGACAGGGGCCCCCATGGGGCGGAGCGGCCAGGCGGGGAGGCGGGGGCTCAGAGGAGGCGCTATCAGGGTGAAGAGGCCGGGGCGGCCGCTGCAGACCCACAGCTCGAGGGGCGGCCGAGGCAGTTCAGGACGGACGGGCGGACGGACCCCTGGCGGGCACCCAGAGGATGCGGAGGCAGGCGGGCGGGCGGTCATTTTAAAAGTCACACCATTTTCACAACTTTACGCTGAGAGTCTAACTCGGACTTTGGGGAGAATTTCTCATCCATAAGGGATCCCTACTGAAGGAACGTCCCTTCCACAACGCCGCCACGTAAACCGAGTGTCTCTTCCTGCCAGACGGGTGCAGCACCACGGCCTCGCTGACCGGGAGCCGGCTCGCGTGGGGCTGGGGAGGTGCGCCAACACGGGACCTGTCGCACCGTTTCTTCCCGAGAGTCACACCCACCACCACAGCCCCCAACACTGCGCGTTACAGTGACCGGGAACAGCGGCTGCCCGGCCACCAGGGCAGAGGCTGCCAGCGGGGACCCAGGGTGCTGAGAGAGAGCACTGTCTCAGCGCGCAGCTGACATTCGCCCGCCCGCCTGCTCCGCCTTCGGTGTCGCTAGCAGCAGCAGCAGCAGCAGCAGCAATGGCAGCAGCAGCAGCAGCGGGCGGGTGGGGGGGGTGGTGGCGGAGGAGGTGAAGGAGAGCACACAACCCCTCCGGAGCGTCTCCCTCCGAGCTCCCCTTCTCCTGCCCCAACCGCTCACCGTTGGGAATCTCCATGCTCGCTATTTTGGACGGCGGGGAGGAGCCGGCGGAGTTTTTCGCCACCACGCTGATGATGTAGTCGTTTCTGTCGAGCTGCATCTCTGCTCTGTGCTGGGGGTCGGGGATCTCCGAGAGGGACTGGGTCTTCTCGTCCGACGAGCAGGACACGTTGTAGAAGAGGATCTTCCCGTTCGCCTCGCTGACGGGCAGGGGCTGCGAGAGACGGGAAGATACGTCACGTTCGGTCACGGGAACCTGCGAAGTGACTGCGTGACCAGGCGAGGCCACCGACTCTAGAGTGGACACCACCCTCGTCGTAAAGGTGCCACCGGAGGAGGCGCAGCTGCCCACTCTCCGAGAAACCCGCCGAGACCCGGGCAGCTCGGTGGGGGGCGGCGACGCCGGGGAAGAATGTCCGTGCCGTGAGCACCCAGAAACATACACGTGCAGCCAATAAACAGCCGCATGTGGCCTCCCACTTCCTCGTGACAAATAGAGTTACGAGAAGCACTGCTCTATATAAACAGAAACAAAACATTAAAAAGTATGGCATCATCGTTTTTTTTAACATTTACTGCCTTCTTGTTTTAAAGTAGTGCCTGCTCATTACAGACCATGTGTGTTGTTTTCTGCTGGTGGATGGGCCCCGAGGGCCTTCCCGGTCGCACCCGCGGGCTCCTCCTCCTTTGGGGGCCCTGCCTATGCGGCCGCCTCCCAAGGCCCACCCAGCCTGCTGCCCCCCTGCCCCCTGCACTCCCCCTGGACACGGGGGGGGTGGGCAGAGCAGGGTCGCCGTCGTGAGTGCAGGAAGCATGGGGCTTATTCCAGTATCACTGTTTATTAATTACTGCTTTGTTTTCCACACGAACAGCTGCAGTCCCACTTCTGCCCCACCCTGCAAGCCCCTCAAAGCCTCGTCTCTGGCTCCACTCTCATTCCTGAGCGCCTAGAACCCCCCTTATTCACCCCGCCCACCCCCAGCTACTGGACTCTGCTCAGGTTCCCCAGGGACACATGTTTAAAAACCTCAACACGTCCAAAACAACTTAATTTTCTACCCAAACAGGGCAGAAGCAATTAACCTTGGGACTGCAGTTAGACTCTGAATCACTGCAACAGTTTCAAATCCCTGGTTCAACAGTCCTCTAGTTGGAACACTGTTCCAAACTCCTTCCACACGCAAGTGGTTTGTACGATCGTTACTATGTTGCTGCGGAATCTGACGGACAGCTCAGGGCAGCGGGGAGTTTCTCATCGGCAGGAGGGCGGGATGCTACCGTCCCCTCAGACGATCTCAAAGCAAGGGAGCGTCTAGGGAACGTGCACTTGGACTTCGCTTGACTCAAAGCTGTACTTTCATCCAGGTTTTGTGAAAATAACATTGTTTACTCTCAACAACAAAACCCACCACTTAAAGGAATCTGGTTAGGACTGCCCTTAGGAAATCGGAGGTAGAAAACCACTGTTGGTGTTTTTAATATTCATTAGTCAGATAAAAAAAACAACAACAACAACACAGCAACAAAAATGGCTGCTCTACGAGGGAGAAACAGTAAAATAGAGCGTGATTCGTGTATTACCTGAAATTTTACGAAAGTATCATTGCATTGTATAAGACAATTTATTTAAGGGAAACAAATTACATAAGAAGCTGGTTTCCTATTCATCCAAGGGGAAAAATGCAACATGAATAGCAGGGTTGTAACTTGCAGCTTCTGGCTGCACTTCTAAAGCCGGAGGGACTGAGTTCGTGAACAACCCCCCCCCCCCCCCCCCGCCGGGGCCCCTCAGAGGCCTGGTGAAACCACAGCACAGAGTGGGAGGCCTCGGACCCGCGGTGCAGCTGCGGTCAGGAGGAGCCTGGGGGCGCCTGGAGCCAGGTCACACCCTCAGCAGTCCTGCACGTCTGGGACCCCTGGCCCCTCGACAACCCCAGGACCCTCCGAAAGGTAGGCGGTCTACCAAAACCGAGCCGTCTCACTACTCACACAAATGTTATGGCATTTACCTTCCAATATATGATTAGGTTTTTCCCGTCGGAGCGCCACTCCCTCCACGTGTCTGGTCCCTTGGAGGGAACTAGGGGAGAGAGGTCGAAGTTAGTTAGTACTCGAAGTCGTGTGCTGGGTCGGTCGGTCATGTCAGTCATCGAGACGGTGGTGCCTGAGAACGGTCAGTGGCCTCTCCCGCACCACATCAGGGGTGGCCTGGGTGGCCCACAGGGCCTGGCAGAAGGAAGGCGTGTTCCTTGTGAGGCCAGGTCATGAAAAGCGCGCGGCGGGCTGCCCTGTTGTCCTCTCCGTGATCCCCGAGTCCGGGAGGAGCCGGCGGCTGCGCTCTGCAGACACTCCAGCAGCCAGGAGAGGGAACCCGGGGGAGGCAGACCCCCTGCCCCGGGGCAAGGCTGCAGCCCCCACCCGCACGGCGATGGCCCTCAGCAGAGACTCCGGGCCAGAGCCACGTCGCCAAGCTGCTCCCGGGTTTCCGACCCCCACGGGCACCGTGAGATCATACATGCTTGCTGTGTTAAGGCGCTGAGTTTTGGGGCAATGGGTTATGCAGCAACAGGTAACTAATGCACTCTGGCTCTGGACTCATGCGCTGGATTCACGTCTGATAATCCAGGTAATTCTGACACTTGTTGCAAAGCTCTGCCCCTCCCCCCAGCCTTCACGTGGAGAGACAACACCTGGATTAGCACGCATCACCACTTTTTATTTTACTGGTAGATGTGGTGGCAGAAGTTTTATGTTCCCTCTGTTACATAGTGCAAATAAAGAATTCGCTATGTTTTAGTGAATGATGACTGAAAATCACACCTGTTTCTATTTTCCATTTTAAAGCCGACATCTGGTTAATCAAGGACAGAAACTTCCTCCTGTCTTTGGAAATTATACTCGGAAAACCAGTGACCTGATGTGGTGGCTATTCTGACCTAGGCAAACCGTGGAGACCGAAGCTCAAGACCTTAGCCCCGTCCGTGACTCAGCCTTAGGTCGGAAATAAGAATTCCAACAAACTCGTTTTTAATGAAAAGGCGATCTAGATAGATGGCGAAAAGTCCAGGCAAAGGAGGGAAGCGTGTGAGGCAAACCGCCCCAGCATCTTACTGGGGCTGCACCGCATCACTTGACCGTCGACCCGACCACACGGCGCGCGGACAGTGCAGCCGGTCCGGCCACGGAGCACGTGCCCCGCACGCTCCGTGCGCTCCCAGGACGTCAGAAACCATCGTTTAAAGTGTCTGTGTAACACTGTGCTAGCGTGTGTTGCACAATTTCACAGTGTACCTACGTGTTCTATGTTTAGTCACTTGGGTGACATTTAAAAAAACAAACAGTTGCCCAATCCCAGGATCCGCGGTAACAATTAACCACGAACCACGGCGTTAACTTACTGGCTTCCGTGGTCAGATACTGTTTCTCGTCGCTCCAGAGGCTCCACTTCCAGAAAGGCTCGGCGGCACAGCGCACCCGGAAGGCGTACACGGTGTACGGGTGCAGCCGGCCCACGGCCGCGAGGTAACGCGAGCCGTCCGCCCCTGCGATGGTGACGTTCCACTGGCGGGAAGCCAACAAGGCAATGTGAGCGCAGGGGACGTCAGGTGTGCACACATACACATGAACACACACACACACACATTTCTAAAGTAAGAGCCCTGGCTGGCGTAGCTCAGTGGATTGAGCGTGGGCTGCGAACCAAAGCGTCGCAGGTTCGATTCCCAGTCAGGGCACATGCCTGGGTTGCAGGCCACAGCCCCCAGCAGCCACACATTGATGTTTCTCTCTCTCTCTCTCTATCTCCCTTCTCTCTCTAAAAAATAAATCCTAAAAAAATTTAAAAAACAAAGTAAGGAAGCCTCCCAAATTTGCACCCCTTTGCACGTCCGCAAGAGTTTGCCTCTCTATACGGTCAGAGTCAGTTCACCCCCGTACTATGGTGATTCTCACATAAATGCCAATCAGTGACATGATGATGCCCGGCAATAGCAGGAAGCAAAGCTGAGGCATCTTTTTGACCCGACTATCGAATCTAACTGATAGCGGCCAGTTCAAGCACGCGGAGAGGAGGACATGAACTTGGTCATCAGTCAGTGGCTGATGGCGGTGCAGCAAAGCTCCGCATGTCGGCATTAACCTGAGACAGCCTTGGGGAGGGCCTGGGGCACTCAGAAGACACCTGGGGGCTGACGGCGGCTGTGTCATCGTGGCCCTTACACGGCACCTAGTGCCTCTGATACGGTGCTAAACACGCAGACCGTGCAACACACGCTCAAACGAACTGAAATTAAAATGAAGCAACTGGAGACAACTCCGGGGACCTGCACGTCTCGGGGAGACCTCCGGGCCCCCGATTACTTATTACGAAGGAGCGTTGGGGGCCACGTTGTGCCAGGTGACTGATACTCTGGCAATCGCCAGGAAGCTTCCAAGTGAATGTTTAAGCATGACATCATTTATTTTGGACTGACCACAGATGCCAAGACGGTGCAGTATAAAAGTCAACCCAAGTATTTAAAACGTATTAAAAGTCATGTTTTGACTTATAATAACCAATTACAACTTGCTCCCGGAGCTGCGCTTGGCGGTTTTAAAAATCGCATCTTCTTTCCGGTGCCAGGGAGTCCATTATCTAGTGCTGGAGGTCGCCGCGGAACTACTCGTTAACTCACAAATGTATGGGGCACCAGCTACACGCCAGGTGCACCGCCAGACCCGGCCGCAAGCGGAGCAGCGAGAGTCAGACTTACGTTCTGCGGCAGCCAGTGTCTTTAAGGTGCTGTCCAATTACATCCCTGGGCAATATCTCGGTTCTTAGTCAATCTCTACAATCATCAGAGTCTACGCATATAGATTGACCTAGGTATGTGGAAAGCTCAATGCGTTATCCGAAATAACCTCCGAGGAGGTTTACGGAAGAATCTCACTCACCAATTCTTGCACTGAATTCATCTTGTTGATTTCAACCTGGCACAGCAGCTTAATCTTTGCAAAGTTGCCCGGTAAATGCCAGGAGAGCGTAACGGCCGTCGCGTTGATGTCTTTCACTTTGATTGAAGTAGGAGTGCGGGGATGCACTGTCGACGTAAGTTTTAAAGGTTAATTCCCTCGAAAGCTATTTTCCACCACGACAAATGAGACTCGCCGGCGACAAGCGACACCAGCAACGCTGCACTCCGAGTGTGTGGACGACGCGAGCCTCACCGTCCTGCTCGCCACACGCCGACGGTTCTCCAGGACCCATCGCGCCCGAGGTTCCTCAGTCGGGGTCAGGAACTCTAACTGAAAGGTCGTTATAGAACACACAGCCTCTACCCGCAAGGAACCTCTCATTTACTTGGGGACTGACGCACAAGAAAGAAAGAAAATCTACCAGAGAACACATGCTGAGTTCCAAATGAATGGCATCCATATTGAGTGCTGTAAGAATTTAGATGTCAACGTGGTGGGGAGAATCCTGCAGTAAAGATGGGACTTAGGCCCTGGCTGGTGTGGCTCAGTGGACTGAGCGCCTGGCCTGTGAACCAAAGGGTCACCGGCTCGATTCCCAGTCAGGGCACATGTCTGGGTTTTGCTGGCCAGGTCCCCAGTAGGGGGCGTGCGAAAAGCAACCACACATTGATGTTTCTCTCCCTCCTTTCTCCTCTCTCTAAAAACAAACAAACAAACAAACACACAAACAAACAAACAAAGATGGGACTTGGGATGAGCTCTGAAAGAAGAATCGGAGTAAAGCTGGCAGGAGGAATGCAGAAGAGCATTCCAGGCTGGGGTCCTGGCCCAGCGAGGCGCAGGCCACACTGCTCTGGCGATGGCCCACCTCGGGGGCGGGAGGGCTGTGGGAGGGGCAACCCTGCCGTACACACGGCTGGGATGGCGGCGGGCAGGCAAAGACACGCAGACACTACCACTCAAGGAAACAGAAAAAATGGCCACTCTGTCCTTAGGTGAAGGGAGGACATAAAAAGACGATGGGAAGAAATACTTGATGAAAGGGCTTCCTGTTCGGCCAGCAAGGCCGGTCTGCAGCAGAGGGCGCTGGGTGTGAGCCTACCTCCCCAGACCGTGGTCTGCCGCGGTGTGGTGCGGGGCCGGCGTGGAGCCGACGCCCACGGAAGGGCCACGGGAACGCATGCCAAAGCACTGCACCGTGTTGCATTTCTGTCCTGAGCTCCGTGTTAATAAGACTGGTAAGGTCAAGAAGTCATCAGCAGTAAGGAGGACTGCGCTATTTATTGATCTGTACGACAACCTGGATGGATCTAAAGGTGATTATTATCACCTTTCGTAAAAAACGCCAGCCTCCGAGGGTTACAGGCTGCACGGCTCCACTTACACGACATCCTCAGAATGACAAAGCCACAGGGACGAAGAACAGGTCTGCTGGTGTCCGGGGACAGGGCGTGTGTGTTGGGGTTGGGGGGCGGCGGGCGCAGCGACAGACCAGTCCGGTACCTTGAGTGTGTGGGTTCCCTGAACCTTTACATAAATCCGCCTGCACAGACCTACACGCACGCACACGCACACACACACACACACACACACACACACAACTGAATGCACGTGAAAACCGGTGCTCGCTGAGCAAGGTCGGCAGCCTGGTTCACAGGTCACGTCCAAGGTCAGTGGCCCGGCCCGGAGGCTGTGCGACAGCAACGTTAGGACGCTGCCCCGGGGAAAGCCCCGTGAGGGGTTGGAGGGCTCTCGTTTGTTAGTTTTTGCGACCACCTACAATTATTCGAAAGTAAAAAGTCTTTAAAAGTTGGGCGACATTTTCTCAGAAACAAAAAAGTATTAGATAAAGCCACTGACGTTTTCTACGGGAGTATTTCAAAAATTCACTTAGGTGCAATAAAATGGTGAACCTGCAATTACACATGTTGAAGCTTTTAAAATAGAATTTACAGGATGAATATGAAGCAGTTATAAAGGAAATGATCAGGACAACGTAATCCCCCCCAGGCTCACTTTTCATTCCTCTCGAGACACCTCGCCACTTCGACAGGCGTGTGCAAGGCGCTGGTTCGGCCGCCGCTTGCTTACCTCTTTCGGTCGCGTTCACCAGAGTCCGCGCTTGCGACTGGCCCAGAGGGTTGTGAGCGGTCAGGGTGAAGTCATACAGTTCTTGACTGGGCAGGACTTGAAAGGACAACTGGTAGCTTTCATTTATGGGCCCTTCAGCTCTTTTAAACTTGACGTATTTTCCTGAGAAACTGCGGAGGAAGAGAGGAATAAAGGATATTAAAGTAGTATCAGGATGGCGAGAGAGAGAAACGGCGCAGGGAAAATACATGGGTAAATTTCTGATTAATTAACGTTTTCAAAGTCTTGGTAATTACAGAGGTGCTGTGTACGCGGGGAAGCAAATGATTGACCGCCGCACAGGCTCTGTCTGTGTCTGAGGGCTCCTCCCCGTGGGCCTGGTGGAGAGGGAGACGGATGGAGTCTGCGTGCACCCAGCCGCAGCACGGACCTCACACCCGACTTTTACGGCACATGTGTGCTCGTGACGTACAAGAGGCGGGGCCTGTCCCCGTGTCCTGAGACGTCCTCCTGACGGACGCCCTGCGGGGCGTGTGTGTGTGTGTGTGTGTGTGTGTGTGTGTCTGACACCCTTTCCTGGTCGCCTCTACCTTTCGGACAAAGTGTAACTGGTGTTGCGCGGGCCCACCAGGGCCGTCGGTCTGCCTGGGTCCCAGGTGCATATAATCTCCTTTAAATCGTTCGTCTCGCAGTTCAGCTTTTGGGGAATATCGGGTGGATCTGAAAGGGAAAAGGGAAAAAAATGGAGGAGTTACTCATTTTAACATATATGTTCCCTGCATATGTTGTGTCTCGTAAATGTTAATTATATTTTGTACAGTTTCATTACAAATGAAATAATGTATTGTTTATATTTTATTTTTTCAACAATTACCATTCTTTCTATAGCATGTTTTTTTCTAGTTCATATTACATTAGAAATGATAAAAATAAATTATACTAAATAAAATATACTAAAGAGTGACTATTAGCTCATTTGAAAACTCCCTATTAGCAAACCGAAGATACTATCACTTTTTCCCCCTTAAATACTACTTGAATCTACCAAATCTCTCAAAGGAAGGTGTACCCAATAAGTCAGAAAAATCTACAAGTCAAAAGTACTATTACTGGTCACCCATCTATATTTGCAAAGAAGTACCAGATCACATTATAAGCCAACAAACGTCATAAGTTTCAGAGTTCTTAAATAAGTTACAAGGACCATTATTTACAGAGTAATTTTCAGTAAAACCCTGCACCTCCCTGTACTCAAGTGACTACTTCTCTTCTGTCGTTTTCATTTTTTTTAAGATTTTAATTATTTATTTTTAGAGAGGGAAGGGAGGAAGAAAGAGAGAGAGAGAGAGACAGAGAGAGACAGAGAGAGAGAGAGAGAGAGAAACATCAATGTGTGGTGCTGGGGGCCGTGGCCTATAACCCAAGCATGTGCCCTGACTGGGAATCGAACCTACGATGCTACAATGCTTCGCAGCCCGCGCTCAATCCACTCAGCTACGCCAGCCAGGATCTCATTTTCATTCTTTACTAAAACTGCTCTGTCTCTGTGTTCAGGCAGCACTAGCGAGAACACGTCCTTCGAGTGTGCCTGCGATGGAAAGGGATGAGAGAATTCTGAGGTCTGACACTGAGCACAGAAATCGGTAAATCTGTGATTGTGTTTAACCAGGCACATACGGAAGCCGGTATCTCCTCCTGTCACGTGTATCCAAACTCTGTCATGCAAGATAAGCTTTTTAAAAAACAACGATCTACTTGTTGAAAAATTCTGTAACTTTATTTTTAAAAAAACTAAAATTTTTAATCAGTTTTTAGTTCATCAACCAAGACTTAGGAAATTGCACATACCTTCTTCAGAGATAAGAATAATGTCCTCCAGTGATATTTTAGGTAATGCCAGGAGGAGTAACGAGCATTATATGATAGTCTAACAATTGGATAATGAAACAAATACTGACATATTTGTTGTAAAAACTGTTTCAAGTCTAAGGCCAAACTTTCAGTCATTTTATTAAAATGACATAACAATTTTTTTAGTACATTTAAAATGTTTATTATTTTAGTATTTGGCAGGTACACTGGGTTGGGATACTTCAAGTCCAAATGACAGGAGCAAACCGGAGGGACGTGGAAGCAAAGGCAAAGAGGAAAAATGTGAGAGGGCAGTGTGGAAAAGCTAATGTGCGGATTCTCTTTTCTTTTCAAAGGAATTAACTTATAAAAGGATCAGCTGAAGCTGGGCAAGCTAGTTATAAATCACCCGTATTTCTGTGTACCAACAAATGCAAAACGCATTTTTAAAATCAAAGCCATTTTTATGAAAATATTTTCAAATGAGAAAGTGTAAAATTTGACATGTGCTCTAAATATCTACATTTTCTAATCCTATGTCATAGTGCATTATTTTAAAGCCTCTTAAATATGATGAAAGATTAACATCAAGGTCAATACTGAATGCTGAAGCGGCACTATCGAAGGGGACTCAAGTGGTAATGGAAAAATACAATAAAAAATTTAAATGTAAGTTATTTGAATGATTACTGCACAAATAATTGTTCATAACAATTATTTGGCTCCTGATTAAATTAGCATATGCATGAATACTAACAGGTACTGTAAATAACTATTCTGTCTGCTAAATAATGGATTTATTTTCAATCACAAGAATAAACCAGAGAGAAACAAAGCCACTTTTACTGGCATTGACATCAAACACGGAGGAGCATCTTCTAAGTTTTACTAAAAGACACACGAGACCTCACATGCCCAAGACAAACGAAAGGAGGCCCAGGTAACTGGAGGACGTGCCCTGCCCTTGGCTGGGTGGCCTGCTACTGAGAGAGAGAGAGAACTTTCCTAAACCGACGGAGGTCACGTGATGGGTCACGTGTGAGAAAACTCACAACACCCACTCACTACGTTTCACACACTTCCTTTTGTGAGCCCCTCAGACCCCACGCAGAGCCTGTGAGTGCGGAGTGCAGGAGGGCGGGACGCTGGAGACAAAGCCACCGCATCAGAGTGACCACGGGGGAGGGGACGGAGAACTCAATGGACAGGACGATCTGTGTGCAGGCCACGTGGGCCACGCAGGCCCCACGGGCCGGGCCATTCCCGCAGCCACTGCTGCACCACGTGGGCTGAGAACTGCAGAGGCGGCCACGCCGGTAAAAGTTGCCTGCACTCGGGGCGGCGTCCACACGGCACAGCGTGAGGGGACGCGGGGGCGGGGGGTGAATCCTCGCACCCACGACCTCCAGCTACCCTCTCCTCCGACAGGTTTCTTTCAAGCTGGGGAAACACATATTACGCTGCTGAAACATTCTGTGCAAAATCATGACAATTTCTTTAATGTGGGTACTTATTTTAAAAAGGTATGCTATAATTATATGGGAAATTATCTTTTATGAAATGATTACTAAAGAAGGTAGGATTCGCAAATATTATATCCTAACTACCCCAACTCAACAAAGCTGTTAACCAAGAATTCAAACTATAAGTTAGCCAATGAGTGCTTCAACTCTTATCACAAAGCCTAGAAATCGGACAGATACATGTATGTACAAAAGAAGCTCAGACCTCACCTTTAAGCGAGTAAAAATTCAGGTGCCTTTTATATCATTTATATCAAAGAACAGAAGAATAAAAAAGAAATAGAATCACACCCCTGCCGCTCTATGAAAAAAAGCATGAAGGCTTTCAGAGAGAACACAAAATGATGAATAGAAACTTACATCCTGCAAAAATAACTGTTCCGTAAATGTTTTCCTTGGTTGTGAACACCACATTTGTCCCGCTGTCTTCAGAAACGGAGATGTTGTGGATCCTGATCGCCACGTTCTCCCCATCGAGATGGATAAGGGGGCACTTCGCATAGCCGATCTGGGCCGACGACACTTTTTCTTGAGTCACACAGCAAAAGGTTATATCTGAGCCCACAAGTATCACCTTGTCTTGAGGAAAAACCTTGCCCGGAGAATCGGTGGACCCTGGGAAGATCAAAAGAAACTATAAAATACTTTAGAAATCTTTTACCATAGAAATAACCCAGTGTATACAAAACATACTTGGGGTGCTTTATAATAAGGGTGGCCCCGAGATAAGGTGCGTCCCCCAGGTTTCAAAGGAGCAAGACGCATGCAAGAAATGAAGTGTGTGTGGTTCTATTCACTTACGGTGGAGTGACAGTGGGGGAGGGGACTGTAGGTCAATGTCTACCGTCACAGGTTAATGTCTCAGAAGTCCTACAAATCCCATACATGGGTTTATATCCGTACATGAAAAATCAACACCAAGAAAACGTGTCGATTTTAAATAACTCCATCGCCCTGAAATGATTCTATGTATTCAGGGCAGACTTCTTACTTTCCATCAGCCTAAATAAACACTGGAGTACTCCATAGCCTAAAAAGCACTGTTTCTTTCATCCCAACTCTGCAGCTGGAAGCCTACCTTTGGTTTTTATTCCCCCAAACAGCCCATCCTTTAAATTACCCATACTCTCCTTTCGACCTGGTTCCTCCCTCCCAGACTGCACTCTGGCTCCCGCCCCAACTGCTGTACTGACGTGGCCGGCTGACCGAATCGCTCAGTCTAGTGGCGGCTGCGTCTGAGCAGCCTTCCCCTTTGACGTCCACAGCTCCGGGCTCGCTGCCTGAAGTCCCCCTTCTCCAAACTCCCTGCTCTCCTGGGTCCCTCACTGAGCCCTCCCGGGCTCCTCCCAGCCCTCTAGTGCCCGTCTGCTCTGCTGGTCTTTCTTCCCTCCTCCCCGTGGACACAAAGCTTCTAAGCGACAGGTCCTCGGTCTTCACCCCCTTGTCCCCGAGTCATGGGAACCTCCGGGGTTAAAAAACTTTCCCATCACATACACGCTAATGATTTTCAGACACGCATCTCCAGCTCCAACTGGATGCCACGCCCGCATTTCCAGGTGCCTGGGAGACTTTGCTATCCAGACACCTCACATGTGCCTCAAGTGCAATGCTTCAACGATGAAATCAACCTTTCCTCCCTAATTTGTTTATATATTTTCTGTCTCAGTGGAAAGCCGCACGAGCGGCCCAAACTAACAGTTGTCTTTGGCTGGATTTCTCCCTTACCAAGCACGGTGCCACCGATTCCGATTCTGTCTCCCCCGTGTTTCTGCACCTTTTCCCCTCCTCACTTCTAACCCCGAGGGTCCTGGCCACACCTCCACTGTTCTCCACTGAACTGCGACAAGCTTCCCCTTACTGATCCACCTGCTTCCAGCCCCCTCTTCCTCCGAGCCGCTCCTGCAGACAGTCCCCAAACGGAATAATCTGCAACGATCAGCCGTCTTTTTAGGAACTTTGTTTTACTGTCAGTACGTCACTGGGCCCTGTCCCATACTGCCAGCATTCTACCTGCAAATGAGTTTTATTCAATGTCCTGATAACTGGGGGCATAGCTGCAAATTCCTGGGTCTCTGCAAAAACTGTAGGTCACGGGCTACTCCGTGGATGACAAGTTGGGCAACTTTAAACAAAAAAATAAGACTCGACCTCATCACCCACCACCCACACAAAAATGCGAGATGCTCTTGGACGTCCGCTACACTGATTTTCAAACCAGGATGTTTCTCCAATCACTCAGGAAGTTCTTTAAAAATACAGATTCCTGCAGCTTATCTCGGGCTTTTTAAATGAAAACATAGTGGGATGGGCTGTGGCCGGGTGGCTCCGCCGGGCAGAGCACTGTCCCGAGACACCGGGGCTGCGGGTTCAGTCTCCGGTCAGAGCACACACAGGAAGCAGCCGATGGGCGCAGGAGCGAGTGGAACAGGCCCGTGTTGCTCCCTCTCCCTCTACGAATCAGTTCAAAAAATACTGGGGCAGGGGACTTGGACGATCCCCAGGGGGGGACCCTCATGCAGACAAACGGGGGTCCGAGAACTCAAAGCTTTAACTACACCTCACCCTGAGGGAAGGTTAACCTCACTCACGTGACACAGACATTCACTAAAGAACAGCAGCTTACAAGAGACGTTCTTCAGGGGGCTCCAGTCGCTCCACTCTTTGCGGCCAGAGAAGTGAGGGTCGTCGACGTAGCAGCGCAGGCCCACGGAGTGCGTGGCGCACTCCAAGGGCATGTCGGAGGCCCAGCTCCAGTGGTGGACGGTGTCCGCGCCGTTCAGAGTCGTGTTGTGGGTCACCTGCAGTGGGGACGAGACACAGCAGCATTCTACCTCCCAGCGGTGGCATGTGCCACGTCCCCTCAGACTGTACCTAGCGACGAACGGAGTGGGGTAAAGGGCTGTCCTTTTATAGAACCACCTCAGCTGCCTACGAGGCACGATGGCATTGCAGCCACAATCACCACGTCTCGTTTATGTTCACCTCAACGCCAGACCCCACTCCTGCGCATTGTTATAAAGAATGGGGATATTCCAAAACATCGAATGCAGTTTACAGGAAAATACACTGTTGGTTAAAATGATCTCCATTTGTCACGGAGAAAAAAATAATAGGTTTGCACATCCCAGAATTAAAGTCAAAGAGAGGAGTAGCATTTCAGAACAAAACAAATGACTGATTTACACTGAATTTGCTTTTATTGTGTATGTGTTATACATTTAAGTTTTTATTTTTAAATAAGCATATCATAATAACATACAATATTAATCTCAGTTATGAAAAGTGAACTTTTGATTAACCAAATATTGAAGATCTACTAAAAGAGACAAGAGATTTAAAAAAAAAGTATTTCTTTTTTTCTGACTTCCTGAAATCTGTCTAAAACAAGACTACACAGATTTTTTTTTAGGTGCAAATGCACAAGGGCAAAAAATAGGAGAAACACCCCCAATAAGACGTGATGCTGGAGAGCAGCTGAATGACGGGAACTCACTCGGAAGCCGAGCCGAGCCGAGTCTCAGGCCTCCAGCGGGAGAGCCACGCAACCTGACCCCTCCCACGGAAACGCCGGAAACGCCTGCCACCGGGCTCGGGGAGGGGCGGCACCGGGTCCCCCCCCGGAAACGCACAGGGAGGGTGAGGGGCCGCACAGCAAGACGGCTCCCGAGTTGTCCGAAGAGATCTCCTCTGACACTCTGTGCTGCCACAGCACTAACCCTTCTTGACCTCGGCAGAGGAACGGAGAGATTTATGCTCTAGAGAAGTGAAACAGCATGCTTCTGGAATGAAGGACCTCAGGGAAGCTGAGAACAAGGAATAATGTGCCAAAAATAGGGGGACTGGTGACCGATGCATTCTTGCATTGGAGGAGGAGTGAGACTCCTGCCTTCTTCCCCTGCTCAGCTCAGGACAGTGATGGCCAAGTCCCTATTCACCAGGGGCGCGGTCTAAACAAACTTCTTTGGGGCACATGAACTGGTCAAGATAAAATCTAAAATAATATTATTAAGATTTTTTCCTAAAATAATATTGATAATTAGATATCTTAAGTACTTGTGACAACCCCTGTTCAACAAGCCTCGTCTAGCAAACAGAAGTTCCAGTTAGATTTTTCTTGTGTTTTAAGAGCCACTCACTTAAATATGTGGCAATAAAGATGACCAGAAAGTGGAGGAAAAGTTCTAATATAAAAGTCATGGATCAATTTTTTTTTTAAAAAGCAACTTTAAAGAAGCAGAATGCACAGAAAGAAAAATAATTTTTTAAAATTACGGATATCCTCAGAGATTAGGAGAGCTATTGCAAGAACAGGATATATTTTTTAAAGGAACAGAGAACAAAAAGGGGAAACCTTATAAATTAAAAACATTAACAGAAATTCAACAGCAGGACTGCAAGATAAAGCTTAGGAAAAACTGCTCAGAAAATAAAGCAAAATACAGATGGTGAACAGAATGACAGGACAATTAGAGAACCAGTACAGAAGGTCCAATTTCTAAAATAACAGATGTTCTAAGGGGAAAAAAAAACAGGTATGAGAAATTCAGACATAAAGTAAGAAAATTTCCCAAGCTGATAGACATTTTTTCAGACTGAAAGGGGCCCAAAAGGAGTGTCCATCCAACACAATAGACCAAGATAGATCCATGACAAGAAAGATTTGAACAATGCCTTCAAAATCTTGAGACAGTTTAGAATTCTATACCCAGCTAAACTAGCTAGCACGGGTGAGTGCAGAATAAAGACGTTTGTAAGGACGTCAAGTCTCAGTGTATTCATCAAGCAGCATTTTACCTTTCCGCCAAGAGGGTATGGAAGTTCCAGCTGTTCCACACCTCCTTGGCAGTTGAAATCAATAGTCTTTTCAAGTTTAATAAATAAAATGTACCTGCAAGCTACCATTCTAAATAGCAGGGAGTATCTGTAATAAATAGCAAATAACTCCTAGAATACATGCTTTTACCAAAGTGAAGAAATAAAAGGGAGACAGGGAATTCAGGGAAAGGGGGTTCCATCATAAGAAGAAGGTGAAGGGAGTCACCCGGATGATCGTGGGAACCCCCAGGACCACAGCGTCCTGACAAACGTGCCGAGAGACACAGGGGCTGGTCTTGCCCGGGTTATGAGTGTACCTGGGTTTGAACCTGCCCACGCAGGGGTGACTGGTAGGAGCTAGGGACGCTGGAGGTGCCGAGACACCCCCTGACCCCAAGAATCCTCAACTATTCACCACGCTCTGTGCTGCACAGCTATCATCAGGATCTGTGTGAGCCCGCGTTTGGAGAGGGGTGGGACAGAAGTGGGAAGGCCCTCAGAGAGATTCGTTCACAAATACGTCTTTGATAAAAATGCTAGTATGAATGTTCTAACACCTTCACACAACCTGGAGAGGCCTTCGGATTGAATTAAGGAAGCAGATAAATAAAACTAAAGATCTAAGACATTACAAGAAATTGGAAGGAAGGAACCTAGCAAGGAAGCAAGGAAGGAAAAGAGAGAGAACAGTATATACTACTTGGTTGAGTTGTAAATAACGTTTACAAAATGTAATATAAACAGTACACACTGGTCTTCTGAAAATTATAGCAAACAGTATTGGAAGAAGAATTTTTTTTTTAATTTTTAGAGAGGGAAGGAAGGGAGATAGAGATAGAGATAGAGAGATAGAGAGAGAGATAGAGATAGAGAGAGAGAGAGAGAGAGAAACATCAATGTGTGGTTGCTGGGGGCCATGGCCTGCAACCCAGGCACGTGCCCTGACTGGGACTCGAACATGCGACACTTTGGTTTGCAGCCTGCGCTCAATCCACTGAGCTACGCCAGCCAGGGGAAGAAGATTTTTAAACCAGCATGTGTGAGAGCGAGCATGAGAGCAAGCGCACAAACAGGCGTGTGTGTGCCCGGGGTGGGAGGTGGCAGGGTACTGGATTGTCATCTTCCGTTTGCAAAGTTAATGAAACACAGCTCAAAAGGAAGAGGGAGAGGAAATCAGGCGGAGAGGAGCTGCTGCCTGCCGCCCAGGTGTCGTTCACGTCACCTGGTCACATGACCCAGGTCAAGGCAACGTGCAGCTTCCAGGCTGCGTGCGAGGCCGTGAGCAGGAAGTGCCGAGTTATCAGGGAAAACACTACGAATGAAACTTACTAGCAAAACGCTGATGTACAGTATTCGTGATCTTTAAACTCTCATACAACGATAGCTAATAACCTGTCACAAAGTGACTGATTACAAGCAAATCTAACAGGTACTAATATTAATAATGGATAATTATAAATAAAAATGTCACTTTTTTTTAAAGATTTTATTTATTTATTTTTAGAGAGGGAAGGGAGGGAGAAAGAGAGAGAGAGAGAAACATCAATGTGCGGTTGCTGGGGGTCATGGCATGCAACCCAGGCATGTACCCTGACTGGGAATCGAACCTGTGATGCTTTGGTTTGCAGCCCGCGCTCAATCCACTGAGCTATGCCAGCCAGGGCTGAAAATGCCACATTTTTATGAACCTGGACCACTCACCCTCTTATATGTCACTTTTTAAAGTGAATTTGTTCTATCTCTGTTTTTTTTTACTTCCTGCTTTATCTCTACATACAAAGATTCTTCTTCAAAGATCATATTCCCAATACTACAGAATTTCTACCTTGCCCTTGCCACATTCTTATGAATGAGTCATGTAACTTCAGAATAATGTTTCCATTCATTCACGTTGGATTTCACTCATACTTCAAAGAGAATCCCTGTTATTCTAACATCCCTGAGTTAGTTTAAAAAAATAAATCTACCCCCCCAAGGAAGTAATGACTGCTGGCAATTGTTTAGCAGCTTTATAAACATCTTATCATTAACTAGAGCAAATATTAGCCCCACTTTACAGATGAGAAAAGGAGGTTTCAAGAAGTTACCCTAAGCCAGGAGGTCAGGATGCAGAACACAAAATGTTAAGCCATAATAGAAAGCTACTCAACGTAATTTTAAGTAAGTAATAATTTTAGGACAACGGTGTAGAGCTGTATCATATCACATCTACCTGTATACTGGATTGGCAGGCAAGAATTGCCCTTAAAATTCAAGAAAAGAGCGAGCATTTTAGGCTGAGGAAATTTGGATAGACTTCAAAATAAGGGGCAGGATTTTACATGAGTCTTGAAATATAGGTTCAGTTTGGATAGGTGAAAAGGGAGGGCATTTTAGATGGAAAAAACATATATTCTTCCTGCATAAAATAAACTCTAGTGGCTAAAAGCACAGACTCTGGAACCCAGCTGCCTGGGTGCAGGTCCTGGCTCTCGCACTGCATGTCTTCCTGCGACTCTGCAGCTTCACCTGCAAGAGGGGGGTGATGCGAACAGCGCCTCCCTCAGGGCCCACTGTGTGGATGCGAAGAATCAACAGAGCTCTCACAGCAGTGTCAGGAGCTGGGAAGCACTAGATACATGCTAACGCCAACTGTGACTGTTGCCATTTGAGGAACGTGCTACTTAGGAAAAGGTAATACTTGGGTTGTTGTCAAAAGGAAAAATAAGACACTGCTATGAAACAAAATATTCTATTTATTATCTTTACTGTTTTCTCTATGTCCTTAGGCAAATAAATTGTAAAATCATGAGATGATCTCCTAATTCTTAAATCTACAACAAAGCATTGTTCCAAATCCATTAAGGAAGAGTAAAAGGATAAAAGGGAAAAGTAGCATGTACCAGTTGTCAAAATGTTTCACTACTGTTATCCCTTAGATTAAGTGCAAACTGAACACAGATCATAAGTTCAAAATTGGATTTTAAAAAATAAGAGGGGGAAAAAAGCACGTATTAGTAAATACAAGAATGTTATATCAGATTAAGAGATGTTCAAACTTACAGATTTATACAAATTTTATCAACAATTGCTATGGCTAAATATGTTTCAAGACATTTCTTTTTATATTCTAGTAGATAAAGATAAAAACAATGACTAAGTTATATGTACACTTTTGTTTCATGCGTATAAAACAGCATTTACTGTGTTCAAGTAGAAGAATCACACTTATTCCTCTCTCACTTTCCCTCTTACAACAGTTGCACTTTCTTTCACCCATTGAGTGATCCTGAGTCACGGCATATAGTCCCCAACGAACCCTGCAAAGATGTGTGGTCTACTTCCTTAATCATCCAAGGCTTCACTAACGCCACCTTAAAGATCGCACCTTAAAACATACTCAGGTTTCTTTAATGTCATAGAAAAAAAAATCTACTTTGTTCAGACTTACAACTTTCACGACCTCCATGCTGTCTTTACGTAGAACTTTAATCTCCCAGATGACCCGGGAGTGGTGTGGGAAAAGAGAACCCCTGTCACTCCACTTCAGGTGTAAGGTGGAGGCTGGGAAGTCGGCAGACAGATCTAAGATCTCTGGAGGGTCTGGAACGAAGGCTTAAAAGGGGGAAAAAAAAAGATACAGCTTAGTAAAGTAAGTAATGATTTCTCATATTGCCAATTCCATTAGTCAATTCATCTTAAGCTCTATTACTGCCTGATCAAGAAATAATCGAGAATTAAAGGCAAACTCTTGAATCCACGACTAAAAACAGAGAGCAGGTATATGAGTTTATTTGTATCAGCGCCTCGCAACGCTTCCCCAGCCAAACCCGAGAAAGGGGTTTATCAGCTGGCTGTCTCTTGCCCACAGCCCCTCTGACAGCATCACCCCGGTGTCGTCTGGCCTGGGACCCACCAACAGGCAGCAGCGGAGGGAAGCAAGGGGACTTCCTGTGCGTGGCCGAAGGTCGGGCCCGAGGAAATGGCCCGCATGGGGTATGGAAAGGCTGCTTTGGTAGAGCTTTCTGTGTGTTTTCTCGGCAGCCTCCCCCCCCGCATCTCAGAGTGTCAGAGCCCCCCATGCTGGGGGATGTCCCTCCCACGAGGACTACGGGGGCTATTCCTGGTCACGGTCATCAGTAAACAGCACCGAGACGAAAGCAAAGACGAAGACGCAGAGGGAGGAGGCCAGAGGGCCGGGTGTGGACTTGGAAGTCCCCCTGGAAGGCGGGCGCGGTGAGCAGTGGCGGGCGGCAGGGCCTAGGGGGGACCCAGACGGGGACCAGCTGATCAAGGACGAGACCCCCGGGGCACGCCTGGCTACAGCAGAGAGGCCTGGTTCACGGCACCCTTCATGGGAAGGACAGGACCCTGTCTGATGGGCACTTCAAAGAAATGCCTGGGCCAGAGCAACAAGGATTAGTTAGAACGCCGAGGAAGGCAAACACCTAAGGGTGCCGCAGGCTCCTGGCCCAGAAAAGCGAGAGAGTTAGAAAGAAGGGCTCAGGGACCACCACGGTGAGGAGATGCGGGAGGGGGACGGCGGCGGGCGACCACGTGTCAGGGAGAGGGGGCCACAGCCAGACTGGAGTGTGCAGACGGCGGGGCGGGGCCGTGGACAGACTCGGGGCGGGGGGCGGGGGGGCCCGCCGAGGCCCTCCCTGCTGAAGAGATGGGCGTGAGCGCAGAGACATAAGCCGGCCAGAGCCTGTCTGGGGCCCATGGTAGGCGGTTACAGGTTGAAGAACCCGCAATCCAGAAGGAAGGGCACAGAAGCAGGAAAAAAAAAAGGAAAGAAAAAAAAATCCAGGATCCCTGAGACCAAAAGAAATGGGCTGTCATGGAGGCAAACAAAACAGAATTCGACGGAGAGAGAGAAGGCCGGTGACACTGGTGAGTGAGGGGACCGTCCGTCTTTGAGAAGGAATGGGGGGGCAGTGGGCTCTGAAGCCGAGTCACAGAAGGTGGAGGGACAGCAGCAGCAGAAGCAAGGAAACCTTCACAGTCAGTACATCTCCCCATGTATAAGGGACAAGGGACTGGATCTGGGGGGGTTGGTGGGAACCACAGGAGGTAGGAGCCTGCTCCTCCGCTCCGTGAACCAGGCCTTCTGGTGGGAGGGCCAGGGAACCTCGGGCTCTTCCTTGGATGTCATGTCCCCGCCGCCCACGACAGGAAGCGACGGGGAGCTGAGAAACGCTCAGACCCACGTTCAGGCCTCGGACCCACCCTGGTGGCTTCCCCGAGAAACTCAGGGACCAAGGAAATGACGTCCTGGAAGTGGGGGGAGCGGCACATAACAGAAACGGCAGAACAAACCCACAGGATGAATTCGTCTCGGAACTGAGACATGAGCCCTTACTGACTGTAACTACCGTCTGCCGACCGCAGCGCTCCACACAGGGTTTGCGTGGGGTGTTCAGGGTCCAACAGGAAACAGGACAGGCGCACGGCGTGGTCACGTCACTCCTCCACGAGACGAGGGCCGTGGGGGCTACGTCCCGGGAGAAATGTCAGCGGGGACACCGCTCCTAAAAGCGGAGCGCACGAGGGGACGGGAGCCGTTTTCTCGGGCCAAGGGAGCGCAAGTTCAAGGTGCCCCTGTGGCCACACAGAGCGGAGGCTTCCAAGAACGTGGTTCTCTCAAACGTTTCAAGTTATCAAGATGTAGCCACTTCAAAATTATGCAACACAGGAGCATTCCGCTAAGGCAACATTCGTTCACGACAGGGCTTTCCTCCCTGGAAAGTCCACGGTTTACATTTCATCTGAACAGCAGGGGGCCACTCTTCCAAACCCAAGCCACGCCCGGACGGCACGCCACAGGCAGTCACCACTGTGAGTGAGAGGAGCACGCGCACACGCACACACACACACACACACACACACACACACTTGCCTCCCTTCCGTCCGTCCGTACGGGACGTGTGGGACGTTCCCCTGAGCCCCCAGACACCGCCGGCATCTCCGTGTCTTTCCGGTTAAGACAGACGCTTGAGAGCAACGTTAACCTGCTTTCTAGAAACTGGGGCCTTTTCGGCTGCAAAAAACATTCTGCCAATCTCGTTTATTTTTTTAAAGCTAGAGCAGCTCTTTGCTCAAACCTCCGTGTTCTTTCTGCCTCAGAAGGTCAGAAGCGGGGGCCCTCCTGGTTCTTTCTCGAGATCCACGGGGCAGGCACCCCGCCTCCCATGGATCCAAAGTCTCAGATAGTATGAAACTGAGACACGCATGTTCTCGGAAAGACTTACGTGTGTGCCTGCCCTTGTCAACGAGGAACTTACTCCGTGTATGTATTCACGTTACATGACTTGTTTGCTTTTTTGTATGTGCACTGTTGAAAGCATCGTAGGATCTGGAGAAAACTCAGTTTCTCATATTCGGTGGCATGCTGCCAGAGACCCCAGGCCCTCCGCCGCACGGCCGCCTCCCGCTCCACGGCCGCCCCTGACACGGCAGGTGCCCCAGGAGTCGCTGACGCGTCCACCTCCCTCTCTGGCACTCACCTACATGGCTTCTCAGTTTGTGTGATCAGTAGTAGTAGTAGTTCCTATCTTAGGAGCAGGAACATCGGAGTACAGGGATACCGTTAATCCCATATTGAAATCACAATCAAGCCACTAATCAAAAATGCTACCAATCACATCATGTGTAAAAAAAATACACTATTAAATAAGTCAGCTAGAGTCCCTCTTGATTTGCCTTTCCAATTCTATCTACCAATGTCTTCTTCCAGCAGCTTCCCAGACAGCACCTCCTGAACACCTGCAGAGCAGCCAGGCGGGCTCTCGGGCGGGGTCCCGGGGAACCTTTTCTTTTTTAATCTAGAATAAAATGAAGTTACATTCCTCGTGCCATACTACAAAATAATTCCGTATGAATAGAAGACTTCAGTCACGCATGAAAACAAACCTAAAAACTCATGAAGAGAAACAGCAAGGAATTATGTAACAATGAAAACCTGTGGTGTGAAAAATACCACAAAGTTAAAATTTTACACTTGGGAAAATATTTGCAGCAGATGTGACAGGATTAATAAACACAATAATTTTAGCACGAGGAAACTGATAGAGGGCACAAACTGTTCAGAAAAAAATAAAAGTGGCTGCTAATTTTAAAGCAAATCATCGCAGAAATGCAAAGGCAGTGGCGCTACGAGCTGGGGGCCACCAGGCTGAAGTGGCCAGACCAAGACAGGCACGCCCCAGTGCCCGCAAGGACGGGGAGGGACAGGCACTCCCCGGGACCATGCTCGCGGGAATGTGGAGAGATGCAGAATTCTGGGAGAGCTGGCAATGGACAGGAAAAGTCACAAAAAGGGGGATTTTCTTTAACGCAGCACTCCCAATTCTAGAAATTTAGCCTAAGGAACACATCACACGAATTCAGAAACACGTATGTGCAAACGATGTTCCTTGAAGCACTGGCTATAATATTGAAAAGCTGGAACCAAAAGTCTCGACGTTCATAACCAGTCACTTAACAGTGATTACGGCTCCTCGTTCGAGGTGATACACTGCGGCTCAGGCTCAGATAACAGCTGGAAAATCTACCTGTGTCTTCTGTTAAGCAGCTCACAGACGAAGTTCACTGTTCACATGTACACTCACAGAAAACACTCCGAAGAGTTCCCGGTACTTCTCCCTGGGCACTGGGACCGCGGCTGACCTGCACAAGGCCACCCCAACGCAGTTCCTGGGGAGGGTGCTTTGTTACTGCCCTCTCAGACTATCTCGGACACAGACCTCTCCAAACACGCACCCCTCCGTGAAACTGCACAGACTGCCAAGGTAATTTTATTTTCCTTCCTTGGCTTCACAGTCAGTCATCCTCCTAGGGCTCATCGTAACATTATGACGACGCCAATTCCATAGCAGTGCTCAGGAGCCACCCCAGCCATTGGCCCTCCATGGAGAGTCGAGACTCCCGGGGTGTTTACGGTCTCGGCGTGGAGCACAGTCCCCCTCCCCGTGGGCCTGGGCGGTTCCGTGCTTCCCCTCCGTGTGTGCAGCACACGCACTGGGACATCCACTCAACACGCTGACAGGAGACGCCTGCCATGTGCCAGGCCCGGGCGAGGGGCTGGGTGTGGGGGCATAGCCCCTGCCTGACGGAGCCCACCCGCCTGTGAGAGGGACGCACGGTGTCCCCTGATCCTGTGATGGATTGTTAACTGTGAGGGGTGCCGCAGAGGACAGGGGCCAGCTGCCTCCAGGGAAAGAAACCGGTCTCCCCTGAGAGGGGCAGTCAGAGGTCACCGCCCGGAGCAGCGGGGAGCACCTGAGAAGTTATGAGAGCTGTGCAAGAGTCCCCCAAGCCAAGGGGCTGAGAACGCATCCAACCGAGGGAAGGGTCCTGAATTCAGTGACATCTGTGTCAACCAGCTCGAGCAGCGATTTTCAACCCTTCTCATCTCGTGGCACACATCAGCTAACTACTGAACTTCTGTCGCACACCCGAATATAACTGTTGCCAATCTGACAAAAAAATGGGTATGGTGGTTTTTGATCCATTCACAGCGACGTCTATTGCTGTGTTGACTGCTGTCACTGCCTGCGTGCCAGGCACCAGCCGCTGGCCTGGAGGGCCGTGCGCGTCCTCCCGAGTCACCGCTGGGCTCCGCCACCCACGGGGCAGGGGGGTGGCGCTGGGAGAGCGAGAGCATCCCTACACCCTCCAGATGTCAGGAGAACGGCCAGTGTCTGCCTATCACAAAGCGCCGCAAAACCAGCACAGCCACCGTCCTGAGTCATTTCCAAGTCCACCTTCTTTCCAGATACTTACAGACATCTTTTTCATTGAGTGTGAATCTACTTAGAGAGCTTCCAGATTCATGCAGCGGGTTTATCGTTATTTCGTGATTGCCAGGCAGAAGAGTCGGGATTTTAGTGTTTGTTTTCCCCGATCGGTAACATGGAGGGGACCTGCAACAGAAGAAACCAATCACATTTTAACCGGCAGATAAAATGAACAGTATAATGTCCACTAAAACTCAACACAAAACGCGCTGGAACATACTGCATGCTCCTTGGTGCACAGAAACACGACAGGTTATACTGCGTGTGAAGGCGGGAAAGAGAGAGGTTGACGGTGAGTGTGCCGATGCAGGTGCGAAGGAGAAGCCACCAGGTGGTGGTAGAATGCCGAGGGAGCGAGCCCAGCTGGCTCCTTCCAGAACCAGGGCTGCAGCTCGCTCTCCCGACCTCGCCCCAGTGCCCTTGGCGGCCTCCCCTCCGGGCACACCTGCCCACCTGCCCAAACACCCCTCCCACCTAACAGAGACCGGCCACCGGCCACCCACAGGAAACCGGCTACCTGACGCCCCTAAGAACACACCCCCGATGGCCGCTCCCCTCTCCGGGCCCCTGGCTCACTGCCCACGCCGTTCTGGTCAGCGGCTTGCAGAGGGTCCCGGCTCCCCACCTGCCACCCTCTCAGACAGACAAAGAGTGGCCGTGGCCTCTGCGGTTCCAGGGCCCTCCGGGTCCTTAGGAAACACTTGCATCTGTTTTACTGTTACTTACATACATTTCTAACTTTCCATAAATTTTCTTTTATCCTCACCAGAGGGTGTATTTTTATTGCCTCTCCAGAGAGAGAGGAAGGGAGAGAGAGAAACACGGAGGATATGAGAGAGAGAAGCACTGACCGATCGCCTCCTGCACGCGCCTGCACCATGGACCATACGCGCCCAGACCAGGGATCGAACCCACATCCCAGGCATGTGCCCTGGCCAGGAATTGAACCCGCAAACCTTCGGTCACGGGATGACACTCCAACCACCTGAGTGATACTGGCCAGAACTTCCTCCCAAATTTTAACTCAAGCACAGGGCCTCTTGGCGGCTCCCGCATCCCTGGCCCACGCCAGCACCCGCCAGGGGCCTGCTCACCGTGCTCGCTCGGGGCCGGGGCTGCACGGCTCGCCCACCCCCTCTCAGCTCGAAGGCTGAGGCTTCTGGGGGCGTCAGCCACACCACACCGCTGTGGGGAGGAGGCGTGAGGGCTAACCACACGGACGGACGTGAAGCCGTGTTAGACTCGGAGCCTGAGGTGAGAGTCTGGTCAGAAGCTTGTGCATCCCACAAATGTTTACTCACCCCACACGAGAAACGCAGACCACAAAGTACACCTCGGAATGGTGAGGGGGAACCCCAGCGTTGTTCTCCCACGTCCCCCCAGCCGGCAACTTTCCATAGAAGCGGCAGATACAAGCTCCACCCCCAGAGCCTGGGGGGGGGGGCGGGGGGGCCCCCGCCCTCACCTGTAAGGAGAGACGGCTCCTGGGCCCCTGGGCCTGTGGTGCAGCCCACTCTGTCTCACTGCCTCACTAACAAACTCACTCACCTCCGCCTCCTGTCTGGTTGAGTCTGAGGTCTTTCCTGGGCAGAGCCAGGAACTCTCTCGCCTCGGGGCTGCAGTGCCCCCTGGGGGCTTCCCCTCTGGCATCAAAGCCCCCCCAATTCCCTGAACTGTGCTAATCCACTTGTCATGCACTGAGCCCAGTGTTCTTCCAGCCTGGAAGGTCCTTTCGTCCTCTTCCTGCTGAGAGAACCAAGGATGTCCGCTCCCCAAGTACGCTTCCTCCGAGAAGCACATTGCAGCGGCCCACCGCACTCCTCGGACCCGTGCACCCTGGCCCCTCGAGCACGATCCCTGTGGGCACCGAACCCAAGTGTGGTCAGATCTGCCCACTTGGAACTCCTAGGCACCAGCGCCAACCTCTCAGGATGGCCTGGGGCACTCTGTGCCCCATTTGGGAGGTCCTCCCCATCTGGACTCACAGTAGGGCTGCACTTCCCCGCTCCTCTGGAGCGAGGCATGGCGATGCACCTTCTCCTGCAGGGAACTCCGAGTGAAAGCCACAGCTGTCAGCCTGGGAAGGAGGCTGTAAAAGCCCTCCAGGCGGGGCACCCTCTGCCCAGCCCCCACGGCCCTCGGCCTGGAGGAGGAGGAGACCAGGCCAGGGCTGCCAGCCGACCCAAGACCACGCAAACGGGAGCAGAAAATAATCCTCTATTTTCGCAGCAGAAAGTAAAACAAGAAGAATGGAGAGTTGCTCTGTGAACCAAACTCATCCACACTGATAAATGGCCCCAGGGACGAGAACAACGCTCTGCGAATGAACGCCCACCGAGAAAATATCTGAGGGCGTTGCAATACACAGTTAGGTCAATTTATATCAGCACCCAGACCTCATCAGCGAGCCGGCCCCGGGGGAGGCCCTGCCTGGGAGAGGCTGTGCTTGCAGTCCAGACAATGCCGCGCCCTCTGGGCGCCGGGAAAGCAGGGGATTGATTGTTCTGGGTCAGGACAGCCCAAGGGCCTCAGCTCCAGACTCCAGAGCGTCCAGCCCACGCCCTCGTTACCTGAGAAGGCACCTGCCACTTGCCTCCGAAGGCCCACTTCCCCTCTTCCCTCACTAACGTGAACTCGACGTTCACCTGTCTGGGCCCGTGGCCGTCTGCCAGGAGCAGGCGTGGCCCAGCCTCCACGCAGCCAGGCTCAGCCACCTGCCTGAGCTCTGCCAGTGAGAGGCGAGCAGGGGTTCTTCTTCTTGCAAGTCTCCTTGAAGAAAAGCGTGTTTCCTTCCCACTTTCTGGAATGCGTACATGAGAGCGGCTCTTCAAGCCTCATCCTGAACCACGAGATCGCCTGCCAAAGACGGCTGAGTGGCCTGCACAGAGGGCCCAGGTCTCTTGCGGCCATAAACCACCAGGTCCGCCTTGAACTCCTACTCCAGGCTTTGTACATGAGGGCCAATGACTGTTAAGCCGCTACCACTGACATTTCCTATTAGGCCCAGCGAAACTTCAACCTAACTGCTATGGGTGGACACATCGGAACCCACGGCACCATGGGGGTGTGGCACCTACTCCCTAGTCACAGTACAAAAGAATTGATGTTTTGTTGAGCGCGGGCTGTGAACCAAAGTGTCGCAGGTTCAATTCCCAGTCAGGGCACATGCCTGGGTTGCAGGCCACGGCCCCCAGCAACCGCACATTGATGTCTCTCTCTCTCTCTCTCTCTCTCTTTCTCTCTCCCTTCCCTCTCTAAAAATAAATAAATAAAATCTTAAAAAAAAAAAATCGATGTTTTGGCCAGAAAAAAGGTTCACTGCCATCTTGACTGGTGAAAGGTGCAGAGTTTTTAGGAAAAGAGAGCGAAGATTTCAAGTTTCATTTAAACATTTACAGAACAAAATGTTTTTATGCTCTGAAATGAAAGGAGAACGGACATTTCTAGGTGACGGGTGCCAGTGAATCAGCGTGTTCCCCTTACCTGTTGTCGATGCAGACTTCGTACAGAGCGCCGCGGCCCGCTCCGGACGGCGCCTTCCACGAGCAGTCCCATGCGCGCAGGTTGTTGGTTGTGCACTTCAGGTCGCGAGGAGCCCCTGGAGCAGGAGAAGCCACACACACACACACACACACGCTTAATCATCCGACCGCACGATCTGCAGTCAGCAAGTTAGACTGTTTTCAACCCTCAGCGCGAGCGTAGGTGGCTGTGGGGGGGTGGGGGGGGGGTGGCCCATGTTCTGTGTGAGGCTGCGATGAACCTACAGTCGCAGGAGGTGACCGGTTTTGTGTTTCTTCTGGTGGCTGTGGCTTAAAAAAGCTCGGCAGTAACCCGATCAAGTGGGTCGACCGCTAAGCCACTTAGGGGTCAGGCTTCTGTCAAAAATTCCCCTTCTAGGCAACTAAGGTAAACAGAGGGAGCACCTGTGTTGACTCAGTGATGGGACCAAGTGGGGGCCTTGGAGAATTTTCATCTCCAAGAGCCTCATTTGCAAAAAAAAAAAATAAAAGCGAGCAAGTAGCATAACTCTAGGTGAAAATGACGTCTTTCCCACGCCCACAAACACGGCTCTCGAGGCTCTGGACCACTGCTGCCCCGCGGCGGGCTCCCGGACCGCCGCCTGCAAGAAATCCCATAACCAGCCTCCCGACTTTTACGAAGCGCAGTAAATTTATACAGTAACAAGCTCACACACGTGCCTGAGAAGTACGTGTTTCATGTGGGCCCGGGCAACTAAAAGTAACAAATAACCTAGATGGTTACGATCTAACAGCACTCACTCCCATCTATAAAATGACACGACGTCACGGAACGTGCGTGCACTGCACGGTGGAGAACTGTCGCTCTCAAAGGAAAGCGAGGAGAGAGGAAGGAGGCCAAGGGAGGAGGGGAAGGGGGGGCGAGGGGAAGACGGGAAGGAGGGAAAAAGCAATGGAAGTGTAAAAGGGGGGTTCTATCTCAGACTATCTTCAGTGATTTCCAACCTTTTTCACCTCGCGGCTCACGTAAACTAATTACTAAACTTCTGCAGCACACCAAACATGCATTATGTCTTGCCGATATATAAAAAACAGGTATGACTTTGATTCATTCACACTGGACAGCTACTGTTGTGTTGGCTGTTGCCATTTTTTTCTATTTGACAATCTACGGGAAGAGAGGTCGTGCCCCTGACTCGTCAGGAATTGCACGTTTTAGAAGTTCCTGCAGCACGCTGGTTAAAAATCACTGTTCTATACCACTGTCTCTAAAAAAGTCTTTTTCTCTCATTTTTCCAGAGTTGGCACAACATATATATACCATAGCAATAAATGATAAAGCTGTTTGTGTAAAACAAAACAGAAACACGGGAAGCACTCAGATTAGAAGTCACCAGTAATTATAATAAAGTTATTTAATGGTGGTCTTGGGGGGGATGAGAAGATGTGTTTAATTATGGAAATGAAGTACGACCTAAACCCAGGGGCAGACGGGTAATGTTTTACAGAAATAAGCTAGGTAACATCTACACAAACATTCTTAACATCGTTAAATAAGATGAAAACAAATAGCATGAAAGAGGGAGATTTGATTTCGGCTCCATGGCACTCCGAGAGGCACTGTGGAGTCTCAGCCCGGGGGCTGGAGGGGGTGGGGCTGACCACTGAGGGGCGGGGCTGGAGGGGCTGACCACTGAGGGGGCAGGGGGCGGGGCTTGTGGGAGGGGAGTGGCTGTTTGGTGGAGGGGCGGGGCTTGTGGGAGGGGAGTGGCTGTTTGGTGGAGGGGCGGGGCTTGTGGGAGGAGTGTGGCTGTCCTGTGCCAGCGCTGCGCTGCAGGCTGCACACCACTAGGCGTCGGTCCAAGTCCACAGAACTTTATCCTGAAAGGGTGGATTTTAGTGTATGTGAATTACACCTTAGTTTTTTTTTTTAAGGGGAAAAGAATGCAGATCCACGTTTAGGAGCCGCTTTAAAAGGAGACCAAAAGTACACCGAAGAAAGCTCGCGGAGAAGCGCGTTTCCACCACCCCAGCCCCGAAGCACGGCAGCCCGTTCCTTCCCTGGGGCCCATGCACTCACCCCTCCTCTGGCTGCTCGCTCGGCTCAGCAAACAGAGCAGAGTGAGTGCTGGTAAGAACCACCGGAAATTCGAGGCCATCCTCACGCTCTCGCTGGCCACCCGCGGGGACGGTCGTCTGAGACAGGAGGCGGCGTCCATCGTCACACGACGGCGTGGTCGGCCCTAGACGAGGAGAGGAATTTCAGACGCTGGTCCGGCTCCCGCGAGCACGCGCCCTGTGCTGTGCGCACCGAGGCCGGCGGTGGACGCGGACACCCGCGGACCCGCCCTGCACAGGAGGGACTGTGAGGACGCCAGGCCGAGGCTGACTTGTCTTTAGCAGACGTCGGCACTCGGACCCAGCTGCTGCTTCAGGGTCCACGACAGGGTCCGTTTTCCAACAACAGGCTTCAAGTTCAAGATTATGACTGAGCATGTCTATCAGCCCTGCACTCTAACGCTAGTAGAACACAGAAGAGCAGAGCATAAAACTGGAGTCGTGGCTGACAACTTTAAGTGATACGTGTAACGACACTTTAAATTAATCAGTACATACTGACTTTAATAGCCACTTGTGTATGACAACTAGTATCAGTTTTCCATGGACACTGTGATACAAAGTTTCTATTTCCTATAAATTTAAAGTTTAAAGAGCAAACAAAAAAGGATAATATGGGGGGGGTTGCAAACGTGACAAAAATATCAATAATGACATGACACACAGACGACTGAAGTTCAACGTCACGGCAACTGTGCCGGGAAGGGGACCCTGGCAGACAGGCGCTTCTGTGAGTTTCTGCTGGACGCCGACCGCCTGCAGAGGCGGCGACTGGCCTGCTGGGGGGCAGGGAGGGGCTGTGGCCGCCTACGCAGTGCCAGCTCCCCCTCCCGGCACTGCGGGCACGACACTCAACCAAAGTCCCTGCCCTCACGGCCTTAGACTGGAGTTCGGAGGGGACACAGCCCTAAGCACATAAGAAATTTGAGATCCTGACATGTGCTTAAACACCAGCAGTCTCTGTGCGAGTGCCCGTGCCTGTGTGTGCATGTGTGTGCATGCGTGTGCGTGGATGCTGGGCTGAGATCTGTCTGACAGGAGAGGACCATGACAAGATGAGGGGACGGAGCAGCGGCAGCAAGTACAAAGACCCGAAGACAAGGGCAGTCTCGGGAGAGGAGGGAGACACATCAGAGACTCGGGCTGGTTAGGTCCCAGGGGCCTCGGGGCCAAGGGGAGGGTGTGGAGGGTAACAGGGTCGAGATGAGAAGCCGCCGGAGTGTTGTAATCAGGGGGATCCGCGATGTGCTGTGCACTTTGGGACGGGGTCTCTGGCTGCTGTGTGGAGGACGGACTCTCTGGGGTGGGGTAGGGGGACAGGGCAGAGGCAGGGAGGCCGCAGTCCAGGGAGAAGGAGAGGCGAGGACTCGGTTCTAGAAGCAGACACGGTGTGAGGCGATGAGGCTCAGGCTCTGCTGCGGGGGTGGGGGGGGTCTTACCAGCGCAGTGCAGGCAGGACCGTGGGCTGGCTGACACACAGATGGGGCCTGAACCCCAGCTCTGTCACCTGCTGTGTGACCTTGACCTCTCTGTGCCTTGGTTTTCCCACCTGTGCAGCGGGACCATGCGTAGGTTTGTCGTGGAGATTAAAGGGGGTTAAAGGAGTAAAGGCTTACAAGCACACCAAGCACACAGAAGTGCTGTGTGTTCTGTGCATGGTGGGAGGTGCAGGAAGACCCCATGAAGTGCAAGGACAGCCGACAGATTTGGTGGGAGAGCAGCGATGCTGGGGGCGGGGTGCCATTTAGCCCCCTCGGGGTGCAGGAAGGAGGTGGCAGGGACTTGTGGGCTGAAACTAAAGGATTTATTTGAAGGTCTGTTTACAGAAGTCAACTTTGCTATGTTCCTACTCCCAGCTCCACAAAGTCGTTCTCCCTACAGACACAAAGAACAGTCGAGGAACCCGGAGCAGCTGCCGTGCACACCTGGCACTGAGGGACCACAGAGTAGCCGCTCCCACCTGCTCTCGCTGAATGAAGCCCACCCGCCCACTGATAGATAGGGCCTTCCATGTACTGACCACTCCTGGTCAGACCTAATGTCGGTTCATTTTTACGTTGGAACAGACAACCAAGGATCACAAAATGTGCGACAGCGGGCAAATGCAGTTGACAAAAAGGACAAATGGGACAAAGAAACACTACAATAACCAACGAATAAATAACAATACCAGAATAGTTGTCAGTTGTTTTGCAAATTCACCACTATAAACCAATTCCTGCCCACCCCTGCATATGCATATGCGATGCCTATGGCACTCCAGAGAAATTCAGTATGAGCTGGACAACCGAAAGGAAAGTAAAAACTGCCCCCCTGGGGAGAGAGGGGGAAATACGGAAAACTACAAGGAAAAAGACAACAAGCAGACCAGCACCTCTGATCAGCGTTCTCACAGCAAACAGCACAGCCACGAAAGCAGAAGGGAAAGGGAAGAACCAGAAATAAAAATAGCTCCCACAAGTTAAAAATACTGCTCGATAGTAAATTTTTTTTCAAAGAGAGATAAAAATGTTGAGCAATCTTTCGGAACACAACAAAGGACAAGAATAGAAAACGCCACAGGAGAAACGAGAAACGGGGACGGGACAGAAGAAAGGAAACGCAGCATCTAAGCCACCAGAGCCTGAGGGGAGAACTGAAGACACGTTCTCCACCCTCCACGGAGAGAGGAGAGGGCGAGCCTTTCTGGGGCTCCGCCCCCACCCCCCCCAGGGCTGTCGGGAACCTGGCCGAGTCCGGAACAGCTGAAGGGATTAGGACCGAGACACGCACAGGGCCACACGCGCACAGGGCCGCACGCACACACTTCCACAGCGCTCGGCCGTTTCCTGGACGAGCGACTTTCCAGTCCATTCCGGGCCATCGGAAGCACTCATTGCAGTGGAAATGGACCCCTGGAGTGTCTGAAAGGCCCGCTGCTGATGCTACAGAATTCCACAGTGTGTAAGGGGAATAACTGAACGAGGGAGATGAAAATAACCACAAACCGTGTTCGCCGGCCGGCTAACCGTGATCTCAAAGTGAGGCAGTCCCTCGCTACAGGCTGACAGTGGTTCTGGAAAAGAGAAGTGTGTCCCCTGATGGGGTGGGGCGGGGCGGCCCAGGCCCAGCTGGGGGCCAGGGGCTGCGGACTCACGCGGTCACCCGGGCTCCAGTGCCAATCAGGGTGGGGCTGACGGCCAATCACGCAATCCCCGGGCCCCGGCCTCCAGCAGTGCAGCGGAGGCGCCCCAGAGAAGCTTCCCCACCGGGAGCTGCGTACCCACTCCTACTGGCAGGCCGCAGGCACAGGTCTGTGCCAGCAAGAGCCACTCATGAGGGGACACCTCCGAGGAGGTCGGTGAGCCGCAGGTAGAGAAGAATCAAGGGCAGAGCCGCCAACGCCTGCTTCACTGAAAACAGGTGAATGATCAAGAAGCCTCGCTTTGCCCTGACGTTTACAGAGAAAACCCTGAGCCAGTCGTTTAGGTAACACATGGGATGCTTGCCTGTGTGGACCTGGATTCTCTCCCCTGCAGAACTTCCAAATGGACTCATCTGAGACCAAAACAGTACACAAACAGAGCCTTCCGACGTATTTCCAGAAACACACACACACGAGAAAACTGTCTCTGCTCCCTTCCGATTTGCAACATTGTCAGAGCTTGCTTTTCTCCCACCGATGTCTTATTCTCGGAGAACACACTGTTATAGAATTCCAGGAGCTCATTCGCAAAAGCAGGAGCGCTGTCTCCTGCTGCAGGGACAGAATGCCCGTGCCAGTGCCCAGAGGGCAGGGCAGGCAACGAGCTACGCGGGCAGCAAACCGAGTCTCTGCAGGTGGCAGCAACCGGCCATGCACCTGTTCTCCGGAAGTGCCTAGGAGATGTGATTCACCCCCCAAACGAGGCAGAAAACAAAACAATGAGAAAAACGATTCACGAAACTGGAGTTTTAACCCAGGGGAGAAGCCTCGGGGGGCACCCCCCAATCTTATCCCAGGTCACGTTAAAACGGATACTGTTCTCCAAGCTGCTGGGTTCCTCCGTGACTCTGTGTGAGCACACGTTTCTGTTCTGACCGCAGTTCCCGCCCTGCTGCTTCCCGCCACCCTCCTGGGCTCACCTGGGAACCTCCAGGCAGGAGGCCGGAGAGCTCACCGCCACCTTTGCAGCCCCTCCCGGGATCCCCTGCGGAGGCTCCCTCTGCCTCCAGGGGCTTCGGCCACACCCCAGATGCTGCAGGAACCAGGGCCCAGGGGACAAATGCCACCCACCTGGGCTGCTGTGGACAGTTCCACCGCACCAGAGGCCCGGGGCTGCCTTCCCACAACAGTGTTAGGGCCGAGTAGCTTCCACAAAGGCTGCCTGAGCCCTACCCTGGCCCTGCCCGAAGGCATGGCTTCCGGATCTGTCCTTCCTCCCACAGCTTGTGACTCCTTGGGAAGAGGTCCCTGTCAGCCCCCTGCCCTCTGCCCAGCCCCCTGCCCAAGCACAGAGCCTGGCACTGAGAAGACACGGGAAACTGGCTGGTGGGCAGGTGAAACAGCAAGACATAAACAAACGTCCGTGCTCTGTGCTCTCTGATTGCTGGGCTTCACGCTGACCCAAGCACTGCCAACAGGGGAACCCAAGTCAGGGCTGCGGTTCCCAAACCCTGCACGGGGGAGCCCCGGGGCACAGGAGCCAACACACGGAGTATTTACACTAGGACTTTAATTTCTCAAAGCACAGAAGGCGGCCTGTGCTCCACGCCGTCAGAACCCGGAGCTCAGGACAGCTCCGTTTCGGAGCTGGGGCAGCTCTTAGCCACGGGCAGGGGGGAGGGTACTCGTTGGTCGCTGTGACAGACACAGGCACCATCCAAAACTCAGGGCAGACACGGAAACGAGGGTGGCAGCGTCCAGTTTCCAAAGCCTGGGGGGGGCTACGACGCCCCCAGAGGGTTCACACGTATGGCTGTTTCCCTTGAATTCCTACGCGTTATTTTTTTAACCCCTATGCACGTGCCGGGTCATAAATACTTACTGAGGTGTGTGGACCTGGCCACTTCCCACGCCACAGAAGGAACTGCGAGCTATTTCTCTGGACCTGGGGCGGGGCGGGGCAGGGGCACGCAGACGGGAATGGACGCCGGGCACGCGGCG